CTTTTTATTTCCAAATAACTATTCCATTTTGGGAAGTAAGAAGGAAATCCTGTTGTAATAAGGCAGTCCTCCTATCCCCATTCTCCAGAAAGAAGCACGGGGAGAGTAATCTGTTGAAGTGAATTTTTTCCCTATACTCCTCATCATACAAAAGACAACACGGAGAAGAGAATTATGGGTAATATCTTTTGAATAGCGGCGTCATCACGCGGTTTGAGACATTAAAACCTTTGGGACCAGCAAAAATAGACTTTGCAGTGGTTGTTATATTTTGGACGCCATAAACAGAAACGACACGAAGTATACGCAAACCAAGTGTCTGGTGGATAACCTCGAAGGAATATCTTGGAAGGTACTTACGACGTAAAGCATACTTTCCTGTCTCAGTCTCAATATAAGGCTCCATAGAGAAAGTCATAACGACATTCCTTTCTAAGTGAAAAAGCCTTTCTCAGAGCATGGCGTCTACTGCAGTACAATATTCATCGCTCCTACGACTTGATCAACCAACTTGATAGAAAAACTAGATAAATCAAAGTTGGCTGACCTGGAAGGCCCCATGCTGAGACCAACAATTTAACTCGAAAATAATAAATCTCAAATGGCAATCCAACACCTGAAGAGGAGGACCCAACACAATAGGAACTAGATCCAGATTGCAAGAAAAAGCAATACCATTCCATTAACAAACAAAAAATTGCGTTCACTTTCTTTAATAGTAAGAAAGTTCTCCTGAAATTGGTTGGAAGCAGTTAATGCTGGAAGAGGAAACTCGCAATAACAGTAATCCGATGAAAATGCCCCAATAAGGCAGAATGGGGAAAAGTCAATTGTCTCTGACCAATTTTGTCATGCAGGGCAGTAATCCTTAAAGTAGTTGAAAGAGCCGGACTCTCAGACACAATTAGATGATGCAATCTCTTTTTCTCAGAAAAAATTCGGGGTGCACAATATAACTAAAAAAGGAAACCAAAATTAGCAGTTTGCAGTTGTTTACTTGAAAAATCTTTACATGAAACAAGAGATAGCACATTGGTCGAATTATTGTAGTGCTCAGCACGTCATGACTATATGACATAAAATAACCATAGAGCACAAATTACCCAACAGAAAGAAGAAGAGGAAAAAAGGGATAAAATCTTTTTACATGACATACAAGCTTTTGTTTTTTTATTCCAGGCAAAAACAGTATGCAGCCTTTCAATTCGCCAAGGTAATTTTACAGCGACCCTTGGCCTTAGATTCCACTTCCCATGTTATTTTTGGCAAGTCAGTGAATCACAAAATGCCGACATTTTCTACCTAGCAGGAAAAAGGAATTCAGCTAATCTTGCTGATAAGATTCCCTCATATTAGTAAAACTTAAGCCAAGGGACAACTCTTATCAATTCCCATGGAGATAGAAGTTTGCGCAATTTTAGTGATAAAGACCATGATTAAAATCTTGTTGCCCCTAATCCATGGCAAGATACCAGATTATGTTGTTCAGGGTTTTTTTGATAATTAAACCTTATTTAGTTCAAAAAGGTATTAAGTCTAGTTAGAAAGCCAGCAGAACAGTCAGGCAACCAATAGGACATACTCCAATATTTCTTTGATAACTCCGCTATATGGCATTAGGAAAAAAGAAACTTCAATGCAGTGTATCATTGCCTTTAGTCGTAACCGTAGATATTAAGTACAATTGTTCAATTTACTACTAATAAAAGAATTCGAATAATTCGCGCACCATCATGTACTCATTGAAAAGACGTGCCCGCCATGGCCTTAATTTAAGGTTTGCAACGTTCGAATTCAGAGGGCTTTTTATGCGCGGTCCAACAGTCACGCAGGCGGCGACTAGCGCTTTTTGTGGCCAGTTTTATTCCGGCCTTAGGCCCCATAAGACACGCGCGGCAGCGTCTTTCTAGATGTTTTCTGTGTCAAGGTGCCTTGAGATATGAAGACTTGTCCATATAAGAACCCAACTAACCAACACGAGGCCTAGCACTATGATGACACATACTGACACAAAAGTTCTAGAAATTTTTTTTTTTAAGGATAAAAAAAGATTAAAAATCACACAGCAGTAACGGCTAGAAACGCTAATATTTTTCTTCAAAAAATGACTATACCGTGATTCTTAATAATGGATTGAGGTCGATTTACTATTATGGAAACAGTTGGGAGCCCTTGTTCTATTTGAGAAATTAAGGATTATAGATAGGTAATTAAATCTTGCGACGGGAACTTCATCCGCCAATGAGCCGAGCTAAAGAACCGATGAGACGAGTATATAATACACTTCACGAGTAACGTATTTTCAAATATGTAAATAAATAATATAAATATAATAAAGTTTCAAATCATAATATGTAATATTACTAATAGAATAATTTTCGTTAAGTTCTAAATTATATAATAAATTCACTTCACACTTACAACTGTTGCAAAGCACATTAGTGGACACCGGATGAAGTGCACTTAGGTAGGGAGATGCAACCGCACGACTGCGCAAATATTACGCGGATTGGATCTGATGTATGACAGAATTGTTGTCAGGTAATATTCGACAGCGTGGAGAGGATCACTTTTGACGACACTCAATTAATCATAATCGTTGCTGTAGGAGTTTGGCTTCTATCGTTTTAAATCTTAGACTTTGACGAGTGTACGTGGTACTATTGACCTTTCTGGGAACAATAATTTGTTTCTAAATTTTTTAAGATTTTTATGTAGGGATGAGGTGTTGTCTAATAAGTCTTAACTTTAGCAAGTGAAATTAATTTAAGTAAAATTAAAGTTAAATATTATTTACCGTATTAATGATGGTGGTAAAATAGTTCTTAGTTAAATTGAAGTGTTTAATAGATTGAATAGTAAATAATTAAAGGGTGTCATAGAGATTAAAATAATAAAATCAAAGTACTTGTATGTATCGAGTGTTAAAAAAACGAATAGGCTTTTTTCTTTTAGCATAAAAAGGTACATTAGATGAATGTACGACAAAGATGAGCAGTTCTTTGTCATTTTATTTAAAAATTAACAGTAAACAATATAAAGTTTCGAATTGGAATAGATGTTATTATTCCAAACAAAGAGACAGAAATGATAGTTCTAACTACAACAACCATGAACAACAACAAAAGAGCCTTAACGCGGCCAAACTAGTGTGAGGTTGGGCCATAGGAAATCCTTTGTCCATTATAGTACACAAAAAACAATGATATGCTTTAGAGATCCAAGCCTCCACTCATCTAGGGCAGCTGCAGCCTCCTTGGGCATTCTTAGGGCCTTTTGCTAAACAGTAGGTCCATTCAAGACATGCTCGTTGTCAATTTCTGCTTCCAATTTGCTTTCTAATTTCTTTCTTTCTTTTTTTTTTGTTCTTTTTTTCATTTACTATGAATTGGCTTACTTTTCTATCGTTAACTCCCAATATCCTTACCAGATATAAATTGTCTGTGCCTATTTTTTATGCTTATTTTAGTGTTTCTTTCGCAAGCTTTTCTTTTTTGTTTTTTTTTTTTTTTCCTTTTTTTTATAAAATATAGTTTTCAGATTTATGTGTTTTATTTATTTCTAATTTTCGCGCCTCACTTCACTCAGGCTAGCACCTAGGCTCCAATAGCTCGTTGCGCATAGGTGCCCCTTGCGCCTTTAATCACTATGCCCACCATGCAGCTCCACAGTTGGTTTATGTAAAAGGAAAACATAGTTCATCTGTGCAATAAATAACAAGGCAAAAAAGGCATTTCCAAGGTTCGAAAAAGCCCTATAAAGAATTTCAAATAGCTATAAGAGTATCAAGAAACAGTATTTAATAATTCAAAAATTAAATAAAATATATTGAAGAAATAAAATATATTGAAGAAACCTGAATTAGAAGATATTTCACAGATCGACCTCGTGGACAATGCCTCGTGGACAATGTAGCTCGATCTGCCAAACATTCTCATAAGAAAGGTCAAGCTTGTAGTCCATTTGTTCATGAGATAGAAAAAATTGCAATTTTCTCAATCCAAATCCAAAATTCACCGAAACATTTGTCCCTGTCCATAGAACAGAAAACTTTTCTTTTGATATCCGACATCCAAAATGCAGTGTTATATGGTCCATGCTGTGTAAAAACGTTCTGGGATTTGGTACAATATCCTTAGCCAAAGTCCGAGCCTTGAGATATGAAGTGCCGTACCGAAGACGTTTATTCAAAGATATAATTAATTCAGCATCTCTGGCAGTCTGGAATTGAACAATAGCATATTTTCTTTGACCCCCATTTTTGGTTTCCCTGATCTTCATTGCAAAAACAGTTCCATCCCCTGAATGTGATTCCAGACACTTCTTGACTTCATCTACAGTCACATCGGGAGGGAATCCATACACGTGAATTGTCTTACCCATCAAAGCAATTCTGTAGTCAAAACAGAACAAACTGAATCACCCACTACAGATATCAACACTCCAAAATTTTTAGGGAGATAGCACTTCCACAATGTAAATGATCAAAGATTCTGAGTGTGACTTTCTTGTAGGCATTGTCATGCAGTCAATCATAAAGCTAATCCAATGTAGAAAATATGAAAGGTAATAACTTATAAATAAAAATTTCATGATTATGAACAGACCCCCTGATTATGAACAGACCCCCACAAGCTTCCAAATATGACTCTGTAACTACTATGGCAAAATAATGCAGGATCCACCATGTGCTGGTTATGAATTCAATCAATGGCTTCCTTAATGAATAATTATATCAGCATCATCTAAATATGAACTCAGAACAAATGTGGAGAATCAAAGGGTTTACACGCATGTCCAGAATCTAGCACCAAATACATGTTAAGCACAACCTGAAGTATAATGATTTTGAAATGAAATCAATATTCGAGATTAAATAGAATCATTGAAAACACAAAGTCTATGTGGAAAGCAACAGAGGCAAGAAAAAATAGCATTTAAAGCAACAGAGGCAAGAAAAAATAGCATTTCATTTAACACAAAAACAATGGAATGCACAAAGAAGCCAAGCATTTTACTCAGATTGATGTGATGAAATTTATAGCTTATGTCAAAAAAAATAGATGACACTGCAATGAAATAAATAAGAAAAACAAAACAATGCTTATAACTACTCTATCATCAAGAACTGCTAAAAGCTGAAAATCACTCAATCTAAAAACCTAAAATTGCGTTCAGCACCCAAGCATGGTTTTTGTATCATTAACAAGTTTATCCTTTTATCTACTCTTCCATCATTAATCTTTACCCAAAACCATACCACATCGATCCTTGTCAGATATAGCCACAATGCTCCAATTATATGCCATCTATTGCAAGCCGACATAAAGCCGACATAAATAAAATAACCGAACCACCATTTCTAAGTAAATTTCACAAGAAGATTGGTAAAAGAAAATACAGAATTGCCAAAAAAAAAAAAAAAATCAACTACGAATCTGATAACACAAAACACTCATAGAGTTCATCAATAATATATGTATTCCAGAATCAAAGCCAACTACACTAAAGAGGCTAATAAAGCAATCTCATTTATCTAAAAATTAAGAGAAAACAGATTACCAAAAAAAGTAAAATTTAGCATAAGGATGAAAACTTTTTTTAATGGATGTACCCACATTCTGGAAATTATACTTGGAAAGAAAGCAATCAAAGAATCAAATAAAGGTTTGAGACCTTACCAGAAAAGTAAAAGTAAAATAAAGAAACCAAATTATCACTTGCTCACTCAAATTAAACCACTTCAGTTCTCATCCAAGAAACCAGAAACCAGAAACCAACGATAGAAACAGTTTCACATTCAAGTCGCTCTTTCTCTGTCTTTGAGCAAGCAAATTTTCATCTGCTTTTTCTCCAATCAGTCAATGTAAGTCTCTCTGTGACACTGTGTTGCCCTCGTACACAAGAAGAAAAAAAAAGCCGTGATTCCCTCCATGGTTGCCCTCGTACACAAGAAGAAAAAAAAAGCCGTGATTCCCTCCATGCAGCACTCTTTGTAGGTTGACGTTTATTATGACGTCTACATACGTTAACGCGGTAAGTAACGGACGCCCATTGCTTGAATTTGCTGATGTGGATAAAAACTATTGGATAGTGTTTATATAATATTTATAGTCCCGATACACTATAGTGAAAGCCCATATTATTGTCCCGTTTGTTGGGACCACTCCTGCGTAAATAGATCACGGCCTCTGATACCAATTTATCCAATCACTTGCAATCTTACATGCAAGTTTCAAAAAATGTCGCCATTTCCAAATCTTGAATTTTTACCCTAAAAACCATTGCCCTAAATACTTTGTCAATTTTAAAAAAAATTACACTAAATACTTATCACATTTGAAAATTTAATAAATAATAAATTATTTATTTCATTTTTAACCTTTATATATGATCAATAGCAGTTAAATAATTTTCACTCAAATAAAAAATTAAAAGTAATATAATAAATTCACTGAATAATTTATTATAAATTGAATGATTTTTCTTAACTATGAGAAGTGAAATATCTAAATATAATAAATATTTGAGAAAGAAAAATGTATCAAATAGCACTAGGATTATAACTAGTTTTTTTTATCAAAATAGATAACTCACGATTTTCTAACATTCCCCTTCATGTCTTAGTTGAAATAGATTAATTATCATTTAAGGTAACTTGTATCCTATTAAAACAAATAACTCATTAACTAATGTAAAGAGTGTTAAAGGAGTGATTTTTTTAGTTTGAATAAAATTTTCTTTTAGAAGATTTTGAATAACATTTTTTAATAGGTAACAATTTTTAAAATATTAAGGTATTTCAATAAATAAATAAAAATTTATTAAAAAGTCATCTAAAAAAGACGGTGTAAATTTTGTTATTTTAATAACATTTAACTATGAATTGTTTTACTTGCATTTTATTAAATATTTTTACTATAAATGTTACAGGATTATAGAGATTTACATGGATAAGAGAGTAAGCTAACGTATTTTATGGAAATAGAAGAAACTTGGAAAGGACAAAGGAATATAAGGTTTTCTGTCATTGCTAATTGCTAGGAAGGAACCTCATCTTGCTTCCCACTAAGAGAGAACCTTTGTCTTTACCTTAAATAATTATCCTTTGAAAGTTGAAACTTCCTCGTGAAGTAGAAGATGAAGTTATCAAATGTGGACGACCTTAGCTAAAACCTTAACGCCGTTTTTAATCATCCATCCTTCTCAACTCAACTCAACTCAAGCGCTTTTGCTTTGAGTGCTCAAGTGGCCAATCTCCGATTCCTACAAGGGAAGGAATAGGATGGCTAGTTTACTCATTTTATGTCTTTAATTTAAATATCTCCGATTCCTACAAGGGAAGGAATAGGATGGCTAGTTTACTCATTTTATGTCTTTAATTTAAATAACACAAAGAAATTTTATTTATGAGATTTTTTATTAAGCAAGCGAAATTTATTAAAAGAAATTATTTGTAACTGATATTACTTAGATTTATTTAGTTTTTTATAAATAAGAAAAATAAAAATATTAGTTTACTCTCTCAATTGTCTGTACTTAGATTCCTATTTAAACATAGCAGGCAAAAAAAAAAAAATGTAAAATATAGTTACAAATTTAAATAACATATGTCAATCAATCCAAAACCCTTTCGTAAGTTAATTGTCAAATTGAGGTACTACACGAAGTATTCAGTCCGTGTCCGTTTTGACGATCCACTTCCCGTATCCGTTTTGACGATCCACAGATCTAATTAATTCCCGCTCGCTCTTGGAGGCAACAGGATTGGCCCAGAATAACTATTTCTCACTAATTATGCTTCCCATGGAGAATCAATTCCTTAACTTGCTAGTGAATGAGAGGTGGAATCGGCTTTCATGTATAGTTCAAACTTGACCCTAAAAAAAAGAACAAGAGAATAAACTTTTGGAGTGAGCTTGTGTCCTCAGTCACAGAATAATCCTTTTTGGAAAAATGTCGAAATGTTTAACAAGACGCTGCTTCTTGAGTTGCTTCTCCGATATCCTCATCACAATTTCTGTGAAAAATTAAGGCTTAGTGGTGTGGCAGTATAGATCTTGAAATTTTTCTTTTTCATTTTATCAAAATTTTATTTTGAAATAGTACATAAGTAAAAGTTATCGAACGGTTAATGTTATCTATCAGCAACATTTTTAATTTTTTAATTAAATAATCTCAACAACCCCACCGAATCTCTCAAATCCTCTCATATAGCCGTGGCTATTTTTGTTGATTTATTTATTTTATTCAAATTATTTTGCTTTTCATTTTGATTTTTATTTTCTTCTGATTCGCTCAACCGTTAGTGTTGAAAAATAAACCAGTTGAAGGGACTTGTTGCGTTCCCTTTAATTTCTAACTTTGTCTAAGAATACTTACCGACTACACTAGACCAGTCACGGTTGGATTAATCGACAGTGATAAAAAGTCTAATAATAAAGTTATGTCTTCTGCATTTTGCTACTAAGATTATTCAACAACTTCTGGAGAGTATAATTATTCAACAAGTTCTGGATAGTTCATGATGTCAGTGATGATGAAGTTGTTACCGTCATTGCCATCTGCAATCTGTTTCAGCACCAAATTTTGGTAATAACGAAGACAAGATTGCGAAAATTCTATTAATGAGCATATAAGAGCAGGTTGGGTTTTTGAATTCCCACCATCGTCATTGCATAGCTTATACAGAGACAATGGCTGAATCATATCCAATGAAAGGAGGAGATGCTGACTACAGCTACTACAAAAATTCCTTCTTTCAGGTATTGATTTTGTATATTAGAGAAAATGTTTAAAAGACAGTTTTTTCTCATTATTTGATCTTCATTTGCAGAGAGAAGCCATTAATACTGCCAAAAGATTGATTGATGAGACAATTGCTCATAATCTTAACATAAAAGATCTCCTTTTTGGTTCTTCAAGCTCATTTAATATTGCGGATTTGGGATGTTCAGTTGGGCCAAATACCTTTATTTGCAGTGAAATATAAGTGTCAATCTCAAGGTCTTGCTTCCCGAATTCCTGAATTTCAAGTGTTCTTCAGTTCAGTTGGGCCAAATACCTTTATTTGCAGTGAAATATAAGTGTCAATCTCAAGGTCTTGCTTCCCGAATTCCTGAATTTCAAGTGTTCTTCAATGATCATGTCTTGAATGATTTCAATACCCTATTTAGATCTCTGCCTCCAGAAAGTGGATATTTTGCTGCTGGTGTGCCCGGTTCATTCCACGGCCGTTTATTCCCCAGGTCCTCTCTTCATTTCATTCATACTTCCACTGCATTACATTGGCTATCTCAGGTGCCAGAAGAGATTCTAGAAAAGAACTCTCCTGCTTGGAACAAGGGCAGAATTTTCTACACTAATGCCTCAGCTGAAGTATGCAAAGCATATGCCACCCAGTTCGCAAAGGATATGGAGATATTTTTAGATGCTAGAGCTAAAGAGCTTGTGGTTGGTGGGATTGTTGTGATCATGGTGCCAACCATCCCCGATGGGATTTCTCATTCTTGTGAATCTTGTAATGTGTTGTTTGATCTTCTAGGATCTATCCTCATGGATATGGCTAAAGAGGTCAGCCTAAGAACTCATGTTTATACTAAAAATACATTCGATTTCACCAGTTTCAATTCGCTATCAAGAACCAAAATAACCTTATTGCAAAGTAACCTTATTAATTGATTTTTGTTTTAACCAGGGATTGGTGAGTGAAGCACAAGTGGACTCTTTTAATCTGCCCATGTATATTCCGCATGCTAAGGAGATGATAGAACTTGTAGAAAGAAACAGATGTTTCAATATTGAGAGAATTGAATCATACAAGTTTTTATCTGGTTTTGATACTGACAAAGCACTTTAGAGCTGGCTTGGACGGAATTATTAGCCAATATTTTGGAAGTGGGATTATAGATGAATTGTTTGATCGGTTTCTTAAGAAGACGCAAGAATTGTCTTCCAAGTTGCAGGCCAGCTTAGCAGAAACTTCTCAAGTATTTCTTGCTCTAAAACGTTCGTTATCAATTCTCTGTGATGTATTCTAATTTACAAGCATATTTTGTTTCTAAAGTTTTCTTGTTGATATGGGCAAGACCTGCTTCTCAATGTTAAAATTGTCAGCAACACACTGTAATAGTTGATATTGATAATAAAATTGTGTAGATAGGAGAGATTATATATTTGAATAAATATTAAAATCCTATTATAACATTGAAAGTCCAATAAAACCAACGGATTGATTTGAGTGGAAAGAGCTCAGGTCCCTCAAGCAAAATGTTTGATTATTCTATCATGTGAACGGAGAAGATCTCTATGCTTACCTAATTCCGCACATGGTTTGTAATTTTTTTTTATGAAATTATGCACTTAGAGAATAGCTGGTTTTTATTGCTGTTGCTACCATATCTGTTAGCCAAGCTAATATTAATTTATAAAAATATTAATAATAGTTAGGCAAAAGAATTTATAAAAGGACATAAACGCAACATTGGTTAATGTTAATGTTTGGTTATTATATGGACATGAATGGTCCGACATTTATGATGAAATTATTATCTAGTAGGCTAGCTGTTATTACGTTGGGTTGGTTGTCTTTCAGCATGTTATGCTTATTATAGGTTTCGGAAACTTTAAACTTATCAAGGTTCTAATATCGGCTTGATATCAAATAAATTGATTAGTTTTTTTTTTTTAATATTAAATTGATTACTTTTAATTATTTTATAAATATAAATTTTAAAACTTTGAAAAGATTAACTATTTTATTTTTCATATAAATCAAAGTGATTAAATCACTTTGATTTATATGAAAAATAAAATAGTTTATTTTTTCAAAGTTTTAAAATTCCACTCTTTACTAGTGATGTGGAAAATTACCGACTTAATCGAATCTTAAACTAAACCTACACATTCTGATTTTGTTTGATCAGTGATTGACTTGAATCGAATTTGTCAGCTTATTTGGTTGAAACCGAATTTATTACTTGGTTCAAGTCAGTTTCATAGAAATTTATCAATTAACTTAAAATTGAATCGATATGGCAACAGACTAAATCCGGTTAAACCAACTGGTTTGATTTGATACAGATACCAATTTCAGTTTGATTTGATCTATTGTCCAAAAACCTGCGGTTAGTATTCTTTGCCTTGATTTGATTCAGTTTGAATCAAAACCCTACTCTTTATGGCTACAACCCTTTTGACAATAATTTTTTAACACAGTTTTTTTATAATAATACATGTAAAAAAAGATAAGATGCGAAAATTCTCACCACCACCATCCCATAGCTTATACAGAGACAACGAGCCAAAGCACAGCCACAATGTCAATGGTGGAATCATATCCAATGAAAGGAGGAGATGACCACAACAGCTAATCAAACAATTCCTCATTTCAGGTACTCATTTTGTACGTTAGAGAAAATGCTCAAAGGAATATATATAAAGTTTTTTTTTTTTTTTGCATTATTTGATCTTTATTTGCAGAGGGAAGTCATTGATAATGCTAGAAGTTTGATTGATGAGGCAATTGCTCGTAATCTGAACATAAACGATCTCATTTTTTGTCCTTCAAGTTCATTTAATATTGCGGATTTAGGATGTTCAGTTGGGCCAAATACCTTTATTCTTTATTATCTATATAGAGCAGACTATGATTCTTTATGGCAGATTGGAAGTCATCTGAGTAAATGCTAGTAAGTGTGCATGTGCTCGTAGGCAATTGCTCGCTGAATTCCTGAAATCATATAAACGAGATTCACATTTTGACTCATACAATGTTCTAATGTAATAATCTTGAGCGTGTATATCCGCAGTTAATCTACATGTTAACTGGGACCAATTATCACGCGAAGAATTTCACCCTCTAATAATAAGTGGAGCTGACAGACATAATTATCGAATGCAGTGAAGACATACTATGTATAATCTCAAGAGAGCATCTATATGACTTCCAGCATAAATTGCCTGTAAGTGTCTTAAGGTTTAAAGTCACATATCGAATTATAGAGGCCTTCGGATATGTGATTATATCAATATCTCCTAATTTAGAGTCTCGTTCCTCACACATATTCAGGGTTACATTGTTGGCGCGTGCTCTATGGTCATTCCATGTGACTTGTTATTCCCCGGAAACGCGCGCATCTAATTGCGAGCCTTCTCGTTCATTGCATGGCTATCGAGATGCCAGAAAGATTCTAAATAGACCCACTCTCCTGTTTGGAACAAGGGCAGAAATTTTCTAACTAATGCCCTCAGATGAAGTAAGATGCAGAAGCATATGCGCTACCCAGTTCGAAAAGGATAGGGAGATATTTTGATGCTAGAGCACGAGCTTGTGGTTGGGTGGGTATATTATTAGATCTGTGTGCACTATCCATGAATGGGATTTCTCATTCTTTGTTGAAATTTAATTGCGTCGTTTGATATTGCTGAGGGATCTACCCAATGGACATGGCTAGAGAGGTCAGTTCAGACCCTGAGTATATCTGAAAATAACATTAATTAATTCAATTATTGCACATTATTAACTATCATTTCAATACTGCCAATCATTATTGTGAGGATTTGATATACTGTTGTGTCATACTTATTATTATGGCTTTGGGGAGTTCTCATTGATTTGCATATTACCTCTATTTTGAATTGTTTCAATTCAAATGCTAATGATCCTTCTCAAGTTATAGCTCGCCCATAATCAAGAATATTCTCCATTGGAAATTAAGATATCTTTTAATTTTTGTTAAGACATGAATAGGGAGGGTGAAGAAGTGCAAGTGACGAGAGAAGTGCAAGTGGACTCGTTCAATCTTCCCATTTATATTCCATCTGCTAAGGAGATGACAGAACTTGTAAAAAGAAACAGTTGCTTCCTTATTGAGAGAATTGAGTTATTTAAAGCTTTTTCGGCTATTGATGTTATGACCAACGGAAAAACATTGACAAAGCACTGGAGAGCTGCATTGGAAGGAATTATTAGCAAACATTTTGGAAGTGGGATTGTAGATGAATTGTTTGATCGGTTTCTTAAGAAGATGCAAGAATTTTCCTCCCAGGTGCAGGCCAGCTTAACTTAAGCTTTTCAAGTATTTTTGGCTCTGAAACGTGTGTAATGTTCGATCTTCTGTGATGTAGTCTGATTTAAAAGTCATTTTCTGTCTAAAGTTTTCTTGTTCACACGTGCAAGACTAGCTTTTCAATGTTAAATAAGTCTGCGACACTCGTAAGAATGTCAATGTTGATAAGAAAATTGTGAACGAGAGACTTGACTTTTTTCTGAAGGAATGATAATCAAGCATCCTTGTCTTTTATGCTTTGATTTTAGTCACGTGTGTCATATTACTAACGGATCTTTTTTTACAGTCAATAAATTAAAATTTAAAGGTTTAATGAATAAAACTCATTGAGTTGAAGGGCTTAACCAAATTTTAGTCACGTGTTTCATATGCTCACATGTCGAAAGAAGTGACAAGATGAGTCGAAGAGCTTTATCTTCATCTTCGGTTTGCACTCCAGGAGTTTTCAATTCAGAGATGATACCGTTAAGAACACTCAGGTGATTTGATAGCTTTGTACCTTCTGTCATTTTCAACATATGAAATTGCTCATTCAAATATAACCTGTTGGATATATTTTTTCCCTAGTATAATTCTTCCAGTTTTCCCCACAACTCCTTTGTCGTGGACAATCCAAGAACATTTTTTGCTAGACACATGCGAATTTGACTTGCCGCTTTGATATCCAGCTCCTCACATTCTTCATCGCTAATCTTGGATTTTTCTAAGTCTCTACTACCACTATCTTTTCCTGAATTCTTTCCGCTGACTGGTTTATCTTGCAAAACCTTATGCAGTCCAGACTGAATCAACACGTCTTTGACTTGCACTTGCCACAGTGCAAAATTCATTCTCTCGTCAAATTTCTTTTTTTTTAAAGAGCTCTCGTCAAATTTCTCAATCTTACCTCTCATAGCCAACATGCTTATTTGTGCTTATAATAGTGAACCCAATAATTAGTGAAGTAAACCGATTCAGCAATACACAGGAAAGACCACAATGATCTCCTAGACAGTATTACCATGATGGTCTCATAGCCAACTATGCTTATTTTGTATTATGACCTGTATCGAATAGTGAAACCCACATAATTAGTGACATTGTAAGTTAGGAAACGATTCAGCAATACAAGAGAAAGAACACAACACACCTCGCTAGACGTGATTACCATTTCCACGTAAAACTCCCAATGGCGCGAGGGGTCACAAGTGGTCCCCACTATAAATATCCGGCCTTCTAGATTCAGAAGTTGGACGTGCAGCGGTATAGTGTATCAGAATTTCCCGTACCAGAATAAGCTTCAATAACTAATCGTCCAGGTACTCTTTCACCACCGGGCTGCACCGAGCACACCAAGGCAAAGCCCACTCACTATCAAAGACTTCAAAACTCCACCGCCTTTAAAAATCAAAATAATTTCTAACAACAGTATTTCTGATGTGGAAGATCAGACTAAGTTGCAACCACTGAACTCCAATTAAAATTAGTGAAGTAAACCGATTCAGCAATACACAGGAAAGACCACAATGATCTCCTAGACAGTATTACCATTCCACGTAAAATCCCAATTGGGCGGAGGGGTCACAAGTGGTTCCACTTAAAATCCGGCCTTCTAGACAGAAGTTACGTGCACGGTATATTATCAGAATTTTCGTACCAGAATAACTTCAATAACTATCGTCAGGACCTTCACCACCGGTACTCGAGCACACCAAAACAAAGCTCCACTCACTTCAAGACTTCCAAAACTCCACCTGCTTTTAAAATAAAATAATTTCTAACAACAGTATTTCTGATGTGGAAGATCAGACTAAGTTGCAACCACAGTGTGCAAACTCACAGTGCAAAGCTTATAATTTAATTACAAGAATCTATAATTAACCACAAGATATTCGCCTAACAACTAGGCTCTGGATACCAACTGTGGGGAAAAATCGCTATTCTTCGCCCTTCAGATCCGCTTCAAGCAGGAAGCAAATGAGAAAATAAAAATAATGACTGAGAATTAAAGAGAATAAAATAACACTAATAAGATGGATAATGTGGAATAACTATGCGGTCCCTCAAGGAAGAAAACACGCCAGCGAGCTGTTGCCAACACGATTTTAGACAAAGAAATAGGGATTCACTAAGAACGGTCAAATTAAATTATCAGATCTACAATTAATTACTAATTAATAGTTATTTCTTACACTCGGAAACATCTTCATATAGCGACCCAAACTCACTGTATACTATCTACATAGCGTATTTTTAAGAAAGACTTAGCTCAAAACTCCTCCTAGATAGTAGATCAAGAAACACATTCCATTGAGGTACATAGTGTTTGTTAGAGGATAAGAACACTAATATGCAAATTCCTAATCTATGATTAACCGACCAGAGATTCAGCCAATCCACTGTCAACAAAGGCCCTCAAAAGCTCATCTCCCTGGTGCGGGATTGAGCTAAACTTTTTTTTTTTTTTCTTTTGTTTTCAACAAAGGAGGCTAACATATAGATCTTGAAATTTTTGTTTTTCATATGATCAAAATTTTATTTTGAAATAGTGCATAAGTAAAAGTTATCGAACAACCTTATCTATCAGCAACATTTTTAATTTTTGAATTAAACCATCTCAACAACCCCACCGAATCTCTCAAATCCTCTCATATAGCCATGGCTATTTTTGTTGATTTATTTATTTTATTCAAATTATTTTGCTTTTCATTTTGATTTTTATTTTCTTCTGATTCGCTCAACCGTTAGTGCGTTCAGTTTAATTTCTAACTTTGTCTAAGAATACTTACCGACTACACTAGACCAGTCACGGTTGGATTAATCGACAGTGATAAAAGTCTAGTAATAAAGTTATGTCTTCTGCATTTTCCTACTAAGATTATTCAACAACTTCTGGAGAGTATAATTATTCAACAAGTTCTGGATGGTTCATGATGTCAGTGATGATGAAGTTGTTACCGTCATTGCCATCTGCAATCTGTTTCAGGGCAAATTGGAATTGCAATGAGAGAACACTGACTATAGAAAAGTTCCGTAGTGTAAAATTGAAAAAGAAAGGTAGGTAACTCTGGTGGCGAAATTATACCGGGTCGCATTTGTGCTCGGATCAACTCGCGAAATACCCACACTAAAAGTGGTCGCTCTAACAAGCCAACTTTCTGGACGAGTATAACCAGTATTTAATACAACAAAACAGTATTAATATACGCAACTTTTTCCCTTGGAAGGCAGAAGACTGTTAAATTAGGAGTAATTGTGATTTCGAAAATTCAAAAGACAGTTTACATGGACATTGATGTTCGGGAGAAAATGAGAACGTCTTGGTACCTTCGAAGGAAAAATTCCGGGAAGCAAAGGACCCTGAGATTGACACTTTATCTTCAACTGCAAATAAGAGGTACTTGTGCCCAACTGAATGAGTTCCCAGATCTTAGTGGTCGGCCGAACTAATAAATAAAGCTTGAGAGAATCACTCGAACAAAAAGATGAGCCTGTTTTGATGTTAAGAGATGCATAGACACTGACAAAGTTTGTCTCATCATCGAATCCTTTGTGGTCAGTATAATCTGGAAGACTAAATAGATTGCGAGAAATCGATCTGTCTGACTCTAATGCAGAATAGAAGAAGTAGCATGAAAAATCTAAGAGCAGGTAGGGTATTTTGTCAGACCATATTGACGCAACCAATAATCCATTGCTAATATGCGCATAGCTCGATGCACAGTAGAGACCACAGAATTGTGGCTGATAATTAAAACACTATTCTGAATGCATATACGCAGGTAGAGATAGTCTATACTATACATGAGATACGCACACCAGAAAATTATCCTTCTTTCAAAGGTCTATATAACTTTCTATTATGAGTTAAAAGCAAGAAGGAAATGGCTGAATCATATCCAATGAAAGGAGGAGATGCTGACTACAGCTACCACAAAAATTCCTTCTTTCAGGTATTGATTTTATATATTAGAGAAAATGTTTAAAAGACTGTTTTTTCTCATTATTTGATCTTCATTTGCAGAGAGAAGCCATTAATACTGCCAAAAGATTGATTGATGAGACAATTGCTCATAATCTTAACATAAAAGATCTCCTTTTTGGTTCTTCAAGCTCATTTAATATTGCGGATTTGGGATGTTCAGTTGGGCAAATACCTTTATTTGCATGGGAAATATTATTGAGGCAGTGAAATATAAGTGTCAATCTCAAGGTCTTGCTTCACGAATTCCTGAATTTCAAGTGTTCTTCAATGATCATGTCTTGAATGATTTCAATACTCTATTTAGATCTCTACATCCAAACAGGGGATACTTTGCTGCTGGCGTGCCAGGTTCCTTCCATGGGCGTTTATTCCCCAGGTCCTCTGGCGTTTATTCCCAGGTCCTCTCTTCTCTAATGCAACTTCCGCTTTCATTGCATGCCATCTAGCATGCATCTCAGATGCCAGAAGAGATTCTAAATAACCACTCTCCTGTTTGGAACAAGGGCAGAATTTTCTACACTAATGCCTCAGATGAAGTATGCAAAGCATATGCCACCCAGTTCGAAAAGGATATGGAGATATTTTTGGATGCTAGAGCCAAAGAGCTTGTGGTTGGTGGGATTATATTAATCATGGTGCCAACTATCCATGATGGGATTTCTCATTCTTGTGAATATTTTAATGTGTCGTTTGATATTCTGGGATCTAGCCTCATGGACATGGCTAGAGAGGTCAGTTTCAGAACTCGTGATTGTACTAAAAATACATTTAATTATATCAGCTATTACAATTATACTTCATCATACTGTAATCTTATTGTAAAATTTGATATCTTTGTGCATCTTATTATATGGTTTTGGGAGGTTCTCCATTGTTTGCATCTTACCCTTATTTTTGAATGTTTCAATTCAAATTCATGACCTTCCAAGTTATAGCTCGCCCATAAAGAAATTCTCCATTGTAATTAATCCATTTTTGTTTAAACATGCACAGGGATTGGTGAGAGAAGTGCAAGTGGAATCGTTCGAGAGAAGTGCAAGTGGACTCGTTCAATCTCCCCATTTATATTCCATCTGCTAAGGAGATGACAGAACTTGTAAAAAGAAACAGTTGCTTCATTATTGAGAGAATTGAGTTATTTAAAGCTTTTTCGGCTATTGATGTTATGACCAACGGAAAAACATTGACAAAGCACTGGAGAGCTGCACTGGAAGGAAGTATTAGCAAACATTTTGGAAGTGGGATTGCAAATGAATTGTTTGACCGGTTTCTTAAGAAGATGCAACGATTTTTTTTTTTGGAAAATAATTATTATAATTTGAGGTTTTACAAAATTAATTATCTTGTTCTCCAATCATTGTATATTAAACATTTAGTCTCCAAGATTTGATTCCGTCTCTGTGCTTCCGTCAAAAACATATATGAGTTTTCCGTTAAAAGATGAAAAAAAAAAAAAAGAGGGAGGAGAGAATTATTTTAAAATAACAAATGATGCCCTTAAGCTTTCTTTCTCTGACCCTTTCTTCATCGTCTTCCTCCGATTGTCCTGCCTCCTTGGGAACTGTCAAGGTTGGAGGCTTGAAATTATTCCAAGAAAAGTAATAAGGAATTTTTTTTTTCAGAAACTAATAAGGAATTAACTTTTATGTGTTTAGAAAAGTATACAATTATTTTCAATTAAAAAAATTATTTTAGAATAAATCATAAATTTTTATGAAAAAATTGTTTAAAAATAAAAATTAGTTGTTATGGATAAAACCACAGTTTATTATATTTTTACTGATATTAATTTTGAAATAAAAATAAAAATATTTTAAAACTGAAAAAGTAAAATTTATTTTTTAGAAACTTTGATTTATTGAGGTTTCATAATTTTTTATTTGCAAAATTTTAAATATTAACCCGTGTCCATGATTACTTGTAAGATATTGAAAAAATGTTGAAATACATCATATAGAAATTACTAATTTTATCAATTTTTTTATCAAAAATTAAGTTTGGCTCAAAGTCGTTTTTGCAGAAATGGATTCTGGAATTCTTGAAGGGAATAATGAAGGGAATAATTGATGAGACAATCCATGAGAAGCTTGAAACGAAGTCATTTTTATCAACTTCATGTAGCAAGGCATTTTGTATAGCTGATATGGGATGTTCAACAGGACCAAACACCTTTTACTATGTTCATAGTATACTTGAAGCTGTGGAGCGAAAGTTCATAAATGAAGGCTTCACTTACGATCAAATACCTCAGTTTCAAGTTTTCTTTAATGATCTTCCATTTAACGACTTTAATACCCTTTTCAAGTCTCTCCCACCTCAAAGGAAATATTTTACAGCAGGGGTACCAGGGTCATATCATACCCAGTTGTTTCCTGACTCTTCTCTCCATTTTGTGCATTCCTCTTACACATTACATTGGCTTTCTGGCGTTCCTGCAGTGGTGTTGGACATGGACTCTCCTGCACGGAAGGAACGGAGGGAGAGTTCACTATACAGGTGCATCAGAAGCAGTAGTAAAAGCCTTTGCTGCCCAATTTAGCAAGGATATGGGGATGTTCTTGAATGCCAGAGCAAAAGAATTTGCAGAGGGAAGCATGATGGTGCTAATCATTCCTTCTATTCCTGATGGGGTCTCTCCGTCAAATGTACCAACCGGGGTATTGCTGAATCATTTTGGGTCGTGCCTTCTGGACATGGCAAAAGAGGTAATAATATAGAAACCTACTAGACTGGTGGATTATATGAAATCATAGATTTAGGGGTCTGCTTGATTCGGCAATGGAAAATCAGCTTTTAATGATGGTTGATCAATAGTTAAATATTAACAATAACAATTTGAAAAGCTAAATATTAAAAATTTAAAACATGTAAATAACCAAATCAAAATCCTGATTGCAGGGATTAATATGTGATGCACTTCTGGACTCTTTCAACATTCCATTGTACTGTGTAACGCCCAAGGAGCTTACACAGCTTATAGAACAAAGTGGGTGTTTTAGCATTGGAAGAATGGATCCTACAGATTGCGAATGCGACCCTGATAATCAACCTACTGAATATACAATCATGATGCATTTCAAAGAACAGTCATTACCACAACCTTGTTGGAGCTGAGATTCTTAATAATTGTCTTGAACGTTCCTCGAGGGATGCATTGAAGGCTACGCCCTCGTTTATTTTCGCAAGCAATGGAAAGGTCTCAATTAACTGTTTTCTGAAACGAAAATCTATAATCAAAGCTATCTACTTCAACTAAATTAGACAGTGCACTTTATCGTAACTGATACCAAACAGAACTGACTAATAAAATTCTGTTTAAACATTCAAAATTATCAGTACCCATTATTAGTGTCAGCGAAAAACAAACACGATCAATGCTCGACATAGAAATTACATGTTCTATTCTCGAAAGCTATATAACACCTAAAATATCGATAAGTGCATCAACAATCAGCAAATATTCAATAGTCTTCAAATACTCCTATCAAAAAATGTTGTCAACTTAAAGTACGCTATTTCTGTTATGTGCCATTATTAAGAACAAACATTTACATCAGTATATTGTCTTTGATTAACATAATTCATACCAATATGAATATAGCATAAATTTTGAGCATTACCTTCTTAAACCAAAAGCAGTCACACATCTACATGAAAATGTTGTAAAGAGATAAAAAGTAGGAACCTGTTGATCCATTGATTGTTCTCGCTTGGATTAGCTGGCAAACTCAAACCAAGACTACGAACATAAAGACATGTTCGAAATTTCAGATTTGTTAATGAAAACGCAGTCGAAGCCCAAACTGGCGTTCAAGCGATGATAAATGTTGACACCTTCTCTTCCTCTTGATCTGGATCAGCTTGTCATAAACACACCAAGGAAAGCTAAGAAAATGATCTCGATTCATTCCCTCGTTGTAGCGACCCCAATAACTAGGATGATAAGTAACATAGTACCAAGCGGAGGCTTTTGCATAAACATCATCTTCTTCAGAATCTAATCCACTTCCCCTTTCTTTAAACCAAGATCTTGCTTCTTTTCTTAAGGACCTCACCGCCAAACCAATTGCTTCTGCGTCCCTTTTCTTGGTGAAAGCTTTTGACATTTTCATAATACTTCCACCGAGAATTTCAGCCTCAGTTCTGATGCCATAATAGTCCATATGATTACCCAATTTGTAATCATAATTTTTGACAAGAAGGCATCATCATACATAATCCTCAAACCATCAAAACGTTCCATATCAGGGTCATAAACACTGCCTTGCACTTCCAAGTAAAGGACTTATAGAGCTTGTATGTGTGCGATGTCTCTGCACTGCTCGGAAAAGCTTTCCAATCACATTCTGAGATTCATAGTGGGTTTGTCAGGCCTTTTCCATGAAACTCAGATATTTCTTTGCACGTAGATGAGAATGATTTCAGCTGGTACTCCGTTTGAAAATCAAGCTGCATTGAAAATTTACTGCAAGTTCCAGACCATGGTTTACTCATTGCTTTTCATGGTTCCCTATCAGCAAAGACGGTGTGAGCATTAGATAGTGAATTTCCAGCGTCATTTTAAGAGTAATTGGTGAAAACTCCGCACACTTCCTGTAGAAACCAAAATGAAAATTCTGAATAAAAAGGGAAAATGCGGCTTTCTGGCTGCATTATTAAAAAAAAAAAATCAAACTAAAGAAAAAAAAAAAATCAAGCTAAAGCAAAAAACAGAGTTTGCAGTTAGAACTTGATGCATACAGGTACACAACCTAAGATTTCACTGTTCTAAAGGATTTTTCAGAATCACATTTCCTTTTATTTTTTATTTTTTTTTTAAGCATTCAAAAAAAGGACTAGTTATGAGGTTGATAGAATAATGACCCTCTTGGACTGAACTACATTGCGTTGTAGTTTGAAGCATCCACTTTTACACAAAAATGAAGCATTGTGCCCAGAGGGGACCGAAAAAAACAGTTAGATTTTTGCTTAAAATTGCACAAATGAGATAGCTAAAAGAATTAAAAAGTACAAGATATCATTGTCACATAAATTAAAAAGGCCCGGGCCAAAGTTTGCTTTTGCAGCTTCCCTGAGATTCAGAAAACAAGATAATCAGCAATTCCCTTTCCATCTGCTTCTTATTTTTCTTGTAAATTGTGTAAATTCTTGCTTTATATAATAAGAAAAATCCATATGCATGTCTATTAGCATATGCTATAGACACATAAGAGCAAACTAATCCAGAAAAAAAAAAAGACTTTTGACACATAAAAGATGCAGGTGGAGTAAAGTCATCATAATACAGAAATAAAGGCACCACAAGGAAAAACAAAAATTAAAAGTAAACACCTATTAGTATTGAACCTATGTACAAAACTAAATCCTCTGTCATAAAGAAAAAAAAATTAAGGAACGTATGTATTTTTGAAGCATTGCAGCTTTATGTTTGACAATACCAGAATGTACCATAGAAGAGAAAAAAATTGATGAAGTGACTGAATAATCTTAAAAGATAGCGAAACAATAGTATTATTGTTGATGATAGATAATTGCTCCGACATTTCATATGTACACATGTAGTACCTGAATTGTGACATCATGATCGAGTTGCAAACTTGGCTGTGGTGTATAGTCCATTGGTGGGAGTTGCTGACGTGGGATTAAATCAGGATCCCAGCAGACAAAGTAGATATCTCCATCTAAATCACTACCCGAGCATTCATTTGGATGAGGTCTAAAATTGCAATTCAGATACTAATGTTAATACTGTTTTCACACATAAAAAATAAAAATAAAAATAAAAATCTGAAAAGGGGCACTATAATACTAGTCTGTTACTCTGTTAGCACTTGAAAAACAAAGAGAGGTGAGGTGTCCATGTTAGTGTCAATTGAAATTCTAAAGCACAGGAGTCTTCCCCCTGCATCCTCCAACCACCAAACTCCCCCCCCCAACCCCCCTAAAAATAATAGAAACAACAAATAACAAACCTGCCTGTGTCAATCAGCTTCATCAGACAAATAAATCAGAGATGATGAAGCAATGTCCACAGAATATAGACTAGGTATTTCTAAGGAAGCAGGAGTTTCCATTGGTACGTTCGACTGTTATCCACAAGAAGCCTACTGCACATGTCAAATAATAAAAGGGAACACAGATACCAGTTACTTCGTTTTCGACTTGTTTTTATCTTCACCAACGAAGCCTAACTCGCACATGTCAAATAATAACGGAACACAGATAACCTAGTTACAATTCATGAAAGGGAGTGGTTATCTTACAGAAAGATATTAATAATAGGTAGCTGATGTGACAGACCTAGTTATCTCACCAACCCAATTCTAGTTTTCCTTACAGTAATACCACAGAAGTAGGTCATCCAAAATTTTAGTTACCAAACATAGGCAGTTACACAACGAGAAGTAGACACTATCAATATACGATGAATGATAACATGGACAGCGAACAATCATAATAAACCTATCATATAGATGATGATAACATGGACAGCGAACATCATAATAACAGCAATAATGATTAACTACAATAACAACAATGATATTATAAGGTTCAATCCGCTGTGAAAGACACCCAGAAGATAAGAACTTAAACATCTATAGGAACATAGCTGCACAAACACAACTTCTATCCCTCTCTCATTCTTATATAACTGAGTCCAGCTATCTTTAAAGTTGGGACTTTGTGGTTCAGAGCCCATTGGAGAATAGAGAAATGATATTGGAAAGTAGACAAGAAGAGAGCATATTTCCAAGTTCTCTTTTGATAAAAGGTAAATTCCTCTGTCTTGCATGAAAAAAGCAGGGATTTTTATATTTTTCAAATCTGAACCCTTTGCAAATGCAACTGGAAAAGTAAATCTAAGAACTCTAAGTTATAAATATAGAACTGCAACTGGAAAAGTAAATCTAAGAACTCTAAGTTATAAATATAGAACTTCGGCACAGACAACTCAAACCAGAAACCAAATTGACGTAACTAAAGAATGACCTAAGCTATAAGGCTGGAAGAGACAGAGATATACCTTGGTCCTTTCTGTGGAAAAACAACACAGTCCACCATATGGTGCAAATCCGGTACATTCACAGCCCTTAAAACACGAATATCACCTGGGTGCAGACATGGGTTTTTAGCTACAATGACCATTCCCTCAATCACAAAACCGTTGCCTGATCCAATGCCTCCAACCATGGTGGAACTATCATACACCTGCTTATGTTTACTACCAGAATATTGCACAAATACCTGGCCATATTCCAAGTTTCTTGTCTCATCCAAACATCCCATCATAGATCTTCCATTTGGAACAAAGATTCTAGATTTTGTCCGCAGATCAAGCAACTTTGATGCTCGGAACATTTGGAGCATCATTGACTCTTGCATTGCTACGGAACATTTGGGGAGCATCATTGAAAGGGACCATCAGGCTTTTCAGCATCAGGCTGATGGAACCCGACACAGGAACATGCATTTCGTTTTGTTAGAACATGTTAGTAGGTTCTTTCTCCTCGGAGACATCCAAACTCTAAAGTGCTTCTTGGGCCCTTTATTACGAGTTTTGTTAAAATGGCATCTAGTTGCATCATACAGCCCTTCTCTCCTGATTTTCTTCTCAAGATATTGGTAGTCCGCAACGACCAAGGGTCGAAAGAAAAGAGTATGGATTTGGACGGAGTTCAGAAAAACAAGGCTGAATACATTGTCTATATTAACCTAAAAACAGTCCAGTCTTTGGTATTTTACAGACTCAGGATACTTGCTCACATGCTTTCTTCTCATATGATTAATGTTCTTGGTAAGAAAGAAAGTTGGGGATCAACTAGCCACAACTAACCTTTATACCCACCATAAAACGAATTTGAATGCAGATGGATAGAAACCTTGGTTGCCCACATTTCAACGCCACTCTGCGCGAGCGAACTCAGCAGATATTTTGCCTATTCCATCAAGAGATATGCAAATAATTTTCGGTTCTGCCCTTTCCAACCTCGTACATCTGGGAAGAATTTTCAATTTCATTTCCTACTAACACTCAAAGTGTATTTCAGTGGAACACTCAGTGTTTCAGTGGATGAACCAAAAGACTGACCTAATCTGGCTGCATATTTAGCCACGTTTCGTATCTGACGAAAGTTTCCCATCCATTCTCTTATATCTGCAGCAGTGAGCCCGTCTCTTGAAGCAAACATCCAGCAAGAATTTTCCCTCAGCTGGCTAGATGAAAAGGCAAGGAACTCAAACCTTTTATTTCCAATAACTATTCCATTTTGGAGAGTAGAGAGAATCCTTTTGTAAATAGCAGTCCTCCTATCCCCATTCCCAGAAGAAGCACGGGGACATAAATCTGTTGAATAAATTTTCTCTAACTCCTCATCAACAAAAGACACACGGAGAAAATTATTAATATCTTTTGAATAGTGGCGTATCACACGGTTTGAGACATTAACCTCTGGACCACAAAAATAGACTTTGCATGGTGTAATTTGGACCCTACGCATGTATACCAAACCAGAGCCTAGGGATATCGAAGGTGATCTTGGATGGCACTTAGACTTAAGATACTTTCTGTACTGCTCATCAAGCCACCTAGAAGGTTCATAACAACATTCTTTCAAGTGAAAAAGCTTCTTAAGAGCATGCTCTATGCAGTCAATATTCATTGTACTTGGATCAACCAACTCGTAAAAACTAGAATCAAGTGCTGACCCTGGAAGGCACCCATTCTGAACCAACAAATTAACTCGAAATAATATCTCAAATGGCAAATCAACGCCTGAGGGAGGACCAACAATCGGAACTAGATCCAGATTGCGAGAAAAAGCATTGCCATTCTCCAAAACAAAAATTCCTTCACTTTCTTTATAGTAAGAAAAGTTCTCCATTCTCCAAAACAAAAATTCCTTCACTTTCTTTATAGTAAGAAAAGTTCTCCTGAAATTTTGGAACATTAATGCTGGAAGGAAACTCCAAACATAATCCAGATGAATGCCCAATAAGGCAGAATGGTGTGAAATCGATTGTCCTGACCCATTGCTCATCAGGGGTATCCTTCAAGTCGTTGAAAAGCGGAATCTCAAACACATTAAATGTTGCAATCTCTTTCTCAAAAATTCGGGGTGCACCATATAACTAAAAAAACAGAAACCAAATTAGCAGTTTGCATTTTTACTTGAAATCTTACATGAAAAAAGAGATAGCACAAATTGTTTGATTATTGTATGCATCACATTCAGACTAATGACATAAATGAACCCAATAAAAGCACAAATTACCAACAGAAAGAAAAATAAGGAAAAGGGAAACTTTTTACATGACATACAGCTTTTTTTTATTCAGCAAAACAGTAAGCACCTTTCAATTCCCAAGTAAGTAAACCCTTGGCCTTAGATTCCACTTCCCATTTATTTTGGCAAGTCAGTGAATCACAAATGCCACATTTCTACCAGCAGGAAAAAGGAATTCAGCTATCTTGCCTGATAAGACCCTCATATTAGTAAACTTAACCAAGGGACAACTCTTTCAAATTCCCTGAGATAGAAAGTTTGCCAATTTTATTGATAAAACCATATTAAAATCTCTGTGCCCCTATCCATCAAGAGTACCTTATTTTGCTAGTTTTTGAAAACCATATTAAAATCTCTGTGCCCCTATCCATCAAGAGTACCTTATTTTGCTAGTTTTTGGATAAACGGTAAGTTATTTAAACAGAGGTGGGTAACGACACGTGCACAGACCATGTGCAGAAGACCAGTGAAGCATGAAAGATTGAGAACTAAAGATAAAGCATATCACTTAAATCTAAAAGAGTTAAAATATCTGCAGAATGATTAAAGAACCAGCAAACATCAGTCAAGAGTTTGGACAAGATTTTAAATTTTTAACAAGTGCCTAGTGCTTTATACCCTCACATGCATAAAAACCAGTCTCTGATCATATATTTGACATCAATACATGTCAAACAATAGCACTGCTTTAACGCTTTCTGAGTTAATCAGCACAATTTCTATATTCCGAATGCTAATTATTTTGCCTGAAATATATAATGCACGGCTGACCAGTAGAAAAATTGTCAATTAAAACAATTAGACTCAGACTGCAGACACACATATGTAAGAAATCAAAACCACGAATGAGCGAAAACTCTAAGCCCATGTTTGGACACCAAAAGAAACAAATAATTAACTTATTAGTTCAAAAAGGTATTCAGTCTGTTAGAAAAGCCAGCAGAGTCTGTTAGAAAAGCCAGCAGAAAGTTCAAGCAAACCAATAGGAATATCCAAATTTTCTTGATAACACCACATATGGCAAGGAAAAAAAAAAAATACATGCATGTATCATGCTTTAGTCGTAACCGAGATATAAGTAAATTGTTCAATTTACTACTAATAAGAGAATTCATTTTCACACCATCATACTCATTAAAGGCGTGCCTCATGCCTTACTTAAGGTTCAACTTCAAATTCAAGGGATTATGACTCAACAGTCCGCAGGCCGGCGACTAGCCTTTTTGGGCCTTTTTCGGCCTTAGGCCCAAGAAAGGCCCGTCTTTCTAATTTTTGTTTTAACAAGTCGCCTTTGAATATAAAACTGTCTAGCCCAGTATCTACTACAACAACATAACAACAATAAAGGCCTTAACCCCAAACTAGTTGAGGTTGGGCATATGAATCCTTTGTCATTATATCACAAAAACCAATGATATGCTTTAGATCCAGCCTCCACTCCATCTAGCACTCACCCCCTCCAGTCTAGCCTTTGGCTAACAGCCATTCAGACATGCCTCTCTCAATTTCTCTTCCAATTTGCTTTCTATATTCTTTCTTTCTTTTTTTTCTTTTTTTCATTTCGTGATTTTACTTTTCTATCTTAACTCCAATATCTTACAATATAACTTGTCTTGTTGCTATCTTCAATATCAACTTAGTCTTGTTGCCTTTTTTTTTGTTTATGTGTTTTTATGTGTTTTATTTATTTCTAATTTTCGCGCCTCACTTCACTCAGGCTAGCACCTAGGCTCCAATAGCTCTTTGCGCATAGGTGCCCCTTGCGCCTTTAATTACTATGCCCACTATGCAGCTCAACAATTTGTTTATGTAAAAGGAAAACATAGTTCATCCGTGCAATAAATAACAGGGCAAAAAAGGCATTTCCAAGGTTCGAAAAAGCCCTATAAAGAATTTCAAATAACAGAGAAAAATGCTGTAAGAGTATCAAGAAACGGTATTTAATAATCCAAAAATTAAATAAAATATATTGAAGAAACCTGAATTAGAAGATATTTCACAGATCGACCTCGTGGACAATGTAGCTCCATCTGCCAAACATTCTCATAAGAAAGGTCAAGCTTGTAGCCCATTTGTCCATGAGATAGAAAAAATTGCAATTTTCTCATTCCAAATCCAAAATTCACCGAAACATTTGTCCCTGTCCATAGAACAGAAAACTTTTCTTTTGATATGAACAGGAAAATTTTCTTTTGTTGTGATATCTGACATCCAAAATGCAGTGTTTATGGTCCATTTGGCTGTTGTAGAGAACGTTCTGGGCTGTATTGGTAGCAATTATCGGATTAGTCCATAAGGCTCAGAGCCTTGAGATATGAAGTGCGTAACAATATGAAGTGCCGTACCGAAGACGTTTATTAGTCAAAGATATAATTAATTCAGCATCTCTGGCAGTCTGGAATTGAACAATAGCATATTTTCTTCGACCCCTATTTTTGGTTTCCCTGATCTTCATTGCAAAAACAGTTCCTTCCCCTGAATGTGATTCCAGAAACTTCTTGACTTCATCTACAGTCACATGGGAAGGGAATCCATACACCTGAATCGTCTTACCCATCAAAGAAATTCTGTAGTCAAAATAGAACAAACTGAATCACCCACTACAGATACTAACGCTCCGAAATTTTTAGGGAGATATGCACTTCCACAATGTAAATGATCAAAGATTCTGAGTATAACTTTCTTGTAGGCATTGTCATGCAGTCAATCATAAAGCTAATCCAATGTAGAAAATATGAAAGGTAATAACTTATAAATAAAAATTTCGTGATTATGAACAGACCCCCACAAGCTTCCAGAATTATAGATGACAGAACCCCCACAAGCTCAAGCTTCCAAATATGACTCTGTAACTACTATGGCAAAATAATGCAGGATCCACCATGTGCTGGTTATGAATTTAATCAATGGCTTCCTTAATGAATAATTATATCAGCATAATCTAAATATGAACTCCGAACAAATGTGGAGAATCAAAGGGTTTACACGCATGTCCAGAATCAGCACCAAATACATGTTAACCACAACCTGAAGTATAACGATTTTGAAATGAAATCAATATTCGAGATTAAATAGAATCATTGAAAACACAAACTCTATGTGGAAAGCAACAGAGGCAAGAAAAAATAGCATTGCATTTAACACAAAAACAATGGAATGCACAAAGAAGCCAAGCATTTTACTCAGATTGATGTGATGAAATTTATAGCTTATGTCAAAAAAATATAAGACACTGCAATGAAATAAATAAGAAAAACAAAACAATGCTTATAACTACACTATCATCAAGAACTGCTAAAAGCTGAAAATCACTCAATCTAAAAACCTAAAATTGCGTTCAGCATCCAAGCATGGTTTTTGAATCATTAACAAGTTTATCCTTTTATTACTCTTCCATCATTAATCTTTATCAAAAACCATACCACATCGATCCTTGTCAGATATAGCCACAATGCCCCAATTATATGCCAGCTATTGCAAGCCGATATAAATAAAATAACCGAATCACCTTTTCTAAGTAAATTTCACAAGAAGAGAGAGATGGATATATTGGTAAAAGAAAACACAGAATTGCAGCCGACATAAATAAAATAACCGAACCACCATTTCTAAGTAAATTTCACAAGAAGATTGGTAAAAGAAAATACAGAATTGCCAAAAAAAAAAAAAAAATCAACTACGAATCTGATAACACAAAACACTCATAGAGTTCATCAATAATATATGTATTCCAGAATCAAAGCCAACTACACTAAAGAGGCTAATAAAGCAATCTCATTTATCTAAAAATTAAGAGAAAACAGATTACCAAAAAAAGTAAAATTTAGCATAAGGATGAAAACTTTTTTTAATGGATGTACCCACATTCTGGAAATTATACTTGGAAAGAAAGCAATCAAAGAATCAAATAAAGGTTTGAGACCTTACCAGAAAAGTAAAATAAAAAAGAAACCCAAATTATTCACTCCTCACTCAAATTAAACCACTTCAGTTCTCATCCAAGAAACAGAAACCGGAAACAGCGATAGAAACAAGTTTCCACATTCAAGTCCCGCTCTTTCTCTGTCTTGGAGCAAGCAAATTTTTCATCTGCCTTTTTTCTCCAATTCTCTGTCTTTGAGCAAGCAAATTTTCATCTGCTTTTTCTCCAATCAGTCAATGTAAGTCTCTCTGTGACACTGTGTTGCCCTCGTACACAAGAAGAAAAAAAAAAGCCATGATTCCCTCCATCGCAGCACTCTTTCTAGGTTGACGTTTATTATGACGTCGACATACGTTAACGCGGTAAGTAACGGACGCTACTGCTTGAATTTGCTGACGTGGATAAAAACTATTGGATAGTGTTTATATAATGCTTGTAGTCCGGATACACTATAGTGAAAGCCCATATTATTGTCCCGTTTATTGGGACCACTCCTCCGCGTGAATACATCGCGGTCTCTGATACCAATTTATCCAATCACTTGCAATCTTACATGCAAGTTTCAAAAAATGTCTCCATTTCCAAATCTTGAATTTTTACCCTAAAAACCATTACCGCAAGTACTTGTCAAATTTAAAAATATATATATATTAAATACTTATTACATTCATGGATTTAATAAATAATAAATTTTTTATTTTATTATGATCAATATCAGTTGAATGATTTTAACTCAAATAAAAAATTAAAAATAATATAATAAACTCACTGAATAATTTATTATAAATTAAATGATTTTCTTAATTAAGAGAAGTGAAATATCTAAATATAATAAGTATTTGAGGAAAAAAAAAAGGTATCAAATAGAACTAGGATAACTATTTTCTTTTATCAAAATAGATAACTCACGATTTTCTAACATTCCGCTTCATGTCTTAGTTGAAATAAGTTAATTATCATTCAAGGTAACTTGTATCCTATTAGAACAAATAACTAGTTAATTAATGTAAACAGTGTTAAATGAGTGATTTTTTTAGTTTGAATAAAATGTTCTTTTAGAAGATTTTGAATAACATTTTTTAATAAGTAACAATTTTTAAAATATCAAGGTATTTCAATAAATAAATAAAAATTTATTAGAAAGTTATCTAAAAAAGACGGTGTAAATTTCGTTATTTTAATAATATTTAACCATGAATTGTTTTATTGGCGTTTTATTAAATATTTAAAAAAATAACATTTCATTATTCCTCCTCTTAAAATCTAAACACCACTGTAAATGTTACAGTATTTACATGGATAAGAGAGTAAACGTTCCTTATGTATTTTATGGAAATAGAAGAAACTTGGAAAGGACAAAGGAAAATAAGGTTTTCTATCATTGCTAATTGCAAGGAAGGAAGGGGCCACCTCATCCTGCTCTCCACAAGAGAGAACCTTTGTCGTTACCTTAAATAATTATCCTTTGAAAGTTGAAACTTCCTCGTGAAGTAGAAGATGAAGTTATCAAATGTGGACGACCTTAGCTAAAACCTTAACGCCGTTTTTAATCATATGTGGACGACCTTAGCTAAAACCTTAACGCCGTTTTTAATCATCCATCCTTCTCAACTCAACTCAACCGCTTTTGCTTTGACTGCGTAAGTGGCCAATCTCCGATTCCTACGAGGGAAGGAATAGGATGGCTAGTTTACTCGTTTTATGTCTTTAATTTAAATAACACAAGGAAATTTTATTTATGAGATTTTTTATTAAGCAAGCGAAATTTATTAAAAGAAATTATTTGTAACTAATATTAATTAGATTTATTTAGTTTTTTATCAATAAGAAAAATAAAAATATTAGTTTACTCTCTCAGGTGTCTGTGTTTAGATTCCTGTTTAAACATGACAAGCAAAAAAAAAAAAATGTAGAATATAGTTACAAATTTAAACAACATATAAAAATGTAGAATATAGTTACAAATTTAAACAACATATGTCAATCAATCCAAAACCCTTTCAGAAGTTAATTGTCAAATTGAGGCATTGCTCGAAGTATTCGGCCCGTGTCCATTTTGACAACCCACAAATCTAATTAATTTTTACTCGCTTTTGGAGGCAAAAGGATTGGCCCAGAAAAATTTGCGTTGACGGAGGATCAAACCTATGACTCAAATCATAGTGATTTACTCCGTAAGTATTCTTTATCACCGAACTACTTCATTCGGATTATTATTGAATTTATTTGAATAAACATAGATAATGAAGAAAATAAAATAATAAATTGAATTCATTACCGCTTTACATGGTACGTGAAACAATTTTTACATAAGATTATAAGAATGAAATTCAATTCTTCTAATACAATTATAAGTTGAAAAATTATTGCATATAAACTTTTCCAAACGGTGCCATAAAAGAATTTCTAATGCATGAAATGAAAAATAAAAACTATTCTCACTAATTATGCTTCCCATGGAGAGTCAATTCCTCAACTTGCTAGTGAATGAGAGGTGGGATCGGCTTTCATGTATAGTTCAAACTTGACCCTAAAAAATGTAACAAGAGAATAAACTTTTGGAGTGAGCTTGTGTCCTCGGTCACAGAATAATCCTTCAGGAAAAATGTCGAAATGTTTAACAGGACGCTGCTTCTTGAGTTGCTTCTCCGATATCCTCATCACAATTTCTGTGAAAAATTAAGGCTTAGTAATGTGGTAGCATACCAAGAGTCGCTATAATACCAGTCTTCACGGAGCATCTGAACACCAGTCCTGACCCGAATATGAAATCACACATGCAAATCCAAAAAAGAAAGAGAGAAAGAACAACTAGTGATCTTTTCTTGTTAAGTGGATTGGTCCGATTGGAGGCTATGACTTACTCAATGGTAAGAGAATCTTTGTACATAAAATATGCGAGCGAGAAATATCCCATTGCAGTAGATTGAGATTCAATGAGTCTACTGCAATACATCCTCATACAGTGTCCAGCTATGGCATATGAATACAATATAACAAAATTTTACTTCATTGTAAAGACAGAGCATATGAATACAATCAAGTGAAACTTCAAAGGGGCAACGTAACAAACTTATAGTACAGGAACTTTTCGAATTTGCTCAACCTCATTATATCAATGAATATCTGCAAGTGAAGACTAGAAAATAGCTTATGATCCAAAACCACCTGGCCTCATCACACTAAATAAGAGCATTATATGGAACCTAAAACTAAAACTGAAGGGGCTATAGCAGCAACTCAGCAATCTGAATGGCATTAAGTGCAGCGCCCTTGCGTACTATAGCAGCAACTCAGCAATCTGAATGGCATTAAGTGCAGCGCCCTTGCGTATCTGATCCCCACAAACAAATATATCCAACCTGCTTGGAATTCCAGCATTAGTAAGATGGTCTATAAAGGCTATTTAATTATTTAGTGGGAAAAAAAAAAAAAAAAAGCTTGCAAGTGAGTTTTACCCATGATTCCCCTCTTGAGAAACATCACGGCGGATTCTACCGACTGCAACATCATCTTTGTTTGATATCTCCAATGGCGTTGGGAAGTGATTGGATGCCCGATCATCAATAACCACCACGCCAGCAGCATTCTTCAGAATGGCCCTTGCTGTGTCCTGGACAAACAACAAATTTATTAAAATTAAGAAATTGCTTGACTTTGAGAGATGGAGCAAAATGTAACTGCCAAAAAAAAAAAATGGAGATATATAAAGCCCTTTATGGAAATATGTTATAGTCATATCCAATTGTGGGCAAAATGACTTGGGAAAAAAATAGATATATTTATATATAAACAGCTATGGGTAGAACCACATGCATAGCAATAAACAAAGTTTTTCTAATTAAGAGTTAAACTTAAGGTCACGAAAACATCAAATTGAAGAAAAATAAAGAAGACACATCAAACAAGTTTTTATCAAGGCAAATATCAGAATATGGTTGTCTCATTCACATATTATCCACCATAAATAATAATACCAAGTCACTGACAAAACACACACACACTCTCATTCACATATTATCCACCATAAATACCAAGTCCTGACAAACACACACACACACACACACACAAAAAAACAAACGAGGACAAGAAGAAAAAGATATAGGAATCAAGATAAACTTTTCAAATAAACATATCAAATCAATCCATACATCTTTTATAAAACTTGAAGTTGTTGACTGTTTTATATTCGTTTCTCCAGTCTAAGAGTCCATGCTCTCATCAGTGATAAATCATGTCCCACTTTATAAAGTAGGCATTGGCATGAACTGTATGGAGAATTTCATACAAACTAGGAGCTATGACATTTTCCATTAAGTCCTACTTACACAAGAATGTCACTAGTAGATTTTGTACTTTTACTGTAGCAATTGCTGAACAAGAAAGACACGGTACTTTGAGTCCTAGTTATTTTATCTGAAAAAGATGAATTATTAGCCAAAATTTTGAAGTGGGATTATAGATGAATTGTTTGATCGGTTTCTTAAGAAGACGCAAGAATTGTCTTCCCAGTTGCAGGCCAGCTTAGCAGAAACTTCTCAAGTATTTCTTGCTCTAAAACGTGCGTGATCAATTCTCTGTGATTTCTAATTTACAAGCATATTTTCTTTTTAAAGTTTTCTTGTTGATATGGGCAAGACCTGCTTCTCAATGTTAAATAAGCAGCAACACATTGTAAGAGTTGATATTGATAATAAAATTGAGTAGATAGGAGAGATTATATATTTGAATAAATATTAAAATCCTATTATAACATTGAAAGTCCAATAAAATTAACTAACAATTGGTCTGAGTGGAAAGAGCTCAAATCCTTTAAGCAAAATGTCTGAGTGTTCTATTATGTGAATGGAGAAAATCACTACGCTTACCTAATTCGGCACATGGTTTGTATTTTTTTTTTTTCTATGAAATTATGCACTTACAGGATAGCTGAGTTTTCTTGCTGTTGCTATCATTGTCTGTTAGCCAAGCTAATATTAATTTATAAAAATATTAATAATAGTTAGGCAAAAGAATTTATAAAAGGACATAAACGCAATATTGATTAATGTTAATGTTTGGTTATTATATGGACATGAATGGTCCGATATTTATGATGAAATTATTAGCTAAAAGGCTAGCTATTATTATGTTGGGTTGGTTATGTCTTTCAGCATCTTAGGCTTATTATAGGTTTGGAAACTTTAAACTTATCAAGGTTCTAATATCGGCTCGATATCAAATAAATTGATTTTTTTTTAGAAATATTAAATTGATTAGTTTTAATTATTTTATAAATAGACATTTTAAAACTTTGAAAAGATAAATTATTTTATTTTTCATATAAATCAAAGTGATTTTGCGTTAAAAGTGAAAGCCATTACTTTTAACGCAAAATCACTTTGATTTATATGACAAATAAAATAGTTTATCTTTTAAAAGTTTTAAAATTCCACTCTTTATTACCGACCGAATCGAATCTTAAACTAAATCTACACATTCTGATTTTGTTCGATCAGTGATTGGTTTGAATCGAATTTGTCGATTTATTTTGTTGAAACCGAATTTATTACTTAGTTCAAGTCAGTTTTATAGAAATTCATCAATTAACTTAAAATTGAATCGATATGGCAACAAACTAAATCCGGCCGAACCAACTGATTTGATTTGGTACAGATACCAATTTCAGTTTGATTTGATCTATTGTCCAAAAACTTCGGTTAGTATTCTTTGCCTTGATTTGATTCAGTTTGAATCAGAACCCTACTCTTTATGGCTACAACCCTTTTGACAATAATTTTTTAACACAGTTTTTTGATAATAATATATGTAAAAAAAGATGCGAAAATTCTCACCACAACCATCCCATAGCTTATACAGAGACAACGAGCCAAAGCACAGCCACAATGTCAATGGTGGAATTATATCCAATGAAAGGAGGAGATGACGACAACAGCTACTCTAACAATTCCTCATTTCAGGTACTCATTTTGTATGTTAGAGAAAATGGTAAAAGGAAATATATGTAATTTTTTTTTCGCATTATTTGATCTTTATTTGCAGAGGGAAGTCATTGATAATGCTAGAAGTTTGATTGATGAGGCAATTGCTCGTAATCTGAACATAAACGATCTCATTTTTGGTCCTTCAAGTTCATTGCGGATTTAGGATGTTCAGTTGGGCCACTTCAAGTTCATTGCGGATTGTCCTTCAAGTTCATTTAATATTGCGGATTTAGGATGTTCAGTTGGGCCAAATACCTTTATTTGTATGGAAAATATTATTGAAGCAGTGAAATATAAGTGTCAATCTCAAGGTCTTGCTTCCCCAATTCCTGAATTTCAAGTGTTCTTCAATGATCATGTCTTGAATGATTTCAATACTCTATTTAGATCTCTCCCTCCAAACAGGGGATACTTTGCTGCTGGCGTGCCAGGTTCATTCCATGAGCGTTTATTCCCCAGGTCCTCTCTTCATCTAATGCATACTTCCGCTTCATTGCATTGATCTCAGATGCCAGAAGAGATTCTAAATAACCACTCTCCTGTTTGGAACAAGGGCAGAATTTTCTACACTAATGCCTCAGATGAAGTATGCAAAGCATATGCCACCCAGTTCGAAAAGGATATGGAGATATTTTTGGATGCTAGAGCCAAAGAGCTTGTGGTTGGTGGGATTATATTAATCATGGTGCCAACTATCCATGATGGGATTTCTCATTCTTGTGAATATTTTAATGTGTCGTTTGATATTCTGGGATCTAGCCTCATGGACATGGCTAGAGAGGTCAGTTTCAGAACTCGTGATTGTACTAAAAATACATTTAATTATATCAGCTATTACAATTATACTTCATCATACTGTAATCTTATTGTAAAATTTGATATCTTTGTGCATCTTATTATATGGTTTTGGGAGGTTCTCCATTGTTTGCATCTTACCCTTATTTTTGAATGTTTCAATTCAAATTCATGACCTTCCAAGTTATAGCTCGCCCATAAAGAAATTCTCCATTGTAATTAATCCATTTTTGTTTAAACATGCACAGGGATTGGTGAGAGAAGTGCAAGTGGAATCGTTCAATCTCCCCTTTTATATTCCATCTGCTAAGGAGGTGACAGAACTTGTAAAAAGAAACAGTTGCTTCATTATTGAGAGAACTGAGTTATTTAAAGCTTTTTCGGAAATGTTAATGGCGGAATCATGCATGTGTAATGAATGGAGGAGATGGCGATTACAGCTATGCAAAGCTATGCAATCTCGTTCTTTCAGGTTGGCTGTTTTTTTCTTTTTTTTGAAAATTAATTATTATAATTTTGAGGTTTTTATAATTTGAGGTTTTACAAAATTAATTATCCTGTTCTCCTATCTCCTATCGTTGTATATTAAATATTTAGTCGTCATGATTTGATTCCGTCTCGATCCTTCCCTTCAAAAATATGTGTTTTCCGTTAAAAGATGAAAAGAAAAAATAAGAGAGAAAATTATTTTAAAATAACAAATGATGCCCTCGTGATTATACTAAAAAGTCTTTCTCTAACCCTTTCTTCATGGTCTTCCTCCTCCCACCACACAAATTAGCCCAATTTTACTCGATCCAGTGCGAGAAGACGGTCCTGCCTTCTTGGGAACTGTGAAGGTTGGAAGCTTGAAATCATTCCAAGAAAAAATATTTATCAAAAGACAAAGATCATTTATCAAAAGACAAAGATCTAACAAAAAACTTGGTTTGTGTAGATTGTTCCTTCTCATTTTCCTTCACAATGCCAATCAACAAGGACCCATTTACTCCACCTCAGTCTCTACTATTTGGGAAAGCTATAACTAGACTTCGCCGCCGTCATATCAAATTATTGCTAGTAATCAAAGTGAAGCCTCCAAGTCGAAATTTTAATTCCCTGACTAGGAAAATACAGACATGCAAGACTTTTTACAAATCAAAACGGCATTGTAATTGTAGATCCCGAAAAAGCAAGAGTTTGGTCGTCCCCTATATGAACATAAAAGAACATATTGAGTGGCATCAGAAATTGTCAATGGCATAGCAATTAGTAAACAAGTTCCCAATAAGTACAAACTAGCATAATTAACCAGTCGAACTAGTGCTGCCAGTTAAAACTATACGTTCCAAGTAAAATAATACCTGTACCTGTGAAAATCTTCTACACACTTAATTATGCTGTTAGAGAAGAAAAATAAATATAAATTCAATTGTATATATAAATATTTTTATTATAGCTACGACTAAACTTTAATCTCAAACTATACGAATCTTTTGTTTTCATTCTGACCTGTTCATAGCTAAATCTGTACTGACATCGAAGAATAGTAGATCTTTTGAGATAACTTCCCTTCAGTTGGTTCTAAGTTTACCTCTTCCCAGTTATTATTTTTCACCATAAATGCATCACAATATATATGCATTCACAATATATATATATATATATATATATATATATATATATTATATATATATTATATATATATATATTATATATATATATATATATACTATATAGAAGTCCGGGTTTACGGCACCTTTCTTCTTCTCCTCCACACTCGCACTTTAATTTCTGGGGATCCCTAGGTTTAAGGTTGCAGAACCCCTAAACCTGGTGCTAAAATTGTTGATTAAAATTTGTTATAAGTATGCTCTGTGGATGCAGCTTAGTCTGATCTTCCACACCAGAATATTGTGTAAAACTGTATGTTTGATTTCTGAAAGTAAAATTATACTTAATGAATTATATTTAAGTATTTCATATAAACCCAATTAATCATAGTATGTGTAGTTCACAGTTATGATTTATCTTTAAATGTTTGTATGCTGTATTTATTAAAATCCTAGTAATAATTCTTAGCGCTCTACATATATATGAACTTTGTTTAAAATCAAGTTTTAAAGTCTTTATTACAATAAAAATTAAAAAGCATAAGTCTTTATTCAACTTTAAGTTTTTTGTTTTGGAAAAATTAAAAAGCATAAGTCTTTATCAACTTTAAGTTTTTGTTGGAAAACATAAGTCTATATACGATAAACAATAAAAAGCATAAGTAAGTCTTTGTTTTTAAAGTTTTCAAGTCTTTATCATTTTATTTTCAAAGTCTTTAGTCTTTTATTTTAAAAGTCTTTTATAAGTCTAAAGTCTTTTGTTCATTAATTAAAGTCTATAGTCTATAGTCATAGACTTTAGTCATAAAACACGCTTATTTTGTTGTATTTTGTTGGTATCAGTATATATATATATTGTTGCAAATTAAAAAATGAATTTTATTTTCGATGTTGTCTGAAACTTATTCTTTATGCCTGATGATGACTACAAGACATAGAGCAAGAGTTACTTGAAAATGTCATTCTTTTGGACATAAAGAATCTATGTTACGAGGACGGCTAATTCCATATACATATAAATATAAATCTTTGAAATATGCAAAAATGGAGGTGAGAGAGAAGAAGAGTTGAAGATAGGCGTCGAGATGCCTGCTGCCAAGGGCTCCCTCAGTCACCATCAGGTATTTTACTTTCTAAATCACTAAGTAGTTGTAGTGTTCTCTTTTTGTTGAAAAATATTTAAAGAAGATAGCAGAAACTTCTGTATTTTAAGATTAAGTTTAAATTCGTTTTTGCAGAAATGGATTCTGGAATTCATGAAGGGAATAATTGATGAGACAATCCATGAGAAGCTTGAAACGAAGTCATTTTTATCAACTTCATGTAGCAAGGCATTTTGTATAGCTGATATGGGATGTTCAACAGGACCAAACACCTTTTACTATGTTCATAGTATACTTGAAGCTGTGGAGCCAAAGTTCATAAATGAAGGCTTCACTTACGATCAAATACCTCAGTTTCAAGTTTTCTTTAATGATCTTCCATTTAACGACTTTAATACCCTTTTCAAGTCTCTCCCACCTCAGGAAATATTTTACAGCAGGGGTACCAAGGTCATATCATACCCAGTTGTTTCCTGACTCGTCTCTCCATTTTGTGCATTCCTCCTACACATTACATTGGCTTTCTGGTGTTCCTGAAGAGGTGTTCGACATGGACTCTCCTGCATGGAACGGAGGGAGAGTTCACTATACAGGTGCATCAGAAGCAGTAGTGAAAGCCTTTGCTGCCCAATTTAGCAAGGCTTTGCTGCCCAATTTAGCAAGGATATGGGGATGTTCTTGAATGCCAGAGCAAAAGAACTTGCAGAGGGAAGCATGATGGTGCTAATCATTCCTTCTATTCCTGATGGGGTCTCTCCGTCAAATGTACCAATCGGGATATTGCTGAATCATTTAGGGTCGTGCCTCATGGACATGGCAAAAGAGGTAACAATATAGAAACAGACTAGACTAGTGGATTATATGAAATCATAGATTTAGGGATCTGCTTGATTCGGCAATGGAAAATCAGCTTTTAATGATGGTTGATCAATAGTTAAATATTAACAATAACAATTTGAAAAGCTAAATATTAACAATTGAGGGTTCTTTTGCATCATTTGTTTTTTAATGTTTTGTTTCTGTTTTTCTTATGTACGTAGCTTTGATGTTTCTTTATGCTTCTATCAGTGAAACCCCATAAAAATTTAAAACATGTAAATAACCAAATCAAAATCCCGATTGCAGGGATTAATATGTGAAGCACTTGTGGACTCTTTCAACATTCCATTGTACTGTGTAACGCCCAAGGAGCTTACACAGCTTATAGAACAAAGTGGGTGTTTTAGCATTGAAAGAATGGATCCTACAGATTGCGAATTCGACCCTGATAATCAACCTACTGAATACACAATCATGATGCATTTCAAATCTGGGTTAGAACCAGTCATTACCAAACACTTTGGAGCTGAGATTGTTAATGAATTGTTTGAACGGTTCCTCGAGAGAATGCATGAAGCTACGCCCTCGTTATTTTCAAGCAATGGAAAAGGATCTCAATTAACTGTTATTCTGAAACGAAAATCGCTATAATCAAAAGCTATCATATCAGCAATTAGCAGTGCAGCTTTTGTTATACATACCAGAAAACTGACTAATAAATGTTGTTAAACATTCAAATTATCAGTACCCATTATTTGCAGCAAAAAACAAACACCGATCATGCTCGACTAGAATAGCATGTATCTCGAAAAGGCTATATACCACCTAAATATGGATAATGCATCAACATTCAGGCAAATATCAATAGTCTTCAATATCCTATCAAAAAATGTTGTCAACTCTAAGTAGGTATTTCTGCTTCTGCCATTATATGAACATAAACATTTACATCATATATTGTCTTTGAAATATTACATATTCATAACCATATGTATAGCCATATATTTTGATTACCTTCTAAACTCAAAAGCAGTCCACATCTACATGGAAAATGTGTAAAGAGAAAAAAGTAGGAACCTGGTTGATCCTTGATTTGTTCCGCTGATCTGGATTAGCTGGCAAACTCAAACCAAGACTATGAACATATAGACATGTTCAAAATTTCACATTTGTTAATGAAAATGCAGTCCAAGCCCAAACTGGCGTTCAAGCAATGATAAATTTTGACACCTTCTCTTCCTCTTGATCTGGATCAGCTTGTCATAAACACACCAAGGAAAGCTAAGAAAATGATCTCGATTCATTCCCTCGTTGTAGCAACCCCAATAACTAGGATGATAAGTAACATAGTACCAAGCGGAGGCTTTTGCATAAACATCATCTTCTTCAGAATCTAATCCACTTCCCTTTTCATTAAACCAGGATCTTGCTTCTTTTCTTAAGGACCTCACCGCCAAACCAATTGCTTCTGCGTCCCTTTTCTTGGTGAAAGCTTTTGACATTTTCATAATACTTCCACCGAGAATTTCAGCCTCAGTTCTGATGCCATAATAGTCCATATGATTACCCAATTTGTAATCATAATTCGTTTTGTAATAGAAGGCATCATCTATATAATCCTCAAAACCATCAACTTCCATATCAGGGTCATAACACTGCCTTGCCACTTCCAAAGTAAAGGACTTAATAGAGCTTGTATGTGGTGCGATGTCCCTCACTGCTCGGAAAAGCTTTCCAATCACATTCTGAGATTCATAGGTGGGTTTGTCAGGCTTTTCCATGAAATCAGGATATTCTTTGACACGTAGATGAGAGATGAGAAGGAAATTTCAGCTCGGTACTCCAGTTTTTGGAAAATCAACTGCCAATTGAAAATTTACTTGCAAGTTCCAGACATGTTTACTCATTCTTTGCAGGTTCCCTATAACAGCAAAGACGGTTGTTGAAAGCATTAGAAAATGATTTTCCCATTAGAAATGATTCCCAAGCTGTCATTTAAGATGTAATTGGTGAAATACTCCTCAACTTCCTGTAGAAAGCAAAATGAAAATCTGTGAATAAAAGGGAAATGTGGTTTTCTAGCTGCACGATTAAAAAAAAAAAAATCAAGCTAAAGCAAAAAACAGAGTTTGCAGTTAGAACTTGATGCATACAGATACAAAACCTAAGATTTCACTGTTCTAAAGGATTTTTCAGTATCACATTTCCTTTTTCTATTTTTTTTTTTTAAGCATTCAAAAAAAGGACCAGTTATGAGGTTGATAGAATAATGACTCTCTTGGACTGAACTACCTTACGTTGTAGTTCGAAGCATCCACTTTTACACAAAAACGAAGCATTGTGCCCAGAGGGGACCGAAAAAAACAGTTAGATTATTGCTTAAAATTGCACAAATGAGATAGCTAAAAGAATTAAAAAGTACAAGATATCATTGTCACATAAATTAAAAAGGCCCGGGCCAAATGCTTTTGCACTTTTGCAGCTTCCCTGAGATTCAGAAAACCAGATAATCAGCAATTCCCTTTCCATCTGCTTCTTATTTTTCTTGTAAATTGTGTAAATTATTGCTTTATATAATAAGAAAAATCCATATGCATGTCTATTAGCATATGCTATAGATACATAAGAGCAAACTAATCCAGAAAACAAAAAATGACTTTGACACATAAAAGATGCAGGTGGAGTAAAGTCATCATAATACAGAAATAAAGGCACCACAAGTAAAAACAAAAATTAAAAGTAAACACCTATTAGTATTGAAACTATGTACAAAACTAAATCCTCTGTCATAAAGAAAAAAAAAAAATTAAGGAACGTATGTATTTTTGAAGCATTGCAGCTTTAAGTTTGACAATACCAGAATGTACCATAGAAGAGAAAAAAAATTGATGAAGTGACTGAATAATCTTAAAAGATAGCGAAACAATAGTATTATTGTTGATGATATATAATTGCTCCGACATTTCATATGTACACATGTAGTACCTGAATTGTGACATCATGATCGAGTTGCAAACTTGGCTCTGGTGTATAGTCCATTGGTGGGATTTGCAGACGTGGGATTAAATCAGGGTCCCAGCAGACAAAGTAGATATCTCCATCTAAAGTAGATATCTCCATCTAAATCACTACCCGAGCATTCATTTGGATGAGGTCTAAGATTGCAATTCAGATACTAATGTTAATACTGTTTTCACACTTAAAAAAAACAAAAAAAAAAAAATCTGAAAAGGGACACTATAATACTAGTCTTTTACTCTGTTAGCACTTGAAAAACAAAGAGAGGTAAGGTGTCCATGTTAGTGTCAATTGAAATTCCCCCGCCCCCCCACAAAAAAAAAAAAATAGAAACAATAATAACAACCTGCCTCTGTCAGTCAGCTTCATCAGACAAATAAATCAGAGATGATGAAGCAATGTCCACAGAATACAGCCTAGGTATTTCTAAGGAAGCAGGAGTTTCCATTGGTACGTTCTACTGTTATCCACAAGAAGCCTACTGCACATGTCAAATAATAAAAGGGAACACAGATACCAGTTACATTCATTGAAGGGAGTGGTTATCTTACAGAAAAGATTTCAGATAGCTGATGTGACAGACCTAGTTATCTCACAACTCAACTAGTTTCCTACAGTAATACCACAGAAGTAGGCCAAAACAGCCCAAACATAGGCAGACACAACAGAAGTAGAACTATCATATAGATGATGATAACATGGACAGCGAACATCATAATAACAGCAATAATGATTAACTACAATAACAACAATGATATTATAAGGTTCAATCCGCTGTGAAAGACACCCAGAAGATAAGAACTTAAACATCTATAGGAAAAAAGGGACACCCAGAAGATAAGAACTTAACAATCTATAGGACAACCATAGCCTGCATCAATACACACCATTTCTACCCCTCTCATTCTTATATAACTGAGTCCAGCTATCTTGGGAAGTTGCGGACTTTGGGTTCAGAAACCCATTGAGAATAAAAATTGAGTATTGGAGGGTTAGGACAAGAAGAGAGCGCATATTTTCCATAGTTCTCTTTTGATAAATAGCGTAAATTCCTGTGTCTTGCCATGAAAAAAGCAGGGATTTTTTCTTTATTTTTTTCAAATCTGTACCTTTGCAAATGCCAACTGGAAAAGTAAATCTAAGGAACTCTCAGTTTATGCAACTGGAAAAGTAAATCTAAGAACTCTAAGTTATAAATATAGAACTTCGGCACAGACAACTCAAACCAGAAACCAAATTGACGTAACTAAAGAATGACCTAAGCTATAAGGCTGGAAGAGACAGAGATATACCTTGGTCCTTTCTGTGGAAAAACAACACAGTCCACCATATGGTGCAAATCCGGTACATTCACAGCCCTTAAAACACGAATATCACCTGGGTGCAGACATGGGTTTTTAGCTACAATGACCATTCCCTCAATCACAAAACCGTTGCCTGATCCAATGCCTCCAACCATGGTGGAACTATCATACACCTGCTTATGTTTACTACCAGAATATTGCACAAATACCTGGCCATATTCCAAGTTTCTTGTCTCATCCAAACATCCCATCATAGATCTTCCATTTGGAACAAAGATTCTAGATTTTGTCCGCAGATCAAGCAACTTTGATGCTCGGAACATTTGGAGCATCATTGAAAGAATGGTTCAGGGCATCCAGGCTGATAACCACACAAAAGCATTTCCGTTTGAGAATGGTTTAGGTTGCGTCTCTCCTGGAGACATTCAAAATCCCTTAGTGGCTTCTGGGCCTTTAACGGAGTTTGTTTAAAAGCGCATCTAGGTTGATCAACAGGGCTTTCTTCTCTGTTTCTTTCTCTCCAAAAGATTATGGTCCCGCCCAACACCAAGGGTCGGAAAGGAAGAGTAATCAATTGGCGATTCAGAAAAACAAGGCTTGATACTTTGCTATAACCCCAAACATCCAGTTTTGTATTTTCAGACTCATACTTGCACATGCTTTTTCTCAATGTATAATTTTTTAGAGGAAGTGGGGGATCAACAGGCTCACCAACACCTTTATACCCACCATAACGAATTTGAAAATGCTAGATGGATAGAAACCTTGGTGCCCCAGCATTTCAACGCCCACTCCGAGCGAACTCAGCAGATATTTTTTGCCTATTCCATCAAGAGAAAACCAAAATATTTGGTTCTGCCCCCTTCACTCTAAAATCTTGGAAGAATTTTCAATTTCAATTTTTCTTACAACACTCAGTGTTTCAGTGGATGAACCAAAAGACTGACCTAATCTGGCTGCATATTTAGCCACGTTTCGTATCTGACGAAAGTTTCCCATCCATTCTCTTATATCTGCAGCAGTGAGCCCGTCTCTTGAAGCAAACATCCAGCAAGAATTTTCCCTCAGCTGGCTAGATGAAAAGGCAAGGAACTCAAACCTTTTATTTCCAATAACTATTCCATTTTGGAGAGTAGAGAGAATCCTTTTGTAAATAGCAGTCCTCCTATCCCCATTCCCAGAAGAAGCACGGGGACATAAATCTGTTGAATAAATTTTCTCTAACTCCTCATCAACAAAAGACACACGGAGAAAATTATTAATATCTTTTGAATAGTGGCGTATCACACGGTTTGAGACATTAACCTCTGGACCACAAAAATAGACTTTGCATCGGAGAAAATTATTAATATCTTTTGAATAGCGGCGTATCACGCGGTTTGAGACATTAACCTCTGGACCACAAAAATAGACTTTGCATGGTGTAATTTGGACCCTACGCACGTATACCAAACCAGTGTCTAGGGATATCGAAGGTGATCTTGGAAGGTACTTAGACGTAAGATACTTTCTGTACTGCTCATTAAGCCACATAGAAGGTTCATAACAACATTCTTTCAAGTGAAAAAGCTTCTCAAGAGCATGCTCTATGCAGTCAATATTCATTCTACTTGGATCAACCAACTTGTAAAAACTAGAATCAAGTGCTGACCCTGGAAGGCACCCATGCTGAACCAACAAATTAACTCGAAATAATATCTCAAATGGCAAATCAACACCTGAGGGAGGACCAACAATAGGAACTAGATCCAGATTGCAAGAAAAAGCATTACCATTCTCCAAAACAAAAATTGCTTCACTTTCTTTATAGTAAGAAAAGTTCTCCTGAAATTTTGGAACATTAATGCTGGAAGGAAACTCCAAACATAATCCGGATGAATGCCCAATAAGGCAGAATGGTGTGAAATCAATTGTCCTGACCCATTGTTCATCAGGGGTATCCTTAAAGTAGTTGAAAAGCGTAGTTGAAAAGCGGACTCTCAAACACATTAAATGATGCAATCTCTTTCTCAAAAATTCGGGGTGCACCATATAACTAAAAAAAGAAACCAAATTAGCAGTTTGCATTTTTACTTGAAATCTTACATGAAACAAGAGATAGCACAAGTTGTTTGATTATTGTATGCATCACATTCAGACTAATGACATAAATGAACCCAATAAAAGCACAAATTACCAACAGAAAGAAGAATAAGGAAAAGGGAACCTTCTTACATGACATACAGCTTTTTTTTATTCAGCAAAACAGTATGCACCTTTCAATTCCCAAATAAGTACACCCTTGGCCTTAGATTCCACTTCCCATTTATTTTGGCAAGTCAGTGAATCACAAATGCCACATTTCTACCAGCAGGAAAAAGGAATTCAGCTATCTTGCCTGATAAGATCCTCATATTAGTAAACTTAACCAAGGGACAACTCTTTCAAATTCCCTGAGATAGAAAGTTTGCCAATTTTACTGACAAAACCATATTAAAATCTCTGTGCCCCTATCCATCAAGAGTAACTTATTTTGTTAGTAAATCTCTGTGCCCCTATCCATCAAGAGTAACTTATTTTGTTAGTTTTTGGATAAATGGTAAGTTATTTAAACAGAGGTGGGTAACGACATGTGCACAGACCATGTGCAGAAGACCAGTGAAGCATGAAAGATTGAGAACTAAAGATAAAGCATATCACTTAAATCTAAAAGAGTTAAAATATCTGCAGAATGATTAAAGAACCAGCAAACATCAGTCAAGAGTTTGGACAAGATTTTAAATTTTTAACAAGTGCCTAGTGCTTTATACCCTCACGTGCATAAAAACCAGTCTCTGACCATATATTCCACATCAATACATGTCACACAATGGCACTGCTTTAACGCTTTCTGTGTTAATCAGCACAATTTCTATATTCCCAATGCTAATTATTTTGCCTGAAATATATAATGCACTGCTGACCAGTAGAAAAATTGTCAATTAAAACAATTAGACTGAGACTGCAGACACTCATATGTAAGAAATCAAAACCACGAATGAGCGAAAACTCTAATCCCATGTTTGGACACCAAAAGAAACAAATAATTAACTTATTAGTTCAAAAAGGTATTCGGTCTGTTAGAAAACCCATGTTTGGACACCAAAAGAAACAAATAATTAACTTATTAGTTCAAAAAGGTATTCGGTCTGTTAGAAAAGCCAGCAGAAAGTTCAAGCAAACCAATAGGAATATCCAAATTTTCTTGATAACACCACATATGGCAAGGAAAAAAAAAATACATGCATGTATCATGCTTTAGTCGTAACCAAGATATAAGTAAATTGTTCAATTTACTACTAATAAAAGAATTCATTTTCCCACCATCATACAAAGGCGTGCCTCATGCCTTACTTAAGGTTCAACTTCAAATTCAAGGGATTATGCCTCAACAGTCCGCAGGCCGGCGACTAGCCTTTTTGTGCCTTTTTTGGCCTTAGGACCAAGAAAGGCACGTCTTTTTAATTTTTGTTTTAACAAGTAGCCTTTGAATATAAAACTGTCTAGCCCAGTATCTACTACAACAACATAACAACAATAAAGGCCTTAACCCCAAACTAGTTGAGGTTGGGCATATGAATCCTTTGTCATTATATCACAAAAACCAATGATATGCTTTAGATCCAGCCTCCACTCCATCTAGCACTCACCTACTCCAGTCTAGCCTTTGGCTAACAGCCATTCAGACATGCCTCTCTCAATTTCTCTTCCAATTTGCTTTCTCTATTCTTTCTTTCTTTTTTTTCTTTTTTTTCATTTCTTGATTTTACTTTTCTATCTTAACTCCAATATCTTACAATATAACTTGTCTTGTTGCCATTTTTTTTATTTATGTGTCTCTTTCCAAGCTTTTCTTTTTTTTTTTTTTTCCTTTTTTTTATAAAATATAGTTTTCAGATTTATGTGTTTTATTTATTTCTAATTTTCGAATATAGGTTTCAATTTTATTGTGTTTATTTATTCTAATTTTTCGCGCACACTCCCCAGCGCTGTGCCAGCCTCACTTCACTCAGCGCTAGCACCTAGGCTCCAATAAGCCCTTTCACTCAGGCTAGCACCTAGGCTCCAATAGCCCTTTGCGCATAGGTGCCCCTTGCGCCTTTAATTACTATTCCCACTATGCAGCTCAACAATTTGTTTATGTAAAAGGAAAACATAGTTCATCCGTGCAATAAATAACAAGGCAAAAAAGGCATTTCCAAGGTTCGAAAAAGCCCTATAAAGAATTTCAAATAGCTATAAGAGTATCAAGAAACAGTATTTAATAATTCAAAAATTAAATAAAATATATTGAAGAACCTGAATTAGAAGATATTTCACAGATCGGCCTCGTGGACAATGTAGCTCGATCTGCCAAACATTCTCATAAGAAAGGTCAAGCTTGTAGTCCATTTGTCCATGAGATAGAAAAAAGTGCAATTTTCTCATTCCAAATCCAAAATTCACCAAAACATTTGTCCCTGTCCATAGAACAGAAAACTTTTCTTTTGATATGTGACATCCAAAATGCAGTGTTATATGGTCCATGCTGTGTAAAAACGTTCTGGGCTTTGGTACAATATCATTATCCAAAGTCCGAGCCTTGAGATATGAAGTGTATGAAGTTGCCTCGCCTACCAAAGACGTTTATTAGTTCAAGATATATTAATTTATCCAGCATCCTCTGGCAGTCTGGAACTTGAACAATAGCATATTTTTTCTTGGGACCCCCATTTCAAAGATATAATTAATTCAGCATCTCTGGCAGTCTGGAATTGAACAATAGCATATTTTCTTGGACCCCCATTTTTGGTTTCCCTGATCTTCATTGCAAAAACAGTTCCTTCCCCTGAATGTGATTCCAGAAAATTCTTGACTTCATCTACAGTCACATGGGAAGGGAATCCATACACATGAATCGTCTTACCCATCAAAGCAATTCTGTAGTCAAAACAGAACAAACTGAATCACCCACTACAGATATTAACACTCCAAAATTTTTAGGGAGATATGCACTTCCACAACGTAAATGATCAAAGATTCTAAGTGTGACTTTCTTGTAGGCATTGTCATGCGGTCAATCATAAAGCTAATCCAATGTAGAAAATATGAAAGGTAATAACTTATAAATAAAAATTTCATGATTATGAACAGACCCCCACAAGCTTCCAAATATGACTCTGTAACTACTGTGGCAAAATAATGCAGGATCCACCATGTGCTGGTTATGAATTCAATCAATGGCTTCCTTAATGAATAATGATATCAGCATCATCTAAATATGAACTCCGAACAAATGTGGAGAATCAAAGGGTTTACCAGCATCTCTAGAATCTAGCACCAAATACATGTTAACCACAACCTGAAGTATAATGACTTTGAAATGAAATCAATATTCGAGATTAAATAGAATCATTGAAAACACAAACTCCATGTGGAAAGCAACAGAGGCAAGAAAAAATAGCATTTCATTTAACACAAAAACAATGGAAGGTAACACAAAAACAATGCAGTCAATCATAAAGCTAATTCAATGTAGAAAATATGAAAGGTAATAACTTATAAATAAATTTTCATGATTATGAACAGACCCCCACAAGCTTCCAAATATGACTCTGTAACTAATATGGCAAAATAATGCAGGATCCACCATATGCTGGTTATGAATTCAATCAATGGCTTCCTTAATGAATAATTATATCAGCATCATCTAAATATGAACTCTTAACAAATGTGGAGAATCAAAGGGTTTACACGCATGTCCAGAATCTAGCACCAAATACATGTTATCTACTCTTCCATCATTAATCTTTATCAAAAACCATACCACATCGATCCTTGTCAGATATAGCCACAACGCCCCAATTATATGCCAGCTATTGCAAGCCGACATAAATAAAATAACCGAACCACCTTTTCTAAGTAAATTTCACAAGAAGAGAGAGATGGATATATTGGTAAAAGAAAACACAGAATTGCCAAAAAAAAAAAAAATTTTCCACAAGGAAGGCAGAGAGATGGATATTTGGTAACAAGGAAAACACCAGGAATTGCCCAAAAAAAAAAAAAAAAAAAAAAAAAAAAAAAAAAAAAATCAACTACGAATCTGATAACACAAAACACTCATAGAGTTCGTCAATAATATATGTATTCCAGAATCAAAGCCACCTACACTAAAGAGGCTAATAAAGCAATCTCATTTATCTAAAAATTAAAAGAAAACAGACTCCCAAAAAAAGTAAAATTTAGCATAAGGATGAAAACTTTTTTTAATGGATGTATCCACATTCTGGAAATTATACTTGGAAAGAAAGCAATCAAAGAATCAAATAAAGATTTGAGACCTTACCAGAAAAGTAAAATAAAGAAACCAAATTATCACTCGCTCGCTCAAATTAAACCACTTCAGTTCTCATCCAAGAAACCAGAAACCAGCGATAGAAACAGTTTCATATTCAAGTCGCTCTTTCTCTGTCTTTGAGCAAGCAAATTTTCATGTCATGTCGCTCCTTTTTCTCCAATCAGTCAATTTAAGTCTCTCTGTGACACGTCAAATTTTTAAGTCTCTCGTGTGACACTGTGTTGTCCCTTCGTACACAGAAAGTTAAAAAAAAAAAGGCCATTGATTCCCTCTCCATCCGCAGTCACCTCTTTTTGGGCCGTTGACGTTTATCATTTATTTTGACGTTGGACATAAGATTAACGCGGTAAAGTAAACAGATCGCCAATCTGCCATGATTCCCTCCATCGCAGCACTCTTTTTGGGTTGACGTTTATTATGACGTTGACATAAGTTAACGCGGTAAGTAACAGACGCCAATGCTTGAATTTGCTGACGTGGATAAAAACTATTGGATAGTGTTTATATAATGTTTATAGACCCGATACACTATAGTGAAAGCCCATATTATTGTCCCGTTTGTTGGGACCACTCCTTCGCGTGAATGGATCACGGCCTCTGATACCAATTTATCCAATCATTTGCAATCTTACATGCAAGTTTCAAAAAATGTCTCCGTTTCCAAATCTTGAATTTTTACCCTAAAAACCATTACCCTAAATACTTGTAAAATTTAAAAAAAATATACTAAATACTTATCACGGATTTAATAAATAATAATTTTTTTTTTTTTTTACTCTTTATGTATGGTCAATATCAGTTGAATGATTTTCACTCAAATAAAAAATTAAAAATAATATAATAAACTCACTGAATAATTTATTATAAATTGATTGATTTTCTTAATTAAGAGAAGTAAAATATCTAAATATAATTAGATAAAGATATCAAATAGCACTATGATAACTTTTTTTTTTCAAATAGATAACTCATGATTTTCTAACATTTCCCTTCATATCTTAGTTGAAATAGATTAATTATCATTTAAGGTAACTTGTATCCTATTAAAACAAATAACTCATTAATTAATGTAAAGAGTGTTAAAGGAGTGATTTTTATGGAAATAGAGGAAACTTAGGAAAGGACAAAGGAAAATAAGGTTTTCTATCATTGCTAATTGCAAGGAAGGAAGGGGCCACCTCATCTTGCTCCCCACAAGGGAGAACCTTTGTCGTTACCTTAAATAATTATCCTTTGAAAGTTGAAACTTCCTCGCGAAGTAGAAGATGAAGTTATCAAATGTGGACGAAGTAGAAGATGAAGTTATCAAATGTGGACGACCTTAGCTAAAACCTTAACGCCGTTTTTAATCATCCATCCTTCTCAACTCAACTCAACCGCTTTTGCTTTGACTGCGTAAGTGGCCAATCTCCGATTCCTACGAGGGAAGGAATAGGATGGCTAGTTTACTCGTTTTATGTCTTTAATTTAAATAACACAAGGAAATTTTATTTATGAGATTTTTTATTAAGCAAGCGAAATTTGTTAAAAGAAATTATTTGTAACTAATATTACTTAGATTTATTTAGTTTTTTATAAATAAGGAAAATAAAAATATTAGTTTACTCTCTCATTGTCTGTGCTTATATTTCCTGTTTTATAAAAAATATTAGTTTACTCTCTCAATTGTCTGTGCTTATATTCCTGTTTAAACATAACTAGCAAAAAAAATGTAGAATATAGTTACAAATTTAAATAACATATGTCAATCAATCCAAAATCCTTTCGTAATTTAATTATCAAATTGAAGCATTACACGAAGTATTCAGCCCATGTCCGTTTTGACGACCCACAAATCTGACTAATTATCTCTTACTTTTGGAGGCAAAAGGATTGGCTCAGAAAAATTTGCTTTGGCGAAGGATCAAACCTATGACTCAAGTCACAGTGATTTACTCTGCAAGTATTCTTTATTACTGAACTACTTCATTCGGATTATTATTGAATTTATTTAAATAAAAATAGATAATGAATAAAATAATAAATTGAATTCATTACTGCTTTACATGGTAATTGAAACAATTTTTACATAAGATTATAAGACTGAAATTCAATTCTTCTACTACAATTATAAGTTGAAAAATTATTGCATATAAACTTTTTCAAACGGTGCCATAAAAGAATTTCTAATGCATGAAATGAAAAATAAAACCTATTCCTCAACTTGCTAGTGAATGAGAGGTGGGATCGGCTTTCATGTATAGTTAAAACTTGACCCTAAAAAATGTAACAAGAGAATAAACTGTTGGAGTGAGCTTGTGTCCTCAGTCACAGAATAATCCTTCTGGAAAAATGTCGAAATGTTTAACAGGACGCTGCTTCTTGAGTTGCTTCTCCGATATCCTCATCACAAGTTCTGTGAAAAATTAAGGCCTAGTGGTGTGGCAGTATACCAAGAATCGCTATAATACCAGTCTTCACCGGAGCATCTGAATACCAGTCCTGACCCGAGCATGAAAGCAAACGTGCAAATCCAAAAACGAAAGAGAGAAAGAACAACTAGTGAACTTTTCTTGTTAAGTGGATTGGTCCGATTGGAGGCTATGACTTACTCAATGGTAAGAGAATCTTTGTACATAAAATATGCGAGCGAGAAATATCCCATTGCAGTAGATTGAGATTCAATGAGTCTACTGCAATACATCCTCATACAGTGTCCAGCTATGGCATATGAATACAATATAACAAAATTTTACTTCATTGTAAAGACAGAGCATGTGAATACGATCAAGTGAAACTTCAAAGGGGCAACGTAACAAACTTATAGTACAAGAACTTTTCGAAGTTGCTCAACCTCATTATATCAATGAATATCCGCAACATAGCTTATAATCCAAAACCACCTGGCCTCATCACACTAAATAAGAGCATTATATGGAACCTAAAACTAAAACTAAAGGGGACTATAGCAGCAACTCAGCAATCTGAATGGCATTAAGTGCAGCGCCCTTGCGTATCTGATCCCCACAAACAAATATATCCAACCTGCTTGGACTATAGCAGCAACTCAGCAATCTGAATGGCATTAAGTGCAGCGCCCTTGCGTATCTGATCCCCACAAACAAATATATCCAACCTGCTTGGAATTCCAGCATTAGTAAGATGGTCTATAAAGGCTATTTAATTATTTAGTGGGAAAAAAAAAAAAAAAAAGCTTGCAAGTGAGTTTTACCCATGATTCCCCTCTTGAGAAACATCACGGCGGATTCTACCGACTGCAACATCATCTTTGTTTGATATCTCCAATGGCGTTGGGAAGTGATTGGATGCCCGATCATCAATAACCACCACGCCAGCAGCATTCTTCAGAATGGCCCTTGCTGTGTCCTGGACAAACAACAAATTTATTAAAATTAAGAAATTGCTTGACTTTGAGAGATGGAGCAAAATGGCAAAATGTAACTGCCCCAAAAAAAAAAAATGGAGATATATAAAGCCCTTTATGGAAATATGTTATAGTTATATCCAATTGTGGGCAAAATGACTTCGGGAAAAAATAGATATATTTATATATAAACAGCTATGGGTAGAACCACATGCATAGCAATAAACCAAGTTTTTATAATTAAGAATTAAACTTAAGGTCATGAAAACATCAAATTGAAGAAAAATAAAGAAGACACATCAAACAAGTTTTTATCAAGGCAAATATCAGAATATGGTTATCTCATTCACATATTATCCACCATAAATACAATACCTAGTCCTGACAAACACACACACCCACACACACAAAAATAAACCGAGGACAAGAGCAAAAAGATTAATAGGAATCAAGATGAAACTTTTTCAATTAAACAATATCCAAATTCAATCCATACATTCCTTTTATAAAAAAACTTGATTAGATTGGTTGGATGTTTTAATATTCGTTTCTCCCAGTCTGAGGAGTCCATGCTTTCATTTCAGCTGATAAATCAGTATTCCACTTTATAAGTAGGCATTTGGCATTGGAACTTGTATGGAGAATTTCATACCAAACTAGGAGCATGACATTCCATTTTAAGTCCTACTTAGACAAGAATTTATCACTAGATAGATTTTGTACTTTTACCTGTAGCAATTTTGCTGAACAAGAAAGACAGGTACACTTGAGTCCTTAGTTATTTTATCTGAAACGAGGACAAGAAGAAAAAGATATAGGAATCAAGATAAACTTTTCAATTAAACATATCAAATCAATCCATACATCTTTTATAAAACTTGAAGTTGTTGACTGTTTTATATTCGTTTCTTCAGTCTGAGAGTCCATGCTTTCATCAGTGATAAATCATATCCCACTTTATAAAGTAGGCATTGGCATGAACTGTATGGAGAATTTCATACAAACTAGGAGCTATGACATTTTCCATTAAGTCCTACTTAGACAAGAATATCACTAGTAGATTTTGTACTTTTACTGTAGCAATTGCTGAACAAGAAAGACATGGTACATTGAGTCCTAGTTATTTTATCTGAAAAAGATGAAATGCCTTTTTTCTAAGACTGCAGATAGAATAATAAATGTTGCACGCTTCACAATGGCTAAAGCAATAGACATTTGAAGCAAAAAGATAGATATCTAACTACACTCTGAGATGATAAAACAAACCTGATGTCAGCCACTCTTTGACAAATAACAAGCTCTAATGCTTTGATTGCACAGACTTAATGGAAAAAAAAAAAAAAGAAGAAAAAGAAGCAAAAGTGTGATACGCCAGCAATTCCAATTTGTCCTGCTCAACATATAAGCATCCGATGCATAGGGGCAAAAAACATCATACAGGTGAAAGAAGCATTCCAATTTGAGAAGAGTTTGCATGTTCTAACCAGAAACCATTTTAAGGTGCTTCTCAGAATTAAAATGACTGATGACCACAGCATGCAAGGCATGCAAACTGTCATGAATTTAACAGTCTTATAATAAAAAGAAAAACTTAGAAAATCAAAAATATAAAAAGAATCAAATAATTCCATCCAGGATTTCATGTCAGCAAATAATATGAATTGAAACGTGAGAAAAGAACACTGATATTTGGCCCGTATAAGATACAACTATGAGAGCAAATTTTCCTAAAGCAAATGAATACAGAGCAAAAAGTTGAAGCTAACTGCTAAGAAATAATTTACTGATTACAACAACAACAACAAATTACCTCATCAAGGGGCTTCTCAAATTGAAGATTAACACTTTCAGCATGTGCACGCATGACAGGAACTCGTATACATGTGGCAGTGACTTTAACATTCATGTCATTCTGGAAATAAATGGAAAAATTTTATAAGACTAAAAAGAAATATTTTCCGCAGAAATTTCAAAAACAACTGCACTGTATCTAATGAGATAAGAAATGAGAAAAAACCACCTTTTAAAACTTACCCAAATTTTTCGGGTTTCCTTTACTAATTTCATTTCCTCTTCATTGTACCCATTTTCAAGGACGGGTGCATTGTGTGAAAATAAATTAAAAGCATACTGCAAATCAAATATATTAAGAGATCAATTCAGAAACTTCACTGGATATAAACTAATTTCTAACTAATATGTCAACTAGTACGGGAAGAAAAAAGAACAAACCTGCTGCTTAAAGATATTACATGTGGGTGGTTTTCCTTCCAACACCTTACAGACAAGAAAACAAGACAAAAGGAATAAAACTTCGTGAAGAAACCTTATCACCAAACGCTAAGACGAAAAAAACAAAAAATCTTAGACAATGAGATTGGATGGGAAGAAGAAACCTCACGAGTCTGAAGCTCCAACTCTTCCATTGCAGCAGCGCCAGCACCACTGGCTGCTTGATATGTACTAACAACCATTCGTTGTACCTACAACATCAAATATGACTTGGAATTTACAACTATAATGTCATAGAAAACCTTATAGGACTCAAAAAACCAGCGCATCATTTTATCTGCTCAAGGTTTTTTTTTTCTTAATCTGCTTAAGCAAGAGGGCATATATTAAAATTTATCAACATCAACAAAGACACCAAAAGTGGATCCTCTACCTTCGCATGTCTATGCAAGGGTGTGGCAGCCATCAAACAAATGATAGTAGAGCAATTTGGGTTAGCAATCAAAGCCCCCTTTCCTATTCCAACTTTAATACCTTCCATAGCCTCTGGATTCACCTCAGGAATCACCAATGGAATCCCTTCACTCATCCTAAAAGCCGAACTATTATCCACCACAATAGCACCCTTCTCCACCGCCACCGGCCCAAACTGCTTGCTAATAGACCCTCCAGCACTGAACAAAGCAATGTCAACTCCATCAAAGCTATCAGCGGTCAGTTCTTCGATAGTATAGTTCTTGTCCTGGAAAGTGAGTTGTTTCCCGGCAGAGCGTCTCGAAGCAAGCATTTTGATTGATCGGTAAGGAAAGTCACGGTCGGCGAGGACGGAGAGGAACTCTTGTCCCACGGCGCCAGTGACACCGACGACTGCGAGAGAAGGGGCGTTTTCTTGAATGGACATTCGGATTCTTGAAGGATAAGTCGTGAATATGGGTTTGGGCTTAAGGGAAAATTTGGAGAAGAGATGGGTTTGGTGGTGTGGGTGTGAGAGAGTAGCCATTACCGATACAGAGACAGAGACAGAGACTACGAAAATGGCGGCTACTGAGACGAAGGGGTTTTAATTTTAAGTTTGGAGGCGGAGAGGGAGGTTTAAGCCTTTAAGGGCTGAAGAGTGAGATCTGTCATCTGTGTACTTGTTGTTGGGTCCTGTTACCTTTGTGCGCTTGTTGGCAGATAGAGGTTTTCATAAACCATTAAAAACCGTCAAACCGTTCAAATCAATCCAAATAAAAAAAAAAATTGCGGTTTTGAAAATTTTATGGTTTGATTCAAAATCAAATTATTAGTTTGATATATAACTTTGAAGCCAAATCCAAATCAACCGTTATATTATGTGGTAATTAAATCATAATATCATATTAATCGAGTAATTTATATAATTAAAGTTATTTATGAAAAATACGTTAATGCACATTATATACAAATAATATATGTTATAAGTTTTTGAGTATTAAATATATTGAGTAATTGAATATAGAAAAAAGCATTATTAATAATATTAATATTTGAATTATAGATTAAGAAATCATTTAATTTAACAATATAATGAATAATTAAAAATATGAAAATTAACATAAAATTGAATAATTAAATAAATATATTTTTCAAAATTTATTTGTATGAATTTTAGAAATTGCCGTTATAGATTTAAAATAGAAATTGCCGTTATAGATTTAATTTCGAGAAATTTTTTAAATCAAACCTAATTAAACAATCAACAGTTCTATTAACAGAAACTTGACGACGGCCACAGATTTGAAACGGAAAAAGTCGGTAAATGTTTTCCATGTGCTTATATATAGTACACATGCTTCCACTTCAGTAATTGGTAAGCTATTTATTAGTTTAATAAAAATATAGGAGAAACCCGCATTTTCCTCGTCAAGAAAATCTGACTGCTACATTTCCAATCCAATGACTAATTTGCTGGTTTGCTAGATTTGCAAGTATTTCGCAATCCAATATCAATAGCTAGTTGTTGCATAAACCCAAATAGTTCAATTTAAGTTACTAGTTTAAGCTAGGTTGTCAAACATTTAAGACTGGTTTGATTAAATCGGCGAATCTGATTTGGCTAATTAAAAATTGAGTTTCTGCTCGGTTGATAAAATGAAAGTATTCAATCGTCTGTTAAAGGTTTGGTTAGAATAATCTAACCAAATTAGTCGAATTAATCGAAAATAAAACTACACAGAGTTATTGAGAAATTTTCATAAAAATGGACTGGTCAAGTTTGATTTCCATTCCAACAATATTGCTGCTTTCTGAAAAATGCATCATGCTATATGCATAGTTGAGGCATGTAAAGATTGCCAAAAGCAACATCAGCTTCGTTAACCATGTGCGCTGGAGCAACAAAGAAGAAGCTTATCCAATTGATGTCAATAACAAGAGGGAGCTGTAAAGGAGGAGAGCTTAACAACTAATCAACACTGATTAATAGTGTACTTTATGTTTAAATTGGAATTAGCTACAGACTCTTATTGATGGTATCATCTATGTATATATATATAGAACTTTAATAATTCCATCTATACTAAGAGCCGCCATGTTAAATCTAATTTTAGCTTCAACCCTCCAACTGGGGCAGCACAACATCTTGTATAGGTACAAGCTTTGCTTGACCTCCATACTCTTCTGGCAAGATTTCTTCACCAATTTCCTTCATAAAATTCTCTCTCTCTTCTTCATTGCTGACTATAACAATCTGCATCCAACATCAAAAAGCAAGACCGAATTTAAATGTGATAAGGTAGATTAATATCGCTAGACCAATTTGAAACATGGAGTGTCCATATCAACTAGGATACAAGATAGATAAATAAATTGAGTTTAGGAGGAAACTGAAGAAATGACAGAAGTTTAAATGCTAATAATTAAAATAATAATAAAAGAAACCTATGTTTCTTCAGAAATAGAAAAATATTTCCAAAATTTTAACACATTCAAGATGCTGAAAATATCAAAATGGTATATTGGCATATTCCTGATACCCACCATCAAGTTGCATATATATAAAGTAATGATAATGAGTTCTAAAGCCATGGGAAAAGCGAGTTTGTCAACAACAGAACATACCTTTTCCTGTGTTGCTTTCTCAAGGAAGCGAGAAACCACCCTCCAAACACTAACAAAGAATCGGGGCATATGTAAAATGAAGCACTTCGCTAAACGCTCGGGGTAATAAGCCTGCATGAACGATAATTCAAGATAATATAAATATCAATATACAATCATTTAAGTGCCTCAGCATATGACATCTAGTCATCACTCATCGCCTTATTTAAAGCATCCTTTTTCTCATTTTAATTTGACGCACTCAAAATGGGATCAAGTTCTTTTAGCATATTTAGTTCATAATCTAAATTTTACAAAATTGACCAAATACAATATCAGATGACTAACTAGAACCAGCATTCAAATTTTATCTGCAGACTCGATTGAATTAAAAGGGAAGATTACGATGTTGGCAAAATACATTGTCTTTCACTTCAAGAGCATGCATGTATCTATTGCCCTTTTTCCTTGTTTAGAAGAGGAAGTTTATAGAAAAGAATGCAAACAAACGTATAAGGAGAGTCCTACAAATATGGTGCATTAGAAAGTTCTGGTGACAAAAACCATACTATGGGATGAACATTACAAGGAGTCAATAAAGCATAAAATTCTATGATATCAGCATGCAGCATCCTGAAGAAATGGAAAGTAGAAAAAAAGTTGTACTTCTGAGCAGCTTATCCTTTTGGTAATAACAACAGCTTTAATAATTCAGTCCATGAGATTCTTAATAAAGCATGTTCCCTTTTATGAAAAAAGAAGAACAAAGAAGCTTTCCTTCTATATGGCAAAATCAAAATCACCAAATTATTGGATGGAGACCAGACAGGACAGACTATCATTCTCTGCCCTTTTCAAACCCCAGAAGAAGCCCTCCATTTCTCATTCTCTCTTAAGTCAAAAATGCAACTTACAGGATCAGACATGCACATGTGCAAACATATGCATGTCCTTTTTGGCAATTATTAAGTCAAGATGCAGAAATGTACACGAATATGCACAATGTCCTAGGTCAACATAAAAGATTTGAAAGATAGTCTTAACAAACATTACATGTTAAATATGAAGTTTTCCTATCCTTCTTCATTATGCACTCCTTGTTTCTGTTTTTTATTATTGGAAGATGGAATATTTTGTCATAGCATAAATTGCAAATAGAGGAGTTACCTGCAAAAACTGAAATCCAGTGATTAAACCACGCGCATCAGTATTTCTATATGTAATTTGCTGCAGATCAAGAATGCCAATCAATTTCTCATTTCCTATTTCTCTTCCTCTGAATGAGCTGAAACATCATTTAAATTCCCTAAGAAACCAATTTCTTTGTTCAAGAATGTATTGCTATACAACAATAATGTAGATCAGAGGAAGCATCTGATATGAAGATATGAGCCACTAAAAAAATTTTATTATTATTATTATTTTGAAAAAAAGAGAGTTCCTTAGCAGTCATCAATACATTAAACAAACTTGAGAAAAATCAGATTTGAAAGAGCACCCCAAAATTGGAACCCAGGAAAGCTGTTATGGGTCTTCTCTCCCCACTATTAAGTGCTATCTACCTGTTTAGTTTAGGTTAAAAAGAAAATGCTGGTTCTCAATGTTTGTTAGGTCTCAGCTTATAGTTGTTCTAATACATATGCACTCACATTTTAAAATTTCGAGATAAATTGAAAAGAAAAAAAAGATCTCCCATTGGCTTATGCCAATAGGATATTTCATTATCAGAAATATCGTACTATATTTGACTGGATACAATGACTAGACTCTACTTTTGTATAGAGATAACACAAAATTTCTTATCAAGAAGCCATCAGTTGGGCAGAAGTCAAGAGTTTTATAGATCTTTTATTGTGAACTACTTGAAAAATATGAGGCCTTCTAGACTAAATCTCTATCAGTTCCAACATCCAAAAAATTTAATTTTCCCGCCTCCGATGCAGATGTGCCAAAGAATGCAACTTGCCGCAGATCCCTTTAGTTGAGCTTGCAACTTACTAAACATGAATCTCACTACCTATGGTTTTAAGAAGATCAGAGACAACAGTTGTTGTTATTCGGTTAAGATTGTTCTCGATATCTTTTTGAATGATGTTACTATGTAACACCATTGACAATTAAAAATAGAGTGAAAGCTATAAACAACCAAAGTTTTGAAGTAACAATTAAATCATCCAGCAGTAAACCACACTCCAAACAGTCACTGCAATTAAAACCTTTTTTTTTTTTTTTTTTTTTTTTTGTTGTGCTTTATTCGGTTAAGATTGGATTGTTCTCGATTTTTATCTTTTTTGAATGATGTTTACTATGTAACACCATTGACAAATTAAAAATAGAGTTTGAAAAGCTTATGAAACAACCCAAAGTTTTGAAGTAAACCAATTAAATTCATCCACAGTTAAACCACACTCCAAAACAGGTCACTGCAAATTTTAAAACTTTTATTTTTTTTTTTTTTTTGAAAGGTTAGAACAAATTTCAGATATTGAAAATTCACAATTATTTTTGTCTTATGAGTGATTGCCTTCTAAATAACCAATAAGAATCACATTTTCAATTTTAACCCATTCATTCCAAATTACCATTTTACGCGCATTTCTAATCAAATTTAGCCTTCAAAAGTATTCAGTACCTTGCAATTGTTTTGTCTAGGAAATTGAACCACGAACTCTGCAATCAAGAGGTGTATTTTTTTTTTTTTTTTTTTTTTTTTGAAAGTTATGAACAAATTCAGATATGAAAATCACAATTATTTTGTCTATATGAGTGATGCCTTCTAAATAACCATAAAATCAATTCATTTTAACATTCATCCAAATTACCATTTACGCGCATTTCTAATCAAATTAAGCCTTTCAAAAGTATGCAGTACCTTGCAATTGTTTTGTCTAGGAAATGAACCACGAACTCTGCATCAAGAGGTGAAACAAAAAGAATCAAAGATGCACTTGCGAGGTATCTCATGGAAAACAAAATGGGAAATTGTGCTTATTTAAATTATTATTTTTTCTTAAGCTTATTATATTAACACTGCACACAATGTATGAAGATGAAATGTAAACATCAAATTTTCCCATTTGAGGCAGCATTCCTAGTTCATTCTTCCCCACCATCATATTGTTGATATACTACAATGCAGAGCAGCTGCCTCTTAGGTGCATATAATCATCTTCATTGTTTATTTATTTATTTTGGGAGGGGGAGGAAGTTCAAGACTCAATAACTATAGCTTTGCAGGTGTTCCCAAAATCAGAAACAGAACTTCCCTTGTTTCCTTTGCATACACAAATAATTATTACATTTGATAATTTTCAGGACCAAATGATAGATTATGAGGTCACACTATTGAGCACGCAAATATTAGGGTATGGAGAATTTATTAAAGGGAATTTGCAAATGGATCTGTTGAAGAACTATATATGACTATCAGCTGATTGCAGGCCAAGCAAACTCTATAAATGCTAAACATTAATATTGACTTCCCACCCATGAAAGTGAGCAAATAAAAATGCCCAGTTGGTTACACAAGTCACGATTTAACAGTACATAACTCGTAGGGATTTGCATGGTTTTATCATTTGTCGTAAATAAATGATAAAGCCAATCAATAGGCCACTAGGAAGCAATCAATAGGCCCATCAAACCTTTAAATAATTGTCCATATCCCTTATAAATTTCCCAATTCCTAACCATTGGTAGTAGGCTTTTGTTCGTGGGCCTGATCTCCTCAATTTGATATTGATTAGTTCCATTTTCTGCAGATTGCAAATAGCAAGATTATAAAAAGAGGGTCACCTTTCAGAAAAAGCGTTCCTGACTATCATGATTGTGACCCCACAATATTATTTCCTTCTGGCAGTATAGTCCTAAAGCACATAATAACTAAACAATTCCAGACTGAATTATTCAAATAATAGAAGGTAACATACATCAGAAAGTATGTGTGAGCCCCATGATTGTAACAACAAACAAGCCATACAGTCCAAGAAGTCCTAATCACACACCCCATTTTGTGTCAAAAAACTTTATCTGTTCATGATATGGCCCATATATTCAACAATCTAACTTAAAAGGCATTGTTTTAAAAATCCATAGTATGACTGGCTACAGCAAAAAGTTGAATAGTAAGCACGCATTGTGAGTTAATCAATTGAAACGACAAGCATGTAACATAGGTTTGAGCTAATTACTCTTGAATTGGAGATGATCCTTTGCAGGAAAATGCTTGCTTCCTTTGACAATCAAAACTGGATATCCCTCTTTTGTTAAATTCTGCAAAAATACCTTCCTTGTTTGCAGTTCATCTAGGACGTCAGAGTCTGGTATAAACCCATTGGGAACAAAAGCAGACCTCCATTTCTGCCACTGCACAAACATCTTTGCTGCCTTTTCTGGGTCCATTGACCTTGCAATCAAGAATCTCATCAATGTTGTATCACTACAGCTCTGCAAATCCAAACCCACAGATTCAATAGCTAAAATTACCTTAATCAAACATCCAACATGTAGAACCAATTAAGAGCTGAAATGAAAAAGTAAACCTGAAGACCAAAAAGTCACATACACTTCAAAGATACATACAAACAACCATTCACAACTGTATAAATGACCATACGAAAAGTACCTCAGTTGCAGAACCAAGCTTTTCAACTGATTTTCTCATCTGGGTCACTGTAATTTCCTGTGTTTTCTCCATTAGGGGCAGTGGGATTGCTTTGAGGTTCAAATTTAGAGGAAATGAGAAAAGGGCATAGACCTTCTGTTAAAAGGGTCAAGATAATGAATTCAAGACTTGAAATTTCTACACTGAGAGAGAAGAACAGCATGTGAGGAAGAGAGAGAGCTTACGTTGACAAAAAGGAAGAAAGCATAGGAAGAAGTGGTAGAGTGGGGCACAGGAAATTAACCTAGGAGAGCGACTGGCTGTTATTTTGGTTATTAATTTGGTTCCAATAAAGAATGGAAAAAAAAGTTTTAAAATGATTAAAACTTAAAAGAACGCATCTTTTTCGATTTTTTACTGTGGACTGGTCTAAAGAAAATCTGTCCACAGAACAAGCAAGAGCCACATAAAAACGAGTGATATTAATTCTGCTAGACAAAAAAAATAAAAGTTAGAAACAGTTGACATCATGAAGCATTTATTTTTCTTTCCTTTCTTCAATTGTCGAATGCAAGTCCGCTATTTCTATCTCTTCTTCTTTGGCGGCTTTCTGCTCCGTAGCTTGAGCCTTGACCGTTCCCAAGTGACAGTTTGAAAACTCTTCTTTCTTTTCTACTTTTAATCTTGAAACTTTTTTATATGGTAGGAAAAACATTTAAATTATTTTTTGATAGTGTCTAAAATAACATTTTTCGAAAATAGTAACTCGCCAATCTTAATTTCTATTATCGTGGGTAGAAAAAAAACACAGAGAGAGCAGGTCATGCGGGGATTGTGGACTTCAAATTTGATACCATTAGTCCCTTGGTAGAGGATAAAATTTGGGAGAGAGTCCCTTAGCGTCTTCCTCGATGTTTCTGAGTGCAAGTTAGCATGTCTATATGGGCTATGTTTTGGACCTCAGCTTTTAGCCTTTTATTACAAACAAGTCCGTTGGGCATTTCCCTATATTTTTATCTCGTGCTGCCCAAGTAAGAGTTGCATTGTCTTCAAAGCATAAAATTTAACTGAGAAAAGTAGCCCGTCATTCTATTACCAAGCTTAGTTTGTGACCAATCAATGCCCTGTCAATCACTAAAAAAATGAGAAAAACAAAATATCAGCCAGAGGCTATAGTATAAATTTTTAAATATTCTTAAATTATTATTAATAAATTTTACTAACAAAGTATTAGTTGATGTAGTAAACGACTTCAATCCTCTAAAGGTGAGAATATAAGTTTAATTCCAAAGACTGAGAGGATGAGAAAAAGAAGGAAAGTTTTCCATTGTTTGTAAACCATAAGGAACAGTTTCACATAAACAATTGAGCAATCTTTGAGCTTGCGAATTAGAGGTGGAGAAATGAGAATATACTTTTTTATTGTTTTACCTTAAAGAGTATTACAGATTTGAGATTGATAATCTGAGGAAAAAAACATAGCTCGACCTGAGATTGATCAACTATTTTACAGAGACTGTTTTAGAAGCTAAGCCTTTTTAACCAATTCTGATATCAATCAAACAGGAACAGTGTAATCTTGGAAAGCTACAAGCTTTGCTCGCCCACCATATTCTTCTGGTAAGGCTTCTTCACCAATTTCCTTTATAAAATTTCTTCTTTCTTCTTCTTTACAGATTATTACAATCTGCATTCATCACCGTCAAGAAAGCAAAATTTAGGACCCAAAATGACTAATTAACTAATATTAGTAATATATCAATATTATTTAATTGAAATAGTAGCTTATTAAATCAACCGTCAAGAAAACAATTGAAAAGATGATAAGATATTAGCAAAAGAACATTCTTTAATCTGTATCACTTTGGCAGAATATTCATAGAACAAACCTTTTCCTGTGTTGCCTTATCAATGAAGCGGGCAATCATCTTCCAAACAGTAATAAAGAATCGCGGCATGTGTAAAATGAAGAGCTTAGCCAGACGCTCTGGGTAGTAAGCCTGCAAATGAATAACAGGAATAGACCTTACAAGGTGCATGAGCATATAATATTCACCAATGGATGTTGCTTTAGACAGAACAGAGATTTTAAAACTGATGGCCTCAACGTATTGGTATTCTACTCCACAGCCAGATGTCACCCCCTTCTAGGGTTGTAATTGAGTCACATTGAGTCAATATAGTGCTAAGCTTGAGCGAACCTCAAATATTCATTAGACTTCTTGAGGCTCAAAGGCTCGAACTCAATTAAGTTTAATTTTCAAAATCAAACTCAGCTTGAACAAATGATCGAAATACTCAAACTTTATTCGACATCATTAAAAATAAATATTTATTTATTTATTTAAGTTGATATAAAGCTCAAGTGAGCTCAAATAAGCTCGAGTTCAAACTCATTATTTAATAATATAATCTAAAATTATATAAACTTTAAATACTAAATTAGGCTCGCTAGCCACTTGAATCAAGTATTATGATACTTAAAATTGCTCGACTCATTGCTTGAGCTACTTGAGCTTGAGCTCTACTCAATTAAAAACAAGTCAGATTTGAATATTTATCAAGCTGAATCTGAGTGGAGTAGTTCATGATAGTTTGACTCACTTACACCTCTAGCCCCTTTTAAGCTGCACATACACAGTGCATCCTCCCTTTCCCCTTCGCAAGTACCAAAGCTAACATGTAGTCATAAATACCCTTGCATATAATGCAAAATCTAACATTTCGTAGCTAAGAGATAGATATTCTGCCTCTCCACTTTTTCTAAAAACAGCACCAATGCACATTCTATTAGCAAATTTATGAATGAGAAGCACAATTGTATAATCTCAAACATTCCATAGAAAATTTCCAAATTGGATTTTTCCTGTTTTCCTGTTATCATACGAATAAAGTTTCCACCTCCCTTTTATAACCAAATATTTCTCTGCAAGAAATCCATTACCAGATTGAATATTAAAGAGTTGAATTGAAAATGACATATGAAGAATTACCTGCAAAAATTGAAATCCAGCAATAAAGCCTCGTACATCAACGTTCCTATATGTTATTTGCTGCAGATCAATAATGGCAATCAACTTCTCATTTCCTATTTCTCTTCCTTGGAATGAGCTGAAACAGGGTCAACAAAATCCATTATGAAACAATGACTTTATTAAATAAACACATCACTTTACAAAGAATAAGCAGATAACAGGAAGTATATATGCAGATATGAAACACAAAATAGGATTTGGAAAGGAGATCTTTTTGCGGTAGTTTGTGGATATGTAACATCATTGACATACAGCAACAGCTGTTATTTGGTTAATTTTCAGTAAATATCAGTGTATAACACCATTGCCAAAGTTATCTCCCTAAGCAAGCATTAAAGTCATTATGCTTCTTCAGTAACTTTGAGAATGCTTCTCTATAAGGGAGCAAGACTCATTATAAGCAGTAACATAAAGCAATGCCTTGTAAATAATCACACTCACATGATTAAAACGCCCTCAAAGTGAACAAAAACTGAGAAATTATCCTCTTTGAAAATTTCCAACCACATTCAGTAGTATTAGATGTTCTATTACCTTGAAATCGTTTTGTCAAGCAGGTGAACCACGAACTCTGCACCAACATACAAAACACAATGAGTAAATTGTTCACTTGCAAGGTATCATAATAATGATAAAAGAGAGAAGCAGAAGTTATTTCAGCTATTGTTTTCCTATTACTGGGGAGCCTAGGCTTACCGATGCAAGTAAATCACTATACGTGATTGTAAACTATCATTGAGAATATTTGTTGAAGAGACTCACAGCACCCATTTGACGCGGTGGGAACACACTTCAAAGAAAATCTTTGGAATTATAAAAGTTGAAGTTCTAACAAGTCACTGATTCTTGGAGTTTAACTGATACAGTTCTTTTTTGTTGAAAATAATAAGCAAGAAATTTGCTAGTTTTAAAATAACTTTTGAGTCCAAAGGGAAATATTAAGTGATATTAAAGGGGAAAAGTTACCAATGCCTCTTAAAAAATAATTGTTCATGCCTAAAGCTTTTGATGCTATCGGTAGTACAATTAGGCCCATCATGTCATTAAGTAAATGGCCTTTGTAAATTTTCCATATGCTATACATAACATTGGACAGGAACTTTTCTTTATCACCGATAACCATTGGATAGCAGGTTTTCTTTGTCATTGACACTGACCCATTCTGTTTCATTTTCATATTGTGAGTTCCATTTTCATATTGATGGGTTCCATTTCCCCCAAGCTTTCCAATAACTGAGAGTGACAAGATCTTCAAGAAAAGGCATAAATTGACTATCATGATTTAACCACACAGATTATTTTCATTTCGCAATATGCTACAAAGCACTTAGAATCCAATCGACACCAGATGGAAATATTCAATAATTGAAGGCGAGGAAGAGTTTATATATACCAGATGGAAATATTCCAATTAATTGAAGGCGAAGGAAGAGTTTTTATATATAATATATATATAATATATTAATATATAGAGGAAATAATTGACCAAGGCTCAGTTTATATATATAATAAGGAAATAATTGCAAGGCTCAGTTGTAGTAGGACAACAAACAAGTGATACAGTCCAGGCAGTCCAACTCATCCACCTACTTGTATGTGAAAACTTTATATGATCCACATATTTAGATGCAACAAGTTAGATTAAAAAGGCATCATTGCATCAATGAAATTTCAGAATCTAATAAATACATATATATTAAACTGACTAATGAAAATAATATGCATGATTCATAGCCTAATCAGTTGTAACCAGAAGAGTGCAATTATAGAGTTCAGATAATTACTCTTGAATTGAAGATGATCTTTTGACGGAAAATGCTTGTGTATTTTGGCAGCAACAACTGCATACCCCTCTTTCGATAAACCTTGCAAAAATACTTTCCTTGTTTCTAATTCATCACGAACTTCAGATTCTGAAATAGACCCATTTGGAACAAATTCAGCCCTCCATTTTTGCCACTGAACAAACATCTTCGCCGCCTTTTCTGGGTCCATTGATCTCGCAATCAAGAATCTCATCAATGCCGGGTCCCCAAATATCTGCAAGGTAAACCCGTAAAATCAATAACTAAACCAAGCCGAACCATACATACATACATAATTGCAGCTTTGTGTGTAACTTAAGGTTATACCTCAGTGCAAGAACCGAGCGTTTCAACTGATTTCCTCATCTGGCTCAGTGCAATTTCTTGGGTTTTCTCCATTTGTGAAAGAAGAAGAGTTGGGATTTTCTCTCAGTCAAAAGTGTCACTTATTCTGTATAAGTTCAAAAGCTTGGAATTTGACACTCACAGAGAGAGAGAGAAGAGATTGAGCGAGAAAGTCTGCCTTTGACGAAATAGAAAAATGAAATGCAAGGCTTGCCGGCTGGCTGATAATTTTAAACTTTTAATTCATGGAGTTAACGTAAACAATTCCTATCTAGCAGTTCCTGTTTAGGTAGAACTATATATAAGAATTTGTAAATGGGAAGGAAGGACAGTTGATGGTGGTGGCGCCAAGATTGGTCCAAGATATGCTGCCAAAGCAGGACTAGAATTGCCGCATGCTGACATATGTTGCACAAATTTCAATTTATTAATCAAATTAAATTTGTTTATCCCTCGATAATTACTATTTTGTCCCTGAGATTTGATTATAAATAGTTCAACTCAGTACTTGGTCTTTGCGTTATGACAAAATAACCGCGATTCCAACCAAAATGTTTGACTTTTACTATTTCGTGACATAAGTAATAACAAAAGCTAAATGTGAAGATATTAAATAATAATATTATATTTTTTTTTTCATAATATTTTTTATATTTAGAATTCACGTACTTTATAAAAACTATTAAATTTATCTAAATTATAATAAATTATAGAGAGTAAATTATTAAATAAATACTATATTTATTTAATTTAAGTCTTAATATTCTTAAATTATAATAAATTATTAAATAAATTAACTATATTATCTTTAATTTAATCTTAATTTTCTAAGAAAACCATTATATTGAAGTAATAATTATGTATCATATATAAAGGGTAAATATGAAAAAAATATTTATTACTTTTTAAAACCACAAATGTGACAAGTATTTTAGAATAAATTATTTTTTTCAAATGTGATAAATATTATAGAACAGATTGGTACTCAAAATACTATCACATTGCAAATATTAGAAAATTTGGAGTAATTTTGCTAAACAGTAAGGATGAAGTACTAATTTCAACCAATTCTCAAGAATTTTATAGTAATTTATTTTTATACCTCCTTTAAATTATCCAAATATGTAAGTTAAAAGAACACTTCTAAAAGAAAAAAATAAAAAAGAAAGGCATTGCAAAGGGATAAAAGAACACTTTTATAGTAATTTATTCTCATTTCAATAAAAATTTATTTTTTATTGGTTTAATATATAAAGTTATGAATCAGTCTAGCTAAATCAATCCCAACAAAAACAATCAAATAAATATTTTTTTTTGAAACACTAAGCTGTTAAATTAATAATTATTGCCATGTGTTAATTTTAATTTAATGTATTATAAATATTGTACCATATAAACAACAAACTTCATTAAACTAATCAAATTAATAATTCAACCACCCAACATTTGTTTTATAAAAACATTAATTAAAGATTTAAATTCTGAGAACTCTCTTAAATAGAAATGAACCAAATGCCCTAAATAATAATGGATCAAACCGGATTTAGACGTAAGTGTTTTAGCATACTAAATCCACAACATTTGTTTTAGCATAAAGTTGCAAGCGTCTTGTTCCGGATTTAGATGCATAGTTTTCTCCGGTTGCCACGTGCTGCCACCAATAAATCCACATGCACCAGATACAAACATGATTTTATCTTATTATTTTATGATTTGAAATGTAGTTTAACTTGTCTAATGCCACATATAACTATTAAGTCATTGTAAGTTTATTAAGTTGAATAATCGAAATTTGATATTAAGAGCTGATTACTGAATAATTAAGAAATAGTTTAGTATCATTTTATAATTATATAAGTAATTTTTATCTTTTATCTAGTAAATCGTAAGGTTTATTAAATCAACTCTAAAGAAAGCTTTTTTATTCTGATTAGCTGAATAACACGAAACAAACTATCTACTGACACTTTTTTTTTTTTTTTACTGTTCTAGTGATTGACGATGAAAAAGGAAAATTTAAGGAGAAAGGAAGTCAGAAACCATGTACTCCATAATAAGAAAAAGGAATTAATACATTAACAATACTGCCATACAATTGTAGCTGGTCAACTTTTGGGGGCAGACTTGGTAGTTTATTTTTAACTGTGTAGCTGTTGGAAAGTTCTCGTATAAAGAAAATTAAGTATTGGGAAGACTTTTAAAACTTCTAGTAGCTAATAAGTCTATGAAGTCAAAACTGTTGTAATAAGACTCCACGGCATGGCATTTTCTTCTCGTTAATAATTATTTTTATAATATTTAATCAATTTAATTTTATATATTAAGAATCGTAAAATTTTTCATGAATAGTGAATTAAAGAGTTTGGTCAAAATTCTGAATCATAAACATGTAATACATGCACTTTTATTATTTTGTATCTAAGAAATATATTGACCTTAACATAATCATTGTTACTTTTGGCATTAGAGAATATCTATTTACTATTTTATAACAAGCAAATTTTAATAAAATTATAATATTTTATATTTTATTTTTCATGTTTGAGAAACAAGAGCCATAGATTAAATTTTAAGAACTTTAATGTTTAAATTAATTTCTATAATTTAAAAATTAATTTTATACCTTAAATTTATTTACATCAAATAGAATAAGTATCAACTGTGAACATAAGTTGGGTTTGTATTCTTGAAATTTTAGAGACATGGAAGCAATTCTCCAAACGGTAATCTCTTATTCTTCTAAAACCTAACACCATTCGGAGATCTCAGCTCCAAGTTAACCAGTTTTACATAGACTTCGCAGAGAACAGGATCTTGTAATTTATCAAGAAGGAAAAAGAACTGCAGTACTTCTTGAATAAATTGCAGAATATACACATATTAGCAATTTCATCATCATTCTACCTGAATAACTACACAGCTACATAGCAAGATGCCATCAAGTGGATTTCATTTCAAACTGTTGGAAATAACACAGATTATTTTCCTACAGACTAATTAGATAAGAAAATACCACCAAATCCAGTATACTGTTTAATTTTCAGAACCTGGAATTAAGTAGCTGAAACAAAGATCTAATCCCACTTAAACATGCAAAGCAAGTAGAAAATTAATTCAAAACCAGGTAGCCAAATCCAGTATACTGTTTAATTTTCAGAACCTGGAATTAAGTAGCTGAAACAAAGATCTAATCCCACTTAAACATGCAAAGCAAGTAGAAAATTAATTCAAAACCAGGTAGCCAAATCCAGTATACTGTTTAATTTTCAGAACCTGGAATTAAGTAGCTGAAACAAAGATCTAATCCCACTTAAACATGCAAAGCAAGTAGAAAATTAATTCAAAACCAGGTAGCCAAATCCAGTATACTGTTTAATTTTCAGAACCTGGAATTAAGTAGCTGAAACAAAGATCTAATCCCACTTAAACATGCAAAGCAAGTAGAAAATTAATTCAAAACCAGGTAGCCAAATCCAGTATACTGTTTAATTTTCAGAACCTGGAATTAAGTAGCTGAAACAAAGATCTAATCCCACTTAAACATGCAAAGCAAGTAGAAAATTAATTCAAAACCAGGTAGCCAAATCCAGTATACTGTTTAATTTTCAGAACCTGGAATTAAGTAGCTGAAACAAAGATCTAATCCCACTTAAACATGCAAAGCAAGTAGAAAATTAATTCAAAACCAGGTAGCCAACTTACCTATTCCGTGAAAACACTCATGAGATCATTAGGATGAAATTGCTGCAACACGGGCATCCCTATTCTTGCATTATCTGTGAAATCCAGATTTGGCTCCTGCTTCACTTTATTCCCATTGTTCTCCAAATAGACTTTTCCATGGCTCAAGTTGCTTATTGGTACTTCAAACTCATCCACCGCAAACCGGGTTGGAATACTAGTCCCTTTACCAACAAATCCAAGATTCCTAAGCGGTCCTTGATCAAGAACTTCACCCAACTTCGTGCCATAAGAACCCTGGAAGTCACAAATATTAGGAGCAAGCCCTGGCATATGTCTGGAAGCACCAAAGGTTGTGGTTGAATTTTGAACTTGCCGCGTGATGCCACTGTCTGCATTGACAGAGCATGATGATGTGGGAGATATAGAACCAGGGGCTGAATACCCACTGACTACACCTGTATTTTTTAGATCCCCGTCCCGTATGTGTCCAATATTTGTATTATTTGATTGAGAGGACAGAAGACTGTAATCAATAACAGCACCCCGGTTGAAGTTGCAATTCTGATTGATGGAAGCAGGACAATTTCCCGCCTGGAAACTGGCTGATGACTGAGAAGGGACAACAAGGCAGGATGGTTGCACATTGATTGAACGGCCAGTCTCTGGTATTGACTGCTGCTGTGGTTGCTGCTGCTGATGTAATATATCCATTAACATGTTCCCATTTTGAGTGGTGATACATCCAAGGTTGGTATTGGGCCCTACAGTGCCAAGGTTATTAGAAGGCCAGGCTCCAAATCCTGAAGCAACATCTTCAACGGATACAATATTTTTCGGAAAATGTTTGGAAATACTCGGTTGGCATTTTACTAATGGCTGCCCAAATGCCACACCATGTTCAACAGGAATACACTTGGGACCCTGTATGGATGCCTGTAAAAGAGCTGGTTGGTCCATTGTTGTAACTAAGCTACTTGTTGGTCGACCAAAAAGCTCGGCATGCAGTGCTGCTAATGTTTGTGGTGGAATCTGGCCCGAGGCAGCCAAAGCTTGTATGTCAAATCTTCCAAGTGAATTAAGTTTCCCATTTGAGTCCAAGGGACCACAAAATGTATTAGATATTCCACCTTGTTGAGCAACCCCACTTAGCCTCTTCAGATATAATCTAAATTTCTGCAAATTTATATCAGAATATTCAAATTACAGAATGTAAATACAATGAAAGACAATCTTGCATTGAGCTACTGAAACATAACATCATCCTTTCTATGAATACCAATTCAACATAGTGATATAAAAAATTCTACAGTTATCGGAGTATCATAGACCAAATGCATTTAGGAAATTTACAGGAATCAAAAAATCCATTGTGAGTCGCACTTAAAATTGAACTTCCAACTAATTGCATCTGAAATAATTTTACATCTAAAGGATATGATGCATAAAACTCAACAAATTTGCATAAAAATATAAGTGTCCACAAGTACTATTATAAGACCATATTTCACTATATAAATAGCATCAACATTTAGTAAGTAACAATATATGCCCTTCTTTATTTAAGATAGAGGTGAAGGGCAGATAGTAATTGGCCATTAGTCACACACCACTACCTTTGGGTACAGAACTGGAATACCAAAAGAAAGACGGTGAAAAGACAATGAAGCTACAAAGCTACAGTCTGAAGATTAAGAAAAGTAACAACCAGAAATGTATGCAATGTGATACAACCCAAAGGGAGTATCCTAAGAGGGAAGAATAAAAAAAAAAAAAAAAAAAAAAGGGAAGGTAATCCTAAGAGGGAAGAAATTAAAAAAAAAAAAAAAAAAGAGTTAGAGGGGGATCCATACTGGATGCTGAGGAGAACAAAGTATGAGTTCCTTTGTATCCAGGGAACTATATTTCTGAAATATTACCAACATGATGAGTGAAAGAAACCAAAGTGTGATATATTGGTCAAATAGAAATGGAGTTCCTTTGCTTCCAGAATAAAAAAAAAAAAAAAAAAAAAAAAAGAGAGAGGGGGATCCATACTGGATGCTGAGGAGAACAAAGTATGAGTTCCTTTGTTTCCAGGGAACTATATTTCTGAATATTACCACATGATGAGTGAAAGAAACAAAGTGTGATATATTGGTCATAGAATGAGTTCCTTTGCTTCCAGATAACTACACTTCTGAATATTACCACTTGATGAGTGAAAGAAACATGGAGGAACAGAAATCAATGAAGTAGCACGTTATTAAAGTAAAAGAAATAATACTGGATGCCTCAAACAGGGACTCTTCTTGGATGCTGGATCCACAATCATTAACAGAGTTAGAACCTCAGTTATACATCCTCCTCCTGCTATTGCAGCAAAGTATTGAAGACAAAAATCACAAAGGAACAACAAGACCAGAAGGGGGCGAGAAGATCCACTATCAAAATCTTTGCCCAAAAGTATTAGGGTATCTGAAGGTAGAGACGATCTCATAAGGGGGACTAATTGCTTTTCTTGCTCAACCTAAACATCCATCATAAACACCCAAAAAAAGAAGCATGTGAGAGCCAATACATCCATTAGCAGTTGGACTTTCCCAGCTATTTCACATAATAAATAACTTTACCAGTGGATGGCACTTAAGCAGGAGATCACATAAGCCATATGCGTTGTAGCATCACAAGGCACGTGCAAAAAAACTATTACCAGGCTGCTCTGCTAATCCATTGTTGTTTAACTTTGTATTTATTTACCTTTTTCTATGTTTTTTTTACTGATGAGTAAAAGGGTTATTCTTTCTATATTTCCATGTGATAACCCTAAGCAGCCTCCGATAGCTAACATAACATAATAACAAACAAACAAATAAATAAAAGAAGGAAAAATCAAAACAAAAAATGGTGATGTGAGTTAGAGCCAAACCTGCAAATGACTTGCAACATTTTCTCTAGTTAAACCAGGTACATTCATCAATTCTAGAATTCTCTTAGGTACAGCCTCTGAAATGATTGTCAAAAAATGTAATCAGCAAAAGGATACAATTGCCATTCACAACTGCTTCTGAGATAACACTATCAATTACAGAAGGATACAATTTCCTTCTCTAATAAAATTATAAGGTAACTTGAATAAAGAAATAAACAACAAAGTTGTAATGATCATACTATCAATTCCAAGCTGGTTTACGGCACTGACAAATTGTTGATGGAGCTCCACTGACCATACAACACGTGGTTTCTTTGATGTGGAAGGATCATCATTTTCCTGTTCAGCATCATCCTCGTCTTTAGGACTGCTCCTCTTTTTCTGACATTTCAAAAATCCTTCTGTTCCTTCATTAACAGAAGAAGCATGATCAGCATCATCATTTCCTCGTTTATGTCGATCATTATCCTCCAAGCTTCCGGAATGTTCATGTTCTTTATTTTCATGCCACTTTTTCCTAACAACATGTTGCCATATGTTCTTGAGCTCTTCCTCACGTATAGGTTTAATCAAATAATCACAAGCTCCATGTCTAATCCCCCTCATTACAGCACTTGTTCTTCCATCAGCAGACATCACTGCAGCAAAAATTAATTAATAGGTGCAAAATTTTGAGAATCTTTATGGCAAAGGAAGATAAACCACTCACTAATCACTGGCAGATCCATTTCAAGGCCAACTTGCTCAAGAAGTTTATATCCATCCATATCAGGCATATGAACATCACTTAGTACGACATCGTAGCAGCCTTTCCTTTCCCTTAGAAGATTCAAAGCTACTTTGGCCTGGGAGCAAGTTGTAACTGCAACCATTAAAAGAAAAAGGTAAACCTCTCCAAGTCCTACAGGAGACTATAAATAGGGTCACTGTCTTTTGCAAAAAAGGGTGAATCACACTTACACAAAAAGTACACAAGGTTAGCTTAAATTCACTCCCATAAGAATAATAAATTTTTTACTAATGGTTCTATTCACACTGACAGTAGATCTTCACAATTTCCTATCATAAATGGATATCTGTCGCATTTTTTAAAGATGTATTGCTTAATGCTGTAACTGTAAGTTAACGTTAAGAATAGGCAACATTATCACAAGTATGGCAGCAGATAGCAATGACAGCCTTGTTGTTCTCAAAGCGTCACTTTGCTTCAAATGGGATCACTGAAAGTAAATATCAACAGGCTTAACTGATTGTAACATGCAAAATTGTGGTTAATCACAGTTTCGTTTCAACCTAGACGTCCATTAACCTTCATTTCTTGCAAAAATTGACCTCTGACTACAAAGGCAATGTAGCCCGAACACATGTAATTTAAGAGGGGAAAATAACGAGTCTCACAATATCCAATAGATGAGGTTCCCAAATTCACACTATTCAGTAAATAAATTCATCATCTCTTTTAGACTATTTGTCAAAGAAAAACAGAGGGACATAAAAGTGCAGTATCATTCAATATAGACAAACTATTACATTTCGCCATTCTGCTCCAATTTTCTTCAAACAATACAAGATTGAGATCAAAATAGGTGTAACAAGTTACAAAAATAACGAATTGAGAAACTTTAACTAACAAATTAGAAAATCAGAAGACCAAAATATTAAGACGGAGAACACACTGACCGTTATAAAGACAACGCCGAAGCATCTGCTCGACAATCTTCAAGCAAGTAGTATCGTCATCCACAACCAAAACACGCAATCCGGCCGGAAACTGATCAGACGCAACTACATCTGCAGCAGCAGTAGCAGCACCTTTACAAGAGCCATAGCTGCTGGCAGTCGCACTCACACTGGACGCCACTCGCTGCAAAGCAGCCATAAATAGAAAACAACACAGAAACACAAATCACAGAACAATATCCACTGACACTCCCTGCCAAGTTAATCAAACCCTAATCACACTATCTAACAGTAAATTTTCAGCGATAAAAAGCTCGAATAGAGCATTTTGAGTACTCAAGCACATGAAATGAGACGAATTAAAAAGCTAGATCTGTAAAGAGAAACCCTAGCTTTTGGAAAAGGAAGAAAGGGGTGAATTAGGGAGAGGTATTAGAGCGAGATATTTGAGTAGTGATCCGTTAGAGAGTGAGAGAGAGATTTGGATAAATTGCGGGAATCTGTTGATGGAGAAGCGTTGAATTGGAGAGAAAAGAGTGTCAGATAACGCGAGAGAGAAGAAAATATACGACAATGGTTGCTTATTTTTTGTAGTTACAGGATTTATTAATTTTTATTTATTATCATTATTGTTATTATTAGAAGAGATAATTTTGAGGGGAATTTAAGGGAAAGATTAAATAATTGGAGCTTATAATGAAGAAGGAAGAGAAAAGGTTCGAAGTGGTCCCCTACCAGCAAAAAAAAGGAAATGGTTGTTTGGTTCGCGTGCCTTTTCTTTCCTCCGTGCACTCGTTATTGCCTTCTTCGTTGGCTCCTCCGAGCCTCGCATTCGCGCCACCGCGTCTTCTTTATCAAAATTAAACCATAATCAATTGTTTTCCGCTTCTAATTATAATCAAAACCATGTATCTATAATCGGATCGTACTCAAATATGCTTATAGTTATACTCGAGTTTTTTAATATTCAGTATCTGTCTAGTAAAATTAAATATATATCCTTCGAGATTGAATTATAAAATGGGTGAAGTTTTCAATTAAAAAAAATTATCAAGTTTTATTTAAAAAAAATAAAAATAAGCTTAGTACTTTTTTTTTTCTTTTAAGACCCATTGCGATAATTAATATATCTCATCTAAAAATACTGTGTTCAATAATTTTATGAATATTGATAATTTTATGAATATAGATAATCATTTTTTTTTAATTCAGAACACGTCAATTTTTTTTCCATAGTAAATATATTATAAATTTTCCTGTTGTTTATATTTTTCGAAATGATATAATTGCACAAATTATTACAATGGAGTTACTCCAGTTGTACTTTGTACTTGTCTCCATATCCGTTTGTCGACAAATATTTACAATCTGCAATTGGACTTCGACGACAATGACAAAGTCCCTAGACCGTTAGTCACGTTTCTTCAAACGACGAGTGGTGGTTCATCCGACGACAAGCATAACTCGGTCTTCTATTGATTTATATAACGAAACGACCATGAACACAACAAGAAGTAGAAAATGATAGGTTGATTGGTTCTCGTCCGCCGACAAATTGATAGAAGACAGCTAATTCAAGAGGGAAACCACCTATGGACTATGGTCCAGTAATAAATATATCCTTATAAAGAAAATTACAATATCAAAGCTAAAAATCATTGGAACTCTGGGCTCTGGGGTATCACCACTAGCTTCCATCATCCAAAGGAAAGGGCATCAATTACGTATTTTACATCTTTTTCTATGGACATATTAATCTTGTTAAATGCTAATCAAACAATGATTACTTGTAGACCATAATTTTTTATGATTTAAAAATATCTTAGTTGATCTTACTTAGCCACAGGCATGTTACATAGTAGTTATACTTTATTTGTATACAATCTGAACTACTATTCTAGTAATTAACATTGACGTCGTGAGAATTCAAATTTTAAATTTATATTTTAACGATATTTCAATTCAGTCAAATTAAATATTAAATCAAAACTGACCAAAATTAGAGGATTCTAAATTTCAAATCGATTTTAACTTTCTAACTGGAGATTGAATTTGTAATCTCATTTATACAGGATTGATATCGTTTAATGGTTCGTGCAATATCTTTATTGATATATCTTGTTATAAAAGTTTTTGAAACGTCTCAAGAAAAAAACAGTGAATACCACCTATAATAACGTTCACCAATCACCCAATTGACCTTATCTTATAATACCCCTTATCCAATCAAAACCAACATATTTGGGGTGTCTGGTGTATTTTATCGTCCATGCTGAAGCAAACGGGGAAATGGGTCTCCTTGTTACCAATTGTTTCAAAGCTAGACTCTGCCACTCCTTGCAGTACTCTATCTATAATCCCCACAATCAAAGTTCTAAAATTGAGCACGCAAGAAAGATTTTCAAGCATTCGCCGTAGTGCAAGGAGAAGATCAGTGAGATACGAGGAAGAAGATGAAGAAGATGGAGAAGAAGAGTATGGGCATAATGAGGAGATTGCAATGTTGGAATTGTACAGTCAGTCCTCAAGAGAAGAAGCACTTCTTGTGCATGCATTCGTGGATGACCAGGAAGTAGAAGTGCTCATCTTCAAGGTTCGCTTATTCAAATTTTCGGTTCCAATTTCCTCTTTTATCTTTGCTTTATTTATTATAGGCTCAAAAATTGTAATTTTTTTATAGGCTCAAAAGTTTGAGCTTGGCAATAAGTTCGAACAGATTATATTCCATTTACAACTAGAATTTCAATACTCCAATTTAAGAAATCAAAACCAAACCGGTCCTCTTGATTTCAGTTCCAAAAGCATCCACTAGAATTCGGTTCGCCCATCAGACATGGATTTGATTTGATTTCTATTGCTATTGAAAATGCAAGCTTATGTATTTATTGGTAATGAAATGCAGGGCTTCTCTTCGTGCTTAAGCTACAAGACTTCACCTGATCCATCAAGAAGTGTTCTGCCAGCCAGGGCAGTAATAAAATCCATAGACAGAATTAAGGGGCCTTTTGACCCCTCCAATATAGAGTATTTAGAGAAAGGCCTAACATGGGAGGCCTTCAAAACCCGTCTTGTCCCAACATGAGTACATCACTTGTAACAATTTGGGGCCATTGCTACAAACGAGTGGCCCTGATGTTCTGTAAAATTTTCAAATTTTCTTCTTCTTTCAGGGTTGTACAGCGTTTCAGGTTGTAGAGCGTAAGCGTGTTTTGCCGTTTAAGTAAATGTTTTTTAAAAATCGAGCTTATATTCTATTATCTTTATAAGAATTGGAAGGCTTATTATCTTAACTAATATGTTATTAGTTAAAATGAACTTTTTAGTATGATTTACTGATATCTATCTAATGGTGAAGAATCTTAATTTGAAAAATAAATTGTATATTCATTGAAAATATGATAATTTATGGACTAAAATGCAATCTACTTTAATGGTTATTTCGTAATGGACTCACGCATAAATTGCATCATTCCCTTTGATTAGGAAACCTTATGTGACAGTTTATTTATTTTAACTGATTAATAATATTAGACTTAATCTATTAAAAATTAAATTTCAAATCTTTTTAAATAAATGAGATAATGTGTGTGTAAAATTAACAGAATAAATTACAAATCAAAATTATTTATATTTTTTTTTTTTCCAAATGCTCCAAGCATTTAACTTAGCAGAAAACACATAAATACAAATTAATTGAAAGCATATGTTATATCTATATATCTATATACAATACTGAAGCAAAAAAATATTTCAAAAATATTAATGTGTCACTCTCTTCTTTCAGCTTTCTATTTTCCCTTTTTTACAAATTTTTGGACTTTTTTCCTTTTTTTTATTATGATTTTTCTTTGTTTCTAAAAATTTGATTGGTCATTAAAATATTTTTAAATTTATAAATTAACTTTTTATGATAATAATCAACATTTTTCGAAATTTTTATACAGGCCATTAAATTTTTTTTAATTTAAAAATTAATATTTTGTGATAATAACCAACATTTTTGAAATTTAATCTTATCTAGCTATATATTTTCCTTCTATTAAATCTTAATTTTTATTTGTATCTCTACACCTCCTGACTTTCTTCTACTATTGTTCTCATTTATAGTTTTTATTTGCTTTTTTTTTTTTACAGGACAGAGAAGAGTTGAACATAAAGAGCTCTCTATCAATCTGAATCTTAAATCATTTTCAGATTAGGTTTTCTTTTACCTTATTTCTTTCCTTTCTTTGAATTCTAAATAAAAAAACTAAAATTTATTTATAGGTTCCCTTTTAATCTTTGATCTTCTTTTATCATGATTTTTGTGAACTATTCTTTTCTCATGATTTAAGTTTTCATTTTTTTTCCCCCCTTCTGTTTTGCTTTGGGTCATTGCTTTTTTTTTTTTTTTTTTTCCAATTTCTGCTTTGAAGGGAGTGTTCTTTTTGGGTTATTAATATTACTATCATTTATTGGATATTAAAATTAATCAACATAAAGAGCTCTCTATCAAATCTGAATCTTTAAATCATTTTCAGATTAGGTTTTTTCTTTTAAACTTATTTTCTTTCCTTTCTTTGAATTCTAAATAAAAAAACTAAAATTTATTTTTAGGTTTCCCTTTTAATCCTTTGATCTTCTTTTATCATGATTTTTGTGAACTATGTCTTTTCTCATGATTTAAGTTTTTTCAATTTTTTTTCCCCCCTTGCTGTTTTGTTTTGGGTATATGCTTTTTTTTTTTTTTTTTTTTTTCCAATTTCTGTTTTTTTTTTTTTTTTTTTCCAATTTCTGCTTTGAAGGGAGTGTTCTTTTTGGGTTATTAATATTACTATCATTTATTGGATATTAAAATTAATCAATATTTTATAGTTTATACAAAGGTAATATTATTATCATTTCTCACTTCTAAATAATTTTTTTAAATATATATAGATATATATGTTTACATAAATTCTAAACTATAAATATATTATTGCCAAACTTATAAATGTGGTTACATATAGGATGACAAAAATTTAATTAAATTTGCATTTTTATATAGAAATTATTATTCTCGAAAGGTAGTATGAAAATCTAAATATTGTACTTCACAATTATCACAATTATCTCTAGTATCTAAAACACTATTGTGCCATTTTTTTAAATATAATTGAAGGTTAAATAAAATCAATGGTAATTAAATTTTATATATAGCCATGTTAAGGAAAAACTTTCTTGTTATATGTGAAACAATCTCTTTTAAATATTATTTTTTCTTTTTTTAATGTTTTTTCCTTTTTATTTCTCTAATAATTTTAGTTAGTATTATATAATTAACAATCAAAAGTTCAAAAAAAAAAAAAAAAAGTTAATTATTAGACAATCCAAAGGAGTTCAAAAAAAAAAAAAAAATAGCAGAATATTACTAAAACCTAGAGATTAGTATGTAGTAGAATTAAACTATTAGAAATAAACCGCAAACTTTTTATAGAAAAAAAGAAGACAAGTAGATTTAATTAGCTGGTAGGTCTTAAATTATAGTTAACCATAGATAATTTTTAAATTTTGGTTATTTTCGCTTGCAATTTTTAATTATTAATAATTTTATTTTAAACCATACCTATTAAAAGTTTAATAAAGAATATTTTACCATGTTTAGCCCAGTGTTGGTGGAGAAATGAAACGGTCAAATGAGGTGGGTCGCCGTTCCCGGCCGCATCGCGACATCAGATAAATATCTCGCCCAACAGAGGATTGAGGTAACGTCGGCATGCTTTTCGCTACTCGGTGGATGTTTTAGGGTCTAGTATTTCATAGCTGTAGATATTTTTTGACACGTGCTCTGTCACTTATCTTTACGTGAGGCATGGTTTCTTCTTTTAGTAACTGATAGGGCGCTTCCTCCATTTACCGTTCTTTTAACTACCATTTAAAAAAAAAAAAAAAAAAGCAGAATAACTAACTGGTTTATGTAAGTAAATTAAAACTTGAAATAACGCATTTATAAGAAAAAAAGAAGACAAAGTAATTAATTTTAGTTTAATATAGTAACATAATAATTTTTATTTTGTTATTTTCCTTCAATTTTTAATTATTAAATAATTATTTTTAAACCATACTATAATTTAATAAAGATATTTACCATTTTAGCCCAGTTTGGTAAATGACTCAAATGATGGGTCCCGTTCCCGCCGCATCGCGACACAGATAAATATCTCCCCAACAAGATTGATAACGTGGATGCTTTCTATGGTGGCATGTTTAGGTCTAGATATTTTCATACTAGATATTTTTTGACACGTGCTCTGTCACTTATCTTACGTGGAGGCATGTTCTTATAACTAAGCCCTCCATTACCCTTTTAACTACCATTTTGCCATTCTTTAGTTTAGCTGTGCCTATATTCTGCCTACGCCTTGGTATTTTGCTTCGACCGAGGAATAGCGCGGAGTTTAACTATACTGTTTGTAGCAGACCAAGTTTATTGATGGTAAATTACTAAATTACGTTAATGTTCATTAAATTTTGAATTTAAATTTATTAAAATTTTATAATTTATTTTTAATATTTAAATTTTATTATTTTTATTTCAATGAGAAATTGCTCACTAAATATCTAACCTTAATATAGAGATTTTGAGAAAATATCATTGATAAATGATATACTATTTTTCTTTCACAATTATTGCTTCAATTAAAAATAATTATGAGATTATTCTAAAACAAAAAATTATGGGACGAAAACATAGACGGGCATTTTTGCAATTTAAGTGGATAAAAGGACCATTTCTCCAGAGACATTTTCAACCCAAAATATCTTCAGAAGCAGAACACTACAGCCCCCACACACTCCATTTTTTGATTTTTCTTTTTCTCTATTTCTTATACACAGACGAGAGAGAAACTTTTCGTCAAACAGAGAGAGACACAAATATACACATGTCGAACCATGACGAAGACGAGGAAGAGAAGGTTCAGAGCTCTGGTAAAAGGCTAAAATGCACAAAACCCGAAGATGAAGAAGGACAAAGCAAGCTTATATTTGAGTCAGGATTTTTCTTTTACCCAACTATGCCTAAATCTATTGTCGTCTGCGATGCACTCGAGCCCGATTTTCCTATCATTTATGTCAACAAGGTCTTTGAGATCTTAACTGGCTATCGTGCTGACGAGGTCCTCGGTCGTAACTGGTAACATTCAATTTCTTCTTTTCAATTACTTTTTTTTTCTTTTTTTTTTCGTCTTTATTTTGTTTTCCGAGAGAATGGAGGAAGAAACTGATTGGTGGTGATTTGGTTGGAATTATATGATGGATAATAAGATTTGGGCTGGCGGAAACTAATAATTATTTGATGGAGTCAAAGAAGGAAAAAAAAAATCAGGAGGCAGCTTTTTATGGTTTATTTTTGTTATGTTTGGTTTCTGAGAAAATGTATGAAAATTGTACTGGGATTTGGAATGTGCTGAATGATGAGGTTGATGGCAGGTCGAATGGTATTGAATTTTCTGGTTTTTGATTATCGATTTCTGAATTGCTTGGGGAATTTATGCAACTGGCGTCATTTTGTTTCATTGTTTGCAGTTCTATAAATGGTTTTTCTTTTTTTGTTAGCTATAGTAGAAGGGTGGTTAGAGCAGTGATGGTGCGTTTAGCTTTGATAATTTAATGGTAGCAGTGAATAAAATCTGCAACTGCTTTATCCCGTCACTTTCCTATTGATAAATAGAAAAGGGCATTGATGCCATTCTTGAATCGTAGACAACAACAGCAGCTTTCTCCATACAAATATTTGATTGCTGCTATGTTCTATTCTTTTATTTTATATGATTGGAACCGTTATGCTTAGCATTTCTGTCATTGAATTATTTATCTTGAGAATTCTATGTTGTGGAGGATATATTGATCATTTTGGAATTCTCTTTTCAGTCGGTTCTTGCAATACAGGGATCCTCGGGCTCAAAGACGACATCCATTAGTAGATCCTGTTGTTGTTTCTGAAGTTAGAAGATGTCTCAAGGAAGGTGTTGAATTTCAAGGCGAGCTTCTCAATTTTCGAAAGGATGGCACTCCATTGGTAAACAGGCTAGGACTTGCACCCATACATGATGATGATGGGATTGTCACACATATTATAGGTATTCAGATGTTTTCAGAAGCAAAAATTGATCTGAACCGTGTGTCTTATCCAGTTTTCAAAGAGACTTGCAATCAGCCATGTGATCAATCCGCTAAATATTCTCATTTGAGTGGACAGCCACCATTTAATCAGCATCAAGAAATATGTGGGATACTTCAATTATCTGATGAAGTATTGGCTCACAACATTTTATCACGCTTGACCCCTAGGGATGTTGCATCCATTGGGTCTGTCTGTAGAAGAATCCGGCAGTTGACAAAAAATGAGCACCTGAGGAAGATGGTGTGCCAAAATGCATGGGGAAGAGAAGTCACTGGTGCATTGGAGTTGATGACTAAGAAGTTAGGCTGGGGGCGTCTGGCTAGAGAACTGACCACTCTTGAGGCTGTATGCTGGAGGAAACTGACAGTTAGAGGTGCAGTTGAGCCTTCTCGTTGCAATTTCAGTGCATGTGCGGCAGGGAATAGGCTTGTTTTGTTTGGAGGGGAAGGAGTTGATATGCAGCCAATGGATGATACATTTGTTCTTAATCTTGATGCTGCAAATCCAGAGTGGCAGCGGATAAGTGTAAAATCATCTCCACCGGGTCGCTGGGGCCACACTCTCTCCTGCATCAATGGTTCTTGGTTGGTGGTATTTGGAGGGTGTGGAAGGCAGGGGTTGCTCAATGATGTTTTTGTCCTGGACTTGGATGCCAAACAGCCCACGTGGAGGGAAGTTTCTGGTGGAACTCCTCCTCTACCTCGATCTTGGCACAGCTCTTGCACAATAGAAGGTTCTAAATTGGTTGTCTCAGGTGGATGCACAGATGCTGGGGTACTTCTGAGTGACACTTACCTATTGGATCTCACTACAGACAAGCCAATGTGGAGAGAGATTCCGACTTCTTGGGCTCCTCCATCACGATTAGGACATTCACTCTCAGTTTATGGTCGAACAAAAATTCTTATGTTTGGTGGCTTGGCTAAGAGTGGCCACTTGCGACTGAGATCAGGTGAGGCCTACACCATTGACTTAGAGGATGAAAAGCCACAGTGGAGGCAACTAGATTGTAATGCATTCACTGGCGTAGGCAGCCAGAGTCCAGTAGTTCCTCCCCCAAGACTTGATCATGTTGCTCTCACCATGCCTTGCGGGAGGATTATAATCTTTGGTGGTTCAATTGCCGGGCTGCATTCTCCTTCTCAGCTTTTCCTGCTGGATCCTTCTGAGGAGAAACCATCATGGAGGATTCTCAACGTTCCTGGTCAGCCACCTAAATTTGCTTGGGGCCATAGCACATGTGTGGTTGGAGGGACAAGGGTTCTGGTTTTGGGTGGGCACACTGGAGAGGAATGGATACTAAACGAATTGCACGAGTTGTGCTTAGCTAGCAGGCAAGATTGAGAACCATTGCTTGACAATGGGCCCTGCTCACACAATGAGCATATGCAGCTTTAGCTTCTGACGCTGCCAAAAACTTTTCTTTATGGCTTGTGCCACTTGAGGTTCTTTCTCTAATTGATCACTTCTTTTTATGTTGCTCCAGGCTACGTGTGTTCGTTGTGTTGTTGATAGTAGTACCACGCCTATGAAGACCTTAGGTTTCTTTGTTAATTTTAATTTTGCACATGAACATAGAATGTGAATTTGTATGTTTGGTTTGCCGTTGCTCATATTTATATATTGTTAAATATAAAGACTAGAAGATGAGAAATTTGATGTAGGTAATTTGTACATATTTAATGCCTCATTAGCTAATTTTGCTATCCGCTCTTCTCACCGTTCTTCTTCTTTATCCATCATCTTTACTATAAAACTTGCGTTATACCATGCTATGCATGGTTTAATATATAATTTTTTATTAATTTTAAATTTTCTCAATTATAATATTATTAATTTTATCATTGTAATATATTGTGAAATTTTATTTGAATTTGTTGCTTTATTTAACTAATCTTTTTTGAAAATGTAACTAAAGTCAACTAATCTAAACTATATCACAAAAGTTCAAACTTTGAAACTATTGTGTGAATTGCAATTTAAAAATTTTAAAATAAAATAAAATGTATTATAAAACTCTCCTTGTGAAAAACATATTCTAGCTATAGTTATTTAAAAACTATATTTAAAATATTGTTATATATATCATATTATCATCACATTTACTAAGCGATTTATTGTGTAAAATGTTTATTTAAATTAACTTTAAATGACTTGAATTGAAATCAAAACATTCGGTCATTTGTTTAATCAAATTTTTATTATTAATTTTTATTATTAATAATTTCAAATGATGATCCAAATTTTTATCATTTATTAATTTTTATTATTAATAAATATTTTCAATTTGATGAAAAATTAAAAATGCAATCCTAATTCGGTTCTTATTTAATTAATATATTTGTGCTATGTCATAGATAATTAAATAAAATATTATTTTAATAGTAAGTTAAATTTTTATATCTCAATTTTTATAAGTGATTTTGTAAATAATAACTTAGGAATTTTAATGTTTAAATTTACATTTAATAAATATAGTTAAAAATTTTGTGAATTGTAATTATATAATAACATCATTTTTGAAAAAAATATAATTAATAATAATATATAATAATAATAATGTACAAAATACCAAAATATTCCTATTTAATTTATAATTTATTAGAAGTTTCAAACAAAAATTAATGATTTTGAAAATGATTATTTTATGCTAATTTTATTTATTTAATTTATTAAATTAAAAATGATTATTCGTTTTCTTATATATACTTATTGCATTACGTTTTATTGTAAAATATTCTATTTAATTTTATTTATTTATATAGTCAAACAAAAATTTATGATTTTGAAATGATTATTTTATGCTAATTATTTATTTAATCTTTATTAAATTAAATGATTATTGTTTCTTATTATATTATTGATTATTATGTCTTACCATTTATACTTTGCATTTATTTACAAATTAAAGCATTTTAAAATCTTACGTGCTATAACTTGACTTTTCTAATTCTACTTGGCACTTTCTAGATAAAAGATGCCTATATATATTAATCAGTGAATTCATCTGTTCCTATTTATTTCGGACAAAACAAATTTTAGTATCTAAGATCGTATGCTAAATCTTTCTTCTTTTTCCTCTGACCAATTCATCCAATGCCGTTAACCCAAATCTTCCAACATTATTATGCGTCAAGTCAACCATTGTCTCTATTTTTTTATACTCGTGTAATATATATGATTGATCTAATTTTACTATTTGGAACGTTAAATAAAATGAAACAAAATTTGCTTATTCGAAGTCCAGTTTCCAATTTGGTGTCTGTAAATCGTACAACAACAGTAGAGTTTTTACAACACAATGTAATTTCTTTCCATCCTAAGAAACTTGCAGTGGTACATCATGATTGATTGAGATTAATTCGAAGGGACACTGTAATATCCAACTATTATGGAGCAAAATCTTTGAGAAAAATCTACTATCATACCGAATTTTTCGTAGAGAACTCGATCATTATCAAGCACAGAAGAATATGCAATTTGGTTCTCAAATAAGAATCTAGCCTGTAAATGTAAAAAGGGGAAAAAATTTGTGGCATGAAACTTGTGCAAAAATATCTATATCATTTCCATGCCACTGAATCAATCTCATCCCTGGCTGACTTGTATAATTCAAGCCTTTTTGCTATGGTAGCTCTCTTTTCCATGAGTTGTGGATCCTCATCCAACATTGCACCAAGCCGTTCCTTCTGTGCAAAAGCCAATATAGGATTCAAAATCATTTTTAGGGAAAAGTAATCTTCCTCTTTGTCCATCCAAATAAAGAAGTCAAAAGATTTTATCAACGTAAGCTTCGGAAAATATAAAAAATCAACACTTTTACAATTTGCTTGTTCCATAAAGAGTTTTGAGCTTTAGGCAAATTTTTAAGGTAGTCAAATTGTTTACTCTCACTAGAAGAAATGCATTTTTATCTTGTTAGGCATTTTAAATTACTAGAGATTCTTACATCTAAGCCTAACATCTCTGATTTTACATTTTTAATTTAAGAATTAGAAGCTGGAATATTAAAAAAAGTTTAGATTCTCTATTTGGAAGAGTGTGTGCCGTCTGCAAACATCCAAGAACAATGTAATTATGATGATTTTACCTCTCTTCTCCCGACTTGTGTGTAGAAGTGATTGAGAAGAGATCTCTTAGCCTCTCGAACCTGGCAATAAACCACGGCCTTGGGGATAGAATTCTTTAGCGTATCACAAACCATACTGATATAAGAGTTGACATTTGACCCTGAAAGAATTATCCTATATATGTCAGTACTATTTTTGATATCATTACAATGGTAGAAAATTTTGAATGTCATATATACCCAAAATAAAAAAAAAAAAAATTGAATGTCATACATATAGCATTTTGTGAAAGAAAATCAAAGGAGTATGGAATTATACTCGGTGCTATTAATACGTGAACCCAAACAACACATACAACACATGTTTTCTTGTGAGAACAAACACTAATGAATTAAATTAGATGACCATGCAGATAGTTCTATCCAAACAACTAAAGTGATCAAGATATTTAAACATTGCAGATAATAGTTCACCAAATAAAGAATGCGATCACAAAGGCGCACCACATACCAATCTTTCTGAAATGATAATCAGCATAACGGTCAACATTTGGGCCTGATGCATTTGAGTTTGAGTTTGTGTTTGTGTTCTTATCCCCTTCAAGGTGAATCTTCCGGAAAAATTCCACTGTTAGGTAGCTAGATTCCATGTCCACGAGCCTCAGAACTGTTTTCCTGCTGTCATCACGGAATCTTTCCAAAGCCTCATTTGCAGCAGCAGCAATATCAGCTTGAAGTGTTGGAAACCGCTTTAGCTCCTGAAATCACCAGAAAGTAAAATTGGCACAAATTATAGTTATTTCTCTTTTAGGTTTGGCATCCCAAAATTTATCCATCTCCAAAGAAAGAGTGATACCTCTGTTTCAGCGATGGACTTCCGTACAAGTTCCTTTAAAATGAAGTGCACCTAAAGAAGACAACATAACATAAAATAACCATTTGTGAGAAACAGATTTTAGTAAGCACAAATTGAATGCAAGGAGTACATAACTGTAAGAAATCTCTTTTTCCTCAAACAACTTGCTTGTGAACCCATTTCATCCAAAATGAAAACAACAATGATAATAATATTGCAAAATCAAGTTTCAGTTCACACCATCATCTTCCTCGTTCCAAGTGAAAACAAGTACCGAACAAATCTTAAATGAATATTCATGATTAACAAGCATCCGAAATGTGGACCCTTTAAAAGGAGCATTATCCTTCACCAATGTTGTAAGAGCGATTGAATATCACCTGCTTGAACATTCAATAAATGCATCCCAAACAAGCAACATATCTCAAATTGCTTGAATGCATGATATGAAAATTTGCAATTCATTTGAAATGAAATGCCAAAAAATGTAGAAAAATATCGGCTTCCACTGAAGCCACTTAACCCTCAACTCTAAATAGACTCAACTTTGTTAATCAGATGATTTCCTTCCATACCAACTTCAACTTCTTTTGCCTTTTCACTTCTTTCTACAAAAAGGGAATTCTTTTACTTACAAATACCATCAACAAAAAAGCAACCAACAAACAAGGTCCAGTGGAGGAACTATTTCAAGCTTGAAAATTTATTATAGTCAATGAATCTCCAAATGCAAACAGTTATCACTTATATCATTTTATGTCCAACTTAGAAGAATGGATAATACTAAATCAGGACTGGGTAAATTGAATCCAGATTTACTTTAACAATGAGAGGTCGAATATAAGTTATAATCATTACGACAAAGCAAAGAGACATAATGATGCATCATTGACAGAGAAAAGCAGTGTTGTAACGTGCATGCACCTTACATTTGGCATACATGCCCTAGAGAAAGTAGGTATAGAAGAACATCTAGACAATGAAAAGTAATATTGAGCACATATATAACAAGTTTGGAGAAGAAGAAGCAGCACAAACAATGAACAAAGATGAGTAAAGATTGCATTCGCCCCAAATTTCAAAATCATTTAGGTATAGTTCAAGTAAGAAAATTACAGCATCCACAGAGGCTTCTGCTGGGCCTTTGAAGTAGCTGATAGATCCATCAATTAGCCTCCTATATCCTTGTTCTGGAGCAATTAAATGTGGCTGATAACCATCAGCTTCTGAAACAACTTTTTGCACATTCTTCAAAGAGAGATGACGATCAAAGGGCAGCTTTTTCAAAGCAGCTGGTAGTTGATGATCAAAAACCCCATATATTCGATCGCCACCAGGACGCCTGAAATTTTTTATGCATTTATTTTATTTTTTAAGAAAATTATTTTATTTTGTAAAAGCAAAGGCGAATACACCATGAAAGAAAAGGGATCCTCCTCAAAAACTGAACAAACAACTACAAACAAGAATGCTAAAACAAGCTAAACAAGTAACAAACTCCAACGAAGCTGGACAACACTCAAAGAAACCCACCTTCAACCCGCAAAATAGAAATTATCACTTAACTGTGAAATGTTCAGAATAACTGTTTGTGAATAATTCAAACGTGTCCCACCAGTCAAAATTTCCTTTCATAATTTTTTTTTTGCTCATCAGTGGAAGAATTTTTATCAGTTGGAAAAAGTCTATAGCAGCTTTCACACATTTCAGGACTTGCATGAGTTCAAATGGTTGACCAAATTGTCAAATATACCAAAGAACAACCATTCTAACATCCAGATCATAAAGTTACATCTGAGTCCACCTTGATCTAATATGCAAGTTGTTCCAAAAACTTTTTGGATTTTTCCAATATGATATGGACACTAAAATGAGGACATTGATCTGAAAATCTCAAAAACCAGAAAAAAAAAGTGAACATTTACTATATGAATAAGTTTCTCCTTCTTTTTAATCATCTTTTAAATGAAAAAAAAGGACCATTTTAGAATTTTTCTATATAGAAAAATTTCAATTAATCCTGAGGAAGAAAATGTATTCCCAATTACCCTCCATCCAGGTGTTCCTTGAATACACGGTCAAAAGCTCTACACAATTCTAGGATTGTGTAAAGTTGTGCCTGTAAAAGAGGTGGCATGTTTCCAGTTAGTCAAATTAAATAATTTAATTCACAACCATGAAATCTAGTATCTTCAAAATTCTTATCTGATTACCCCTGAGTCTACTGCAATTGGCCTGCCAATACGGTCCAACTCTGCATTAAGCTCATCAATGGTCTTGTTTATCAAAGCAATGATACTTGGTATGCGTTGCCTGATGACTGTCTCTAAATGCTGGTTGGAGGAAAATTTATGAAGAATGAAGATCCCCAGTAAAAATAACATCTAGTCTATAATGCAGGACCACTATTATTGAAAAAAAAAAAAAAAAAAAAAAAACACTAATTATTGAAAAAAAAAAAAAAAAAAAAAAAAAAAGAAATGGTTAGACCTTGGACAAAAGTTTTGCGAGATATTCTGCCCCCATTTTACTTGCCAAATGTCCATACTCAGGACTTGTTTCAAAGTATTCACGCTCCTTCCGACGAGCAGCAATCATGTCAACATTCTTATTGATATCTGCTTGCGAACGATTAACAATTCCAACCCAGGGATGTTGCAGTCTGTATGACCTTCCTTCTAGAACCTTAATCATTCAAAAAGGATACTATTATATTTTTCAGATCATGCTAGTGAACTGCATAGTTCTAGTAATTAATTCATCTAATAAGAGTAAGTGCATACATCAAGAGCATTGGTTCCTTTGTCCATCAGGTCAAGCTTGGTCAATACACCGAATGTCCTTTCACCTAACCACACCAAGTAAAATACAGATTATGTATCTCTATCTGTCAAGCGACCAACCAACCAAATAAGATGCTTATGAAAGGAAACACTTTAGCTTAAATATTCAGAGTCTATTTTTCTTACCTGAAGGATCAACTTCTCTGGCAAGTTTTATAGCATCTGAAGTGGCAATATCTTGATTAGCAGGAGAAATAGCCAATATAATGCAGTTGGGCTGCCAAATGAGAGGAATACATAAGATGGATAGAGTATGTGAAAAGTAAACAGTAACAAAATTATTTATCACATAACAAGTGATTTTCTACGAACCAAAATCACTAACTAAATGACACAAACAACTAAGAGTTAAAACATAAAAGAACATAAAAACATATTTTGAAGAGTTAATTACTCTAGGAGCTTTTTGGAACAGAACCGAGGATATATTTGGTCTTGGGTAATTTTATTTATCAGAAAGAATTGAGTAGTACTTGACAGAGGAAGTAAAAGGCATATATATGATGGAAATATGTTGCTTCACTAAGAGTTAAAACATAAAAGAACATAAACACATATTTTGAAGAGTTAATTATGCTTGAAGCTTTTTGGAACAGAACCAAGGATATATTTGGTTTTGGGCAATTTTATTTATCAGAAAGAATTGAGTAGTAATTGACAGAGGAAGTAAAAGGCGCACATATGATGGAAATATGTTGCTTCATTTCACACTAAATTGAGGACAGTGGATATGCTCTCCAATATCATTGAAAAACTACCATTACAAGTCTATTCATAAGAACCAGCATCTGTTTCTAACCAAGAAAAAAAAAAAAAAAAATTCAACCAAGAAAACCACATAGATTAAAAGTCAATAATTCTAGATTAAATGGTCATAGAATTCTTCAAGTATGGAGAGGATAAAGTATACAACTAAATACTAAATGGACGAACATGCCTCAGTCTTAACAAGACGAGAATGCCAGTCTTAACAAGTGGCCTATTCTTCATAACTACCGAAATCCCCCAGCTGAGTTTATTCTCGTTTTTTCTGTTACTTGTAGAAATTTATGATAGAATCTCTTCATACAGTAACTAATTTGTTTCAGCTTAATTGAGTACTTATTATTCTACAAACACCCCATGTATATTAACAGGTATCTTCTTTCTTGTAAAAGATAAGTATCTGTTGTTGCTAAGCTCATATTCTTACCTTCTCAACATATGTACGGACCATGTTTTCAATATCTTCAACTATGCTCTCTGGTTGTCCCTCTGCGCAAAATCCAAAGTTACATCATTTCACAAGCAAAAAATGTGATTTAGATACACAACAATAAAATTAAAATTAAAAGGAAAACAAAAACAAAAAGTTACATGCAATTTATACTAGAAGATAGGGATTGTCTTAATAGTTACCTACAGCAACCTTTGTCAACCCAGGAAGATCTATGAGGGTCAAGTTGACGACTGATAAACAACCACCATGAAATCACAGAATCAGAATAACTCAGAAGCATAAAAAAGCAATAAACAATTAATTTTATGGTAAGCAAACATATGGAATAGAAGTTAATGGAAAATAAACTGAGAAGATAACAACAAATGGAAGTGCCAAGCAAGTGCTTGCTGTCACTCTACCCAATCCACCTACCACCGAAGGAGAGAAACAGAGCTTTTAGAATGGTGAAAATTTTGAAGTAAATTCTTAACTCCAGAAACTAACAATTGCCATTTTTTCAAACAGAAGTTTGGAACTAGTTCAAGTATATCATATTGGAACTAGTTCAATTATATCATAGCACAAAATCCTCCATGCTTCATTGACATACATATGCCAATATATATAAAACAAACAAGCCTTCAGAGACATGCATAAGGCTAGAGCCCTGAAGAAGGGAAAAACAAAGGGAAGCCATGTCAATCATTAAAGATGTGGAGTCTGTACAACTATACACTCTAATAACAAACCACTGGAAGAAAGAGAAAGCAAACATGCAGAAAAAGGAAAATAGAGAGTAAAATAATAGCTGCCACAGATGTGTACATCGGTTGCCACATGTTCAGTTTGCACTCAACGTGACAAAAATTTGTAGTGATCATGCAATAACTTATATTGACTAGACAAATTACTAGACATGCATTTTTGTCCATTCTATAGGATAATCTTCCAAAGATGTGTAGCAACACAATTGCATACAGGAGCAATGAGGTTCTTATAACAAATGAAAACATAGCAATGTAGTGAAATAATTTGTAGGTTTTTAACCTTCCATTATAACAACTATCTATGCATACGTATGCAGAAAAATCAATAAAACTCAGTTTTGCTTTTTTCTGTGAATGTCATTAAGTGCATGCAGGAAAAGAAATTTGAAACTTAAAAAAAAAGTCCTCTTTAATATATTTGTCATTAATCAACTAAATAACTTCATTTTGCATGCAGTTACAAAGGATGTATGAATACAAACCATTTGGAGAATATATACTGAGATGAATTGGAATATTGGAGATTTGCTTTGACTTCCCAGTAATACGGTCAGTTTCATCTGCAATCTCCTTACGCACAGCAGCTATGTAAAAGGAAAAGAATGGTCATTTCATATTGTAAACTTATTAACTATGATTTTAACATAGAAAACATAACAATCAACCTAATCAATAATTAATCTTTCTTCTGAGATTAACAAACAAGAAAAAAAAAAAGAAGAAGAAGACAAGTCAAGGAAAAATTTCAAACAATTCAAAAATTGCCTTGAAAAAACACCAATTCCATCAAACCGACCAACAAACTGCCAATTGATATAGCAAGGTGACCAACTAGCAGCAAATCCCACTCTTAGTCTTATAGCTCAATTTGTATAACATATTGAATTAGCAATACTGGCATAAAAATGGAAAAATCTTCTGGAATTATTTCCATGTTTCCATTGTAGTGATGGATATCAAAATATTTGGCATGAACTGAGAGTTTGCACTGCCTGATAGCAATAGCATATGGAAGAATTTAGTACTCCAAATCCTCAAGAATTAAATTGCTGATGGAGGATCCATATGAAGATATTCAACATCTAACAACATTTTATCGATATTCTTCACACTAGCCCTCCAATGCAGTCACTGTCGGGGAATTTTGGTCAATGGCTGAACTGAATCACAGACCAAAGATGTCTCTTCAGTCAAAACATTTGGTTTTATGATAAATTTTTAATGAGTTCATAGGTTTTCCGATAAACCTAACATGATCAAGTAATAAGTAGATAAACTTGAACTATTGATTTGAAAATACTCAATGCTAAAGTTGAATATAAAGTATTTGCAGCAAGAACAATGAAAATTTCACATTTTAATAAGTCAAAATAATAGGAATCCATTTTCGTGTGCCTTACAATAAGCATATTTCTTATCAACGTAAGACACTTGGTGCCATGTCATGATCTAAGGAAAAAATCAGTCTTCTTTAAACCTACCAAAATCAGTATACTTCCTCTTTGGCGCATGAAGAAATTCCGCATATTCAGTCTTTCCATCTTCTATCTTATGAAGTTGCAATACCAATGGCCTCCGTGTAACAATTCCTGCCAAAGGAAAACATTAGACTGATAAATTTACCATGCGTGAGTTGCCTCAACTCAATTTGACTGCTTCAAAAATGTTAAACAAGTGAAGAAATAAATAAATTTAGTGTTCTTCAAATGTTATTTAGAACCAATAAAATGAAGAGCATCACTCCATTGAGCTGCATTCATATTAACTTAGTTCAGATAGCTTTTCATTTCCCTGTATCATAAAGGGAAATATCCAAAATTTGATTCTCTTTCCTTCTCGTTTATTCTGATAAAACTAAGCAAATGAAAATCAAAACGAGATTGAAATGCACAATAAAAACATTCACACAAAGAGACCAAGAATTACCAGATCCACGAGGCAAGAAATCTCTACCGACGACGCTTTCCAACACTGAAGATTTCCCAGAACTCTAGATTTTCACGAAATTTTTAAAAAATATATATCTTAACATTGATAAAGAAATAACAGCAAATCCAAATCCAAATTCAATAGTAAAAACGATCTAAAAAACAATAACATTGATATAGAAACCAAATCGCTAGAATTTTTTAAACAAAAAAATAATTAAGTACATACCTGGCCACCAACAACAGCAACGGAAGGGAGAGCTTCCCAAAGAGACATGCCTTCACCGCCATGATCGCCTAATACGGTACAAGCTCTTTGGATTCTGTTAACTAACCCAATCAAGCTCTCCATTGTGGCCATTTTTCAAATGAGATCTAATGCGAAGGAAGAATATGTATAAACACAATTCAAATCAATAAACCTGCACTTTGAGTACAAAAAAGCAAATGTGAAATGAGATTTAGACGATTTGGATCAAGTAATGAACGAGTGCCTGGATCAGAAAAGAAATTGAGATTTGTTCAGATTGGGACGTCGAATCTGAAACGAAGAGAGTAAACGAGAAAAACGGTTTTAGAGAAGTAATGGTATTATTGTGTTTGGTGCAATGCAACACAGCACCAACATGGAAGGAGATGTTTTGATTTGAATATTTGTTAAGTTTTGGAACTAACGTGTGAATCTGACATCAGAGGGTAAAAATTTGTAATGGGCCCAAAACCGAAAAGGAAAAACTTGAGGACAAATAATGGAATTTATTTATTTATATTTTTTGCCTAATTTAGGACAAATAATAGAATTAGATTCTGTCATTGGAAAGTTTTTCCAAACTTCTAATGACGGTCTGAAGCGAGTCACTAGTAGTGACTAATTGACTGTGATTTCTTATTTATCTTTTAGTAGATTGAGAATTTTTAAAGGGAATAGATATTAAGGATTAAATTTATGTAGCCAATGATTATTAATTTAACGACATTCTTTTACATTTTTCTTTTTAATCTTGAAACAGTTACATTTTAAATACAATACGTAATTGCAACATTATTCTAGCCAATTAAACCCCAAATTAAAAAAAAAAAAAATCTTAAACTGACGATTTTCCATAAATGATTCAAATTAGTTATGATGTTGACATTTACATCATATTCACTCTTTAACCTCTAGAAGACTACAATGGATGGATTGCAAAGAAACCTTTTTTAGGTTACTAGCAGGAAATTCTCCTCATTATATAAAAATAGAAAAACCAAGTCAATCATCTGGAGAGATTTATAACCAACAATAAACTATAGATGAATAACACAACCACAAAGATCTGTATTTGATCTGATTACAAAAATATTAACAAACCTGAACCGACAACAATCACACTAGCTGCAGAATACAATATAAACTGCAAAATGGTAGACAACAGAAAACCCATAACCTCTGCTACCTATACAACCACACAACCACTGCCCACTCAAAAGAAAAACCTGACAAAAGGTTAGCCCAAAGTCAATTTCTTCCCTTTTCTTTTTTAGTAGTATTTTTTTTCTGCTGATCTCTAAGCAGAGGAAAAACATTCTATGTCAGAAGCATGCCAATTTCCTTCATCCTCTGATACTGTTCTCTTCCCTGAGTTTTTACTTCTCTTTGCCAATTACAATAGTCACACTGGGTCATTGGCATGCGAGTTACCATCTTATAATCAATCACAGTAGAAGGGGAAAATAAAAGAAAAAAAAAAATATTAAGAAAGAACTAAAGAACAAGGCCTATGCAGATTTATGCCTCACTGATTCTGATTGTAGAATTTATCGTGTCATTGGGTGCTGCGTGTTAATCCACCTCGTGTGACACTTCTGCGCAAATTGGAGGATCTGTTAGCTAAACTGTAATTCACAAAGTAACTTACTGAATAATGATAACAAATATTGATTCTGTGCAATGCATAAGAATTAAAAAAAAAAAGGAGTTAAGAAGGAAAAGCCTCTAATGTTTCATGCTGCTAGAGCCCAAAGCATATCTTTATGAATTTTATAGAGCCATATCTAAGCCTTTACCTGTTAGTGGTAATGAGTCTAATGACATTTTAGGGCTGGTAGCTCAAACTAAGAAAGGTTTTCATATTAGCAAAAAATAAAGCAATCACTAAACATATTTTACATTTGAAAAAAAAAAAGGCAAAAATGCAGAGAAAACGGGCAAAGCTACTCAAGTCCATATCATGTCCAGTAACAACCAGCATGTTGATTAGTGTGTTAGCAGAGTGATGAACCAAATATCACTCGCTCAGAGTATAACTAAATGTAAATAAGTCAGTTAACCAAGAAAAGAGACAAATCAGAAATTTGAAGGTTACAATCGATTAGGGGAACATTTTAGAAATTGCATTCATCATCTATTTAATCACTTTGAAGCCAATGGAACGTCATGGACTTGGGTTTTCTTTGTGTTGAAATCAATTGGGTTCTTTCAGTTTCTCCAAATATAGGAGCAAAGCTATTTCAAAGGTGAAGATAGAGCCTCAGGAGATGGTGCAATAAAGCGGCTTCATGAATATTCGGAGAGAAAAGAGAAATTATGTTAACACTTGAGCAAATTGAGGGATATCATACAAGTTTTAGCATTCTCCAGATATATGTTATGGTTCTTTGCAATTTATTAACATAATGATTGTTAGTAAATTTTAGGATCTTTGATATTTTGTACTAATTCAGCACAGAAGATGCGTCCCTCCTATGGTACTGTAATATGCCTTTGCTGATCGTTTTAAGTTACAATGTGGCTGATATTAGAACACATTCACATGATTTAAGAACAGATGGCATTTACATGATTTAACAACTAGTTCAATACAAACTAGTATCTGAAAAGTTTCTGATTTTAGTACCTTCCAGGTAGAAGCTGAGCTGCACTAACAGGCCCTTTTGAATTACCAAACCGCTTTGCCCTATTTTCATGGTCTTTCTCTACACGCATGGCAGCAACTTCCTTCTCCATGGCCGCTACTTCTCTTCTCATCTTCTTTGCCTCAACTTCCATTGCTTTGGTTAATGTTTCTACCTTCTTTGCCAACATCTGAGAAATCAATTATCAGAACAAAAAGCTCAACCAGACTTGTAATATAATATAATGATAACACAAATAGGACAACAATATTGACCTCAATTGCATCATCCTTATCTTTGAGGCTTTGATCTTTTTCATGACCAGCTTTCCTCAAAGCTACAACCTCTTTTTGCAGCAAATCATACAATATCCCTGGAACGCTATCCTCTGTTTCCGCTGCCGGGAACTCACTGGGCTTCTCATCAGGATTTCCTTTCCAAGTATCAGTTGCCTCAGCATCCTTGGTTCTGTCACAAGGTTGGTTGAATGAACAGTTGGGACTAGCCCCATTTAAGAGCACCCTACTGCCCCTATCCAATGATCTTGTGCCACCATCAAATGATTTTGATGTTCCTTTAGCATGCTTAAGCACTGAATTGGTACTAGAGGACAAGGATCTCAACTGAGACGTTGGTGTTCTCTTAGACAAAAAGCCATTGGAGGTCAATTTTGAGATGTTATCAGCTCCACCAAGGGACTGACGGCGAGAAGGCCCATTGCTTATACTTCTTCCCTCTGCTGCACTGCGATTACTACTTGAAGACCCTCTCAAGCTTTCCTCTAGAACTTTGAGCCGCAGCTGATATTTCTCCTGAAAAATGCAAGATTATAGCTTAATTTCATGACAAGGAGAACTATACCGTAATTTGCAAATGGTCAGGTTACCAAATCAAATAATTACTTTCAACTGTGCTTCAGACTTTGCAGTGCGCTCAGTGATAGCAAGCTTGTCGCGAAGTTGCTGCATTTCTCCCTGTATAAACACTAGCAGTTGAGCATGGAAATGTTTGAAGGGACAAAAGCCAAAACTGGCAATTTTAGTCGACAAAAGGAACTGCTGAAAAAGAGATCAAGTTAAAGCGCAAAATTAACCTGCAAAAACCTCCGTTCTTCGAGCCATTGTTTTACAGGCATGACCTTGTCATTTGCATCTTTCCATTCATTTGCTACCACTGTGGCCACTCTATTTGCTGTTACCTTTGCACGGGCCAGCTCCCGGTCAAGTGTTTTTCTTTCCTCCTGGAAACACAATTAGAAACCACATGGTTTTAGGCTTGCATAAAGTGCAGGTCAAGTGAAAGAAATCCAGCCAGACTGAGTATTTAAATTTTTATTGCGCATTACATTCATCTCCTGAACTTTCCGCTGGTAATCCCTCACAGCATTTGCAGCTGCACCACCAGCAAGAACTGCCTCTTCCAGTTCCCTCACAGTCTGTGTAAGCTTTTCAACCTCCGCAACCTTTTGTCTATGCATTTTGTCTAAAATTTTATTTTCTTCCTGGTACATACATACAATCAGTAAATATATTGTTCATCCTTAGAATACACTCTGAAGATGAAACATCCTAGTTCTAACACATTTGAAAGCAGGCCAGAGTTCTTGGTATCCAAGGTCTTAGAATACCTGACAAATTTCTATCTGTTTCATTAGTTCTTGGTTCTTATTTTGGAGATCATCCACCATAGAGGCCTTAGCCAAAGCAACTTGAACAGTCCTCTCAGCTTCAAGTAAAGCCGCTTCTTTTGACTTGGTCAGCCGATCTAATGCTTTGTTATCATCTTGAAGCTTTGTGATCTGAAAGCAAGCAAAAGAATTTATTAATGAAACAGAACTATCAATCACCTAAAAAGTACATCCTTTGATATAAAATCACTATAATTAGCTGGATACACATAACATACCTCCAGACGAGCAAGCTTGAGCTCAGCCTCCAAGGGTGCAAGAATGGCTTCAATTGGAGGCATATCATCATCCTTCTGAGCAGCATGTACTCTTCGGAGAGTTGCTTCAGCTGCAAACTGAGCTGCCATGGAAGCCTTCTTCTCATCATTGATTTTCTTGATTTCAAGATTCTGCAAACGAGTTCAATTAAATAAATTTACCACCGAGGCAGTAATCAGCAAAACTGATAGAGTTTTGAAAAGGATCCAAACAATACCTTGCTTTCTAGAAGGGATTCTGTTAATTTGAGCTTTTCCTCCACCTTTGAGAGTTCCTCAGTTCGCTACAGCATAATCAGAATAGAAAAGGCAAAATAAGGATCAATTTAAACTACACAATTGTCAAACTGAATGAAACAAAAGAATGAGGTATTAAATTAAATAGTGCATGCTAAAAATTATAAATCCTGCATGATAAAAATACACAAAGCAATAAAACCCTTTGTGAAACTTGTAACCTTTAATCATGATAAGCCCATTATAAACAAGAAGACTGCTATTCAAGTCTATGTCCTAGTAAAGTACATAGAAAAAAAATTACAAAATGAATAAATTAGTAACAAGAAACCAACAACATTACAGCTGATGCAAAATAATGATAAATAAATAAACTAAATAAACACTCTTATTAGTCTTCTGATTCTTGATTTAAGCGCAACAACCACATGAAATTCATAAATTTTTTGCAGAAATAAAAACAATAAATTAGGGTGCAGCAACACTTTCAGACCGTAGACAAATAACACACTGGCATACCAGCTAATCTACAGGGCATAAAAAAATATATATTTGCTAATAAAAAAATGAAGGAAGAAGAATAAACCACCAGATAGTATTCTGGGAAATAATTATCCTGTTAGTTGCGATGGCTCGTCAATAACATTGTAAGATTACCAAGCAATGATGATGAAGAAATCACCAAAATGATTCGGATAAAGTTGACACGGGCAGTGTATTTGTAGAGAAATGACATCCCAACAATGACAAAAGTAATCCCTATTAGTTTTCACCAACTTAGAGAAAAAGTTAATTTTCCATGGGTGTTTAAATAATATTACATGGTAGAGAGGCATTAGGATCTACATTACCGACTAACCCAAAGGAAATCATATACAATATCCTATAAGTCAAAAATGCCAACCTCCACGCTTACATTTAACCAAGAAATATTAATAATAATTAATCGTATGTCCATATCTAAAAGATTATGAATAAGTGCACTTCCAATGGGAAAAAAGAAGAATAGACGGCTGCTGTTGAAATTGAAAATCCACAAACCATAAAAAAAATAAAAACAAATAAATTAAAAAAAAAAAAAAAAGGTAAGAGAAAAAAAGATAGATGACCTCTTCGACGGCCTTCTCCTTCAGTCTCTCGGACAATCTCAGCGCTTTGATCTCAGCTTGTGCTTCTCCTAACTCTCTATCCTTATCTGCAGCAGAAAAGAAAAAGGAAAGAAAAAAAAATTAAACTCAAAATATCCCCTTAAACAAAAAATATCCGGCTCAAAACCGGACAGAGACAACCGGAAAACCAGTAGATCGAACCACATTCAGACCTCTAACTTCATTCTCAAGCCGATTAAGCTCAAGCTTTACCGGATCCGACCCGTGCATCAAAGTAATGAACTCATTGTCAGCATCGAAACTAGGCCTCACCGACGTCCTCCTACGAGAAGAACTCTTCGGCCCTTCCTTAAACGATCCAGAAACAGTAAGCTGCTGAGTAGGAGTTGCCGTAGCAGTCACAGCACCACCATTCACCTCAGCTACAACCGTTCCGTCGCCGGAAACCTCCGCCATGTCCGATCTGATCCTCCCTCTCTCCGTCTATGCCTCACATCCAAATGCACCAAGATCTAAATGCCAGCACCTTCAAATCACACGCTACAACGCTTCTTTTTCTCTTGATTTTTGCTTTCTCTCTCAAGAGAGAGTATAGATTGAAAGGCGACAAATATATAAACCAAATCTGGTAATTGAAACAGTGATTGTAAGCAGCTACTTAACCACAGAGAGTGAAATGTATAGACTACAGATAGAGAGATAGAGAGATAGAGAGAGAGTAGACTTTGAAGCTAAAATGTTAGAGAGAGGGAGAGAGAGAGTGTTTTTGCTCTGTTTTTTTCTCTCTCTATCTAAAGATTGTGATTTAAATCTGGCCCTTTCTCTTACAGCGATGATGGAGAGAGAAAGAGAGGGATTTGATTTTGGATTATTTAAAGAGAGAGAGGAAAAAAAAATTAAAATACAGTAAGAGACGCTCTGCTGTTAAGCACAGTGGCACTACTTAACTATCTAGTGTATTATAATGAGGATAATTATTTTGATTAGTATTTGTTAATTTAATTAATGATTTTTTCTTGGATTGATTGGTTGGAGTTTAGGATAAGCAGGATGCGTATTGCGCACATCAACTGATTTGCCAGAAAAGGGAATTTGGAGGTGCGTAATGCGCACGATGGTACCTTTTAGCGGCAACTGAGGTGCATTTGTTATTTTGGTAGCTTTCGTGTTCGAAGGGGTATACAGTAGCTTCTTGTAGTTGTAGAAATGGAAAAATATTATTTTTCATTTATTTGTGGTTATTTTGGTAAGTACAAGTAGTGAAAAGTTTAAGAATTAACTTTTATGTAATGCAAATAATTTATTGTAGTAGGGAAAGAAGCAAAAGCCATTGTTCCAATTTTAAGTCGGGGAGTAATAACTGATCAATGTTAATTAATTATTAATCCTCCGAATATAAAAGCAATTAAATTTATTTCACAAAAGGCCTAAGCCTAATGATAAAAAAATAAATAAATAAATCTTGAGTTTTAGACATTTAAAAAAAAATCCAATTAAGATGACAGCTGGTCAAATATGCACTTAAAATTCACTATTTAAATCTAAATTTGATTATAAATTAGGTACCTCAACATATTTTGAACTCATTTAGAAATTTATTTTTATTATTTGAATTCTTTTCATTATCCTTTAAATGCCCGAATCATTTAACATTAAAAAGATTCTTTTATGTTTTTATTTTTAAAAATAAAAAAGTAAATTTTATAACATTATATTTTAACTTAATAAAAAAATAATATCAATATTAAATAGAATCATAGTATTAATTATAATTAAAAAGGTGTATATATTTTTTTTCTTTTTAGAAAAATAATTATTTCAAATATCTTTAAAATATTAATTAAACGGATAACAAAGACCTTTCTCATTGAATTTGAACTTGTCTTGATTGCATTTATTCACTATCCGAACCCATTAAAATTGGGTCACATTATGTACCCGTCAGATTGGGTGAAACCGTCATCTCTAATCACAAAATAAAACAAGTCATAATTTTTTACGATATTTTTGCTGAACTCTTGACAATTTGTCTAGAGAATAAAGAAAAGAAAATAATGGAGAAAAATAATGGTTGTCAATTTTCGTTATTAGTTACTTTTCATCAATTTGAATATAATGACCAAAAAAAATAAAATTATTTTTCTGTGTTAGAAGGGACAAAATTTTATAAGGAAGAAGGTGTGTTGAGAACCCCACATCGATTAAACATCAAATCCACAAAAGGTATATGATAATAGCAAACTAGTTAATTGATTAGTATTAAAGCTTTTTAGTATTGATACGCTGAAACTCAAGTATTAATGGCCGATCTAATTTTGCTTGCATTTTGATTTTTTATTCAATCATGATCTAATCGTCGATCCATCGATCTTAGAATTTAAATATCCAAATTAAACAAATATTGAAAGAGCGTATAATGCGACTAAATTTCATATAATTTTAGAAATAAAATATATCATCCTAAAATTTAAAGTAATATAAACTTCTGCAAAAAGTATATAGAAAAAATTTATATTTAGCCATGTGAGATTCAAAGCATGAAAAAAATACATATGAATGTGTTTTAAATATTACGCATATGTAGAAACAAATAATATTAGGCAATTCCAGAATCAGAAATCTGACTTTCATGCTCATTTTCCTTTCCCACAAATGAATAGACAATCAATACCAAATCACAAAATCAATCAATTCACACACTTCAGTTTATGCATTAGGCGTTCTTACATATGGCCAAACACATACAACCCATTTTCTCAAACGATTTGGATGATATGGTGAAAGAATATTTTGCCTTAAACCTAGTTAGAGAGTACAAATTTGGTCGATCTTACAACAATAATTTCTTGTTCTTTTCCATTGAAAGCACTTGTAGAATTGTACGAAGAGAAGAAAAGGGGGGGAAAAAAAAAAGAGTAAAGATCACGAGAAGTCAATAATTGGGGCCAATTTCATAATCTAAAGAAAGCAAAATACATCTAACAATGCTGTCTTTTTTTTTTTTTTTTTTTTTTTTTTTTTCATAATCTAAAGCAAAGGCAAAAGTGACATCTAATCAATGCCTGTCTTTTTTTTTTTTTTTTTTTTTTTTGAGACTTTGTCATTAGAAAATCAAATAATTCATTGTTACTATTATCAAATTTATTTTGCGGCATAATCACAAGCGAAAGACAAATGCAATTCATGCTTGGCACTTTTTTTTTTTTTTTTTTTTTTTTGAGGATTGCAAGAAAAACAAAACATGTTACATCACATTTATTTTGCGGGCATATCACAAGCAAAGCAATGCATTCATGCCTTGTAGCACTTCTTGTGGTTTTAAATGGTAGTACTATTTTTTCCTTTCCAAGTTCTAAATTTTTTAAGAAATCCAAGTTGTAATAATTTTTTAAAGTAAGAGATAAGTCCTTAACTTTTTATTATTATTATTATTATTTTAGATTTAAATCATCAGACATTCAAATTTTACTTATTTGATTAATTTAAATTCATGTGAATAAATCCATGAATGAAGATAAAACGCTCGATCTTTAAACTATTTTCCTTACAGAGGCTATAATCCTAGCCTAATGACATGTGAATTTCCCTTCTTTTTTTTTTTTTTTTCCCCAGCTAATTTCACCCGCAAATAACTAGAGAATCTTGTCCTTTGAAGGTGCTTCATGGATTGACAACAGATGTAGCAAAACTCACCATCATACACCATTTTATTTGAATTCAATTCAACCATCTGCATCTCCTTGAAGGCTATGGTCTAAGGACATCCACAGTTATGTCAGTAATATAGTGATCATTATTTTGTTTTTACAATATATTCCAAGAATTCAGAATTCAAAAACTCTTAACCCTTAGCTTGGTAGCCACAATCAAATATAACACAATATAATTAAATGCGTTTCTAAAATATTTACACTAAGAATATATTTAATTTTGTTCTTTCATTTCTCTCAAATTATAGGCCTACAATTGATTTCTTAATTCTCTAATATATCTTTATTTAATATATATGTTTTGTTATTTCTTCAAATGAGGTTTAAAATTTGATCTTTATGAATATTGAGATGAAAGGTTTTCCACTATTTTATCTTTATTGAGTTTAATGGTTCGCTTCTCATGAATACAACGGATACCCCTTAACGGATCGATCCGATGAGAGCATGATATAGTGGTAGCGCAACTGGACTATAAGAAAGTTTTAGCTTCGTGTGGATTGAATGTTAGTAAGCATACATGAATCAATCATTGAAATAGTTGGACCAAAAATATTAATTGCTAAAAGCCAACACAAACTGACAGAGAATAGAAGAATTAAATTGTTCCAATTTTCTAATTTCATTTTCCAGAAAACTCATCTAAATTTATGCAAAGCCTTCAAATATACTTCTTTCTTTTGTTTTCTTCCTCTTTTTAATATTGATTACTTCTAACTAATTAAACATACGAACATAAAAATATTAATGCAGTTTAGCCAAGCAATTAACATTAAATTTGCAGATGAATGAATCTCAGTCCCTCAAACTAAGTGCATCTTTCAATTTCAATCTCTATAGAAAGTGAGAGTATATACTAAAGAAATAGAAAAGAGAAAGCAAAAGCTGCAGCACTTGGCCTTTTGATAACGTTGCTATCCCTTTAAGAATCAACATCAACTCATCAAGGGAGGCATAAATATCATATTTTATACATATATTAGATCTAAATTGAATTGGTATTTCTTTTTAATTTACAATAAAAAAATATTCTAACTTACATGTATAGAGATTATATATATATATTTATTTATAAAACATAAAACATTTATACATCTAATAAGAAATGTTTATCTACTAACTTAGTATCGTGAATTTATCTACATTTTACAATTTGGATTTATCTTATTTTGGTTTAACTGTTCTTGATTATAAAAAGCTCTATTGAGTGAGCTATTAAACATGTCTTTTTTCTTTCTTTTTTTTAGAAAATCAATGAACTAGGTTGCTCATATAATCTATCGGAGAGCACGCCCTCTTACAATACTTTATAAATATTTAATTCTAATAATATGAGCTGTTTAAATCTACTTTCATTTTCAAAAAGAAAAAAATAATACAGTGAATTTGAAAATTTTATTTAATTTTTACGCGAAAATTATTGATATTTATATAGGTATTGATATTTAATAAGAACAGATTGAAAGTGAGAGTGGTAGGGATTTTTGTTCCCTCAATAACTTCAACTCTTACCTCTTATTTTTTGCTTTTTCTTCTTTAAAATCCAGAGAACAAACAAAGCCTTCCATAATACACAAACAAACAGGTACAGACACTTCGTTGCTTGGCATTCTAAGGACAACGTGAATGCGATACTCCACCTACTGCCTGTACGGACTCTTTTTTGGTTATTTTCAACCTTCTTTTATTTTTCTCTCATCCATCCACGATTTTGATTTCCTGGAAGGTGTCTTCAATATCTTCAATAATACAACATAAGGTAGTGTAATGTATACTTGTATATTAATAAAAAAAATGCTTCGTTTCATCATTAAACATGCTCTCTCTTAGATATTTTTTTTATTAAAATGTTTTTATAAATAGTAAATTCCTTAAAAAATAAATAATACATAAATTTATGAACTATTAACTCAATAGCAAAAGCTTTTTAAATAAAACAAATGGAAAAAAAAAAAAAAAAACAAATGTTTTTATAAATAGTAAAATTCCTTAATAAAATTTAAATAATATCTATTAATTTATGAACTATCTAACTCAAATAGCAGGGATAAGCTATTTAAATAAAACAAATGGAAAAAAAAGAAAAAAAACACTACTTCTTTCCCTACGAAACAATACAATACTTTCTAGGCTAATCAATTAGAGGTTTTCTTCTAAAATTACATCGATATAGAAATTTTTTTTTTATTGACATCTGTCCGTCATGATTTTTTTTTTCTTGGGTGCATATTTTAATTAAATTGATCTTCAGTATATACAATATTTATACACACTTTGAACTGAAAAGGGTGAGAGGTTTTTCAATTATTATGTCTTCTTTTTAAGAAACACTGTACAAAGTTATACTGCAAAAATTCTCAGAAACATATTAAAAAAAAAAAAAAAAAAAAAAAAACACTACTTCTTTCTACGAAACAATACAAATTCTAAATCAATTAGAGGTTTTTCTAAATTCATGATTATGATTTTTTTTTTTTATTACATCTTCGTATGATTTTTTTTTTTGTGCATATTTATTAAATTGATTTCGTATATAAAATTTATACACTTAATGAAAGTGAGAGTTTCAATTATTATCTTTTTAAGAAAAACATTAACAAAGTTATACTGCAAAAAATTCAGAAACATATTAAACATTAAAATACTAAATTATATTTGTCAAAAATTAAAAAAAAAAAAAAATGAAATCGAAGATAGCTTGGTCTAATTGTTAAATCACAGTAAATTTCATTTTGGTGATGGTAAGATTAAATTTTACTATCTCTATTTTAAAGAAAAATTTTAACATAATCGTTATCCGGTGCATAAAAAAAATTAGTTTCTTGAGTAATCATTAAAAGATAAGACTACACTCTCGGTTGTAGAAAAGAAAAAAAATGACGACATATCCCATAAGGTCTTTTCGCTGAAGTGAGAGTTTTAGACTTTTATTGTGGGGCCTTAATTTGGACTTGAGTAATGCAAAATTGTGGCTTCTTGTCATGGTCATGGGCCCTTAGGTCCATATTGACAAGGAAAATCAACTTTAATAATATTAATTAACTAAAGTTTCTTTTTAAGACTTGTACTTTTTTTATTTTTTATAATTTATAATACTTATATTAATGTTTGAGGATGGAAGTCATCTAACTGTGGGATTACTTACAAACTAATTACAAATACTAAGATCATAGCCTTGATAAAATATATATTTTAATATGTAACTTGTGTTTAATTAAAATATATATTTTAATATGTAACTTCAAAAAAAAGTTTTCCTCGTTGTTTTTCAATTCCCTATAAAAAAATATAAAAGGATTATCCTACCTTAATCATTAAATAGAGCCAATGAGAACACCTATTGATTTTGTAGGTTGTTACAATAATTATAACTTCTATGGACTCCCGTAAGCATGGACTTTTGAATTGAAAACGACATGTTTATAGGGGTGTCCAGACCAGCATTTCAATTCTAAATTGAACCGAACTATAAAAATCAAAAAACTAAATGTAAAATTTTACTAAAATCAAAGTAAATTTGGAAATCAAATTGATAGATTTGATTCAATTGATATTGATTTGATCATCAGTTCAGTTTTGCTTATAAAATTATTATTTTACTATATTCAATTCAAAGCTGAAACCCAAATTATATAAAATTGAAAGTTAAATAACCGAAAAAAAATTTCAATGATTTTTCTTTTTTCTTTTTTTTTTTTTTTTTTCAAAATATGCTCACTCCATGTATAAGTTACATCCACTCAAAACCTTTATGAGGACATAAGGGTTTATGCTTGAAGCAACATAAGTTTTCAATTTGACCAATATGCTATAGGTCTTCATTTTCTCTTCTTTCTATTAACTCTGATTAATTACTATTTCATGGTCATGATTTTTATTATTTTGAAAATCAAGTTAATTAGATCTGTCAAGGTTAGAAGAACAATCAGACATATCGATAGATAATATTTCATAATTAATTGGGCAACCTGCAGACTATATAGGAAAGCCCTTCTCAATCCATCCTTTTTATGTTAGTGTTCAAGCTCGAGTGACGTGGCTTAAGATTGTAATCCAAAATCCCAAACATAGCTGGCCTTTCAATTCAACAAATATTAACCTTTGAGTTAATCCTCCCAAAACGACACCGGTTATTCTCAAGAAAAAAAACAAAGAATCCTTTGTAGATATTCAAATTATGACGTGATTATAATAATATAATGAGCTAAGAAATATTTAATATTGGTAGAACTGTATTACTATAATTCATTAACTCATCATATCAATATAATCTTATGGTAAATGAATTACAGCTTAACAATAGATTTAGGTTCGAATCCCCTTTTTAATAGTAAAAAAAATCTCATTAATTCATTGTTCAAAATTGATAACTTAAAAAAAGCACAAAGTGAGAAGATTAAATAGTAATTAATCCTTTTACAATATAGTAATGTCACCTAAAAATCCCAATGAATTCACACAAAACTAATGTAGAATATAATTAAAAATGAATATTAATTAGTTAGAAAAATTTAAAGTTGGAATTTATTACTAAAAAATGATTGAGAAAAAAAACAAAAGGAAAGGTAAAGGAAAGGGGTTATATTATTATCTCTAATTTATATTAGACTCATGTAATTTTCAGGGTCGTTTATTACCGTCATTTTCCTCTGTGGCTTATGCAATGCCGTTTACTATTGTAGTTTACAAGAGACGCTGTGATTTGTAGTACTCTTATACAAAACGTCAAAACCATTGCTTCCTAAAGATTCACCGTCCTATATAAACGACAGGTCATCTAAATTACGCATATGCTTACTTTCACCAAAATTTCGAGCAGACGAAGCAAACAAAAGCGCGCGAAAAAGTAACGAACTAAGTCTTTTTTTTTTCTTTTCTCTTCGACTCGATACAGAGAAGAGGCCATGGCGATCGAATGCCTCATCCTTGGTATCTATCTTCCTCTTCTCCTCTTTGACTTTCATTCACTAAAGTTTTAATTGCATTTGTTATTTTATTTGTATGTATTGTATTTTAGGTGCTGGGCAGGAGGTAGGGAAAAGCTGCGTGGTAGTGTCAATCAACGGCAAAAGGATAATGTTCGATTGTGGGATGCACATGGGCTATGATGATCACCGTCGTTATCCCGATTTTTCTCTTATCTCTAAGTCCAGAGATTTTGATGGCGCGCTTGATTGTGTTATAATTACACACTTGTAAGCATATTCCATCCATTTATTGTTCTTCGTTGTTGTTGGCTCTCTCTCTCTCTCTCTCTCTCTCTCTCTCTCTCTCTCTCTTTTAACTGTGCAGCCGCAAATGCCGCAGTCATTTGGACCATATCGGTGCTCTTCCTTACTTCACCGAAGTTTGTGGTTATCATGGACCAATTTACATGACGGTAACGGCTACAACATGTTTGATGAAATGCTTGATTCATAATTTATGTTCGCTATGTCAAATAATGCTTGTTTATCTTGGTTCTCTAGATTGGATGTATCTGTAATTGTAGTTTGGGGGATTCTAAGTCTTATTCATTGGCCCGACTTTTGTGTTTTGGGTATTTGACTGGAGCTTTTTAGCTTTTTCCTCCTTAATGATAGATAATTTGCATTGCTAACAACTGTTATTGAATTAATGGCCAGGAGTGAAATATAATCTAAAACTGGTTTTGCTGTTACCCCTTTTTTGAGTTTTTTGATAATTGTTTCTGCAGTTTGTTATATTCTTGTTTAAACTTTTGATCATGCTCATTTATTATTTGTTGAAGATAGAATGCAACATTGCTTGCCCACTTATCAAATTTGCTGGATTGAAAGTATTCTGGTGCTCAGAAAAATTAAATATTTGATGTTCTTGAACGATAAATGCACTTTTTCTGTTAACTTATGATTAGATATGCTCATTTTTCTCGCATTTTATCTATTTCTTTCTTTTACCAAGTTATTTTGACTCATATGATAGCCTCACTGGAACTTGTACTTATTTTCTTGGTGGAATTATTCTACTACAGTATCCAACAAAGGCATTGGCTCCTTTGATGTTGGAGGATTATCGAAAAGTAATGGTTGATAGAAGGGGGGAGGAAGAGCAATTTACTTCTGATCATATTTCAGCATGCATGAAGAAAGGTACCTGAATTTCCATTTATTCCTGTGGAATGCATTTTATTTTCAGTTAATTGTTCAGGTTTAGTTTAGTACATGATAATTAAAGAATTGGCAAAATATCAATGAGTGGGAAATAAATCTGGTCATGCCAGATGTAACATGTGAACTTTGCTAAAGCCATCTGATTATTTAAATCGGCTATAATAATCCAAGTTAATGTTTTATTTTTTATCATTCACTAAATTGAGGTGCATATTTAAATATTGACTTCTTGATACATGTCATAATGCTTATTGCCAAAAAGTGATCTATATTTTGGTGAACAATGTAGTACTAGCTATTCTGGCAAATTAACCCCTCAAACAATGCAATTAGTTGGTCATTTTGAAATCTCTCCTCTATTTCATTGACACATTTCGCAGGAAGTTATGTTGCAGCTGAAAGATCCCTTCATTACAGCATTTTGCAATGTCCTTTAATACTTCGTTGGAAGTTTTAATGGAATTATTCTTTACAATTTGTTTTAGATTTTGTAATGGTGCTTATTAAATGTGCAGATATGTCAACTTCTCTTATCTCCATGGGGTGAGTGCATTTTTTGGAAAAAAAGGCTAATTACAGTTGAACAGACTACCAAATCTTCTTAAGTTTCTATTATAGGGGCATTAGAGCATTCTGTCCTTTGGGACTTATCAAGTCAGGCAATTATTGAGGACCTATTTGTACCACCTAATATTGCGGAGATGGTTGCTTTGAAATTTTTGATCATCTAATTCTTTATAAGCAAATGTCTGATACTTTCTTTCAACAGAATTGAGAGTACAAACTGAGAACCTTCTATGTTTATAGTCTTAATTTTAGTGAAGGGGTGTAAAATTATTTGAAGTTTTCAGCAATCAGAATGCTGCATTTGATGTGAAAATCACGCGATATAATGATGTTTGTGTTAATGTTACACTTTGTTGGTAAACCTTCTATGTTTTAAGATTTGCTGCTTTCATTTGATCTTGGAATGCAGTCATAGCTGTGGACCTGAAGCAGAGTGTGCAGGTTGATAAAGATCTTCAGATCCGTGCCTACTATGCAGGTCATGTAAGATATCATTAACTTAATTTCTAGTAGGGCAATGTCCGTACATAGTTGGCAGACCCTTTTTGCATAGTTACAAAATAAATACTCTTTTGCAGGGGGTTTCTACCCTTAGGAATTTGCTGGTTGTCTTCTACTCTGGGTTTTTTTTGTCTTTCAGAAGATACAAATATTACTAATTGGCTGACCCTAGCATTAAGATCACACGTATTTCTTAGCTAAACTACTGCAAAACATCTGAGATTCTGTGTAGAAGTAACTTTTTATTGGACTTGTTGCATGTCATGTGTTCCTGGTTTTCTTCTCGATACTAGCTAAGGAGAGAATCTAATTATGAAGTTTTTCACATTCTCTCACAAAAATGAGTTTGGGGAAACTAAAATTTGCTGAGCTAATTTAGTGCCTGTTGCATTGACAGGCTAAAGTGTATCTTCCTTCAGCCTCAATCCCCGACAAAACATGACATTTTTGCAGTTGAAATTGTCCAGATTACTTAATGTTTATTCAGTACATTGAGGCTGGTAGTCTATATCTTTTCATCAGAGTAAAAACAAAGAAATATTTGGTGAAAATTTCTAGGAGATCCACAATATATCTATAAAATTAAATAAAGAATCTCAATAAAGAACTTCACTTCTTATATAGAATGATATTCTCATGGAACAGTAAGGTTGACATTTCAAGATTTGCTCCTTGTCAGGGTTAATGCTTCGTATGTTGTGGAAGAACTTCTCGATTAGTTGGTTGTGAAAATTCTAAGTCCAAAAGTGCAAAATAAAACAAAGAAAAATTAAGTCTAATGTAATTAAAAAAAATACTATAAATGAATTCTAATTAGAAAGCAAGAATTATTGCCATAGGATAATGGCTAGGAGGATTTGAAAGTACATTCCATTTAGGATTAGGAACAGGCATGATTGGATCCGTCTTTTACATATATATTTATCTCCTTATCTGTTACATGTATAGATTTCTGCATATACATGCAAATCAGTCGATAATATCATAATCCAATGAATCAGTCTGGGCCGGTTTACTAATGGGATGTCTGATTTTGACAATGATCCAATCAAAAGAATAATTGGAACTATTATATCAAGTTTCTTCATAGTACTTGAAAAAAACAAAACAAAGGATTGATAGTCAATTAAGAGATGTTGTCACCCGTTTTCTCGGGATATTCTTGTTGGGTGTGTGTTTGATGCAAACATAGGTTTTACGTGTGCTGCATTATTTGTAGCAGAACATTTTAATTAGTTCAAAAATTATTGGCACTCTTGGCACAAAGCCTATGTTGTTTATGGTCTTTTTTGTGTTTACTTTTGTTCCTTTTTCTTCTTTTGTTATATATCCAAGGTTCTTGGAGCGGCAATGTTTTATGCAAAGGTGGGAGACTCTGCTATGGTGTACACAGGAGACTATAATATGACCCCAGATAGACATCTTGGAGCAGCTCAAATTGACCGTCTGGAACTGGACCTTCTCATAACAGAGTATGTGGAAAATGTGTACAGCATAAATATTTTTATGAACCTGTTTGTTTAGAGTTTGCTACTGGTATTTTTTTTTTTTTTTATCACTCATTTCCACATTTGGATGTTGAACTAAGGTGAAGTAAGGGAATAACTTTAGTTTGATTTAGAAGGGTCAAGACTTTATTCTATTTGGATTTGGTTATTTATCTTTTAATAGTATTAGACATTATTTAGAAGAAGTCCTAATTCCATATGGATTTGATTTCAAGACAGTATTCTAGTAGAATTTTAGGCTATAAATATGCTGTAATATGCAGTTCTAGATGCAGTTCTTAGAAATAAAAACATATTGATAGTCTATTTTCCTACTGGAAAATTCAGTATTTTGGTTGATCTTTAAATCTTCTTTTAATCTCTCTTATCATACTTGGGATTTCATTCAGTAAATATGGATGTTTAGACTGCACTCTCCTGGGGCCATTTTTTGTGCAATGATGGAAATATTAGCCTGCCAATTGCAAGTCCACAAGCTAATGGGTTAGGAAGAACACTTTATACAAAATCTGATGGCTACTATTGTTTTTGGACTAACCCTTCCAAGATTATGCTTTGGCTTGCTGGACCTGTGCATAATTCATGAAATAGTGAAAGATTCATGTTGTGACAGCTTTTGTACAAAAAGCCCTTAGGACTACAAAAAATTGATGAAGAGTTTTCGCAATATTAAGCGAAACATTATCAAACATGGGGACAGTTTTCTTTTTGGTCTTGATCTTCATGAAGTTTGCCAACTCATTCATATTTGAAAAGTAATTGTCTCTATTTCATTTTGTCTGAGCAAGCCAACTTAACTATATATATGTCTTAAATCAATAGATTTGACTCTCTTCAGTTACTTATTACAAGTTTTTTTGGGGTGAATTTGTTTCCTAATACTTTTATTTTGGAATCTTAATATTTCCAATATTTTGTGAATTGTAAATTTATGCAATCAAACATCATAATCTTTTACCTTTATCTGTTTCTTTCTTGAGCTTCTGCAGCTTTATGTTATATTACGTAAAACCTATCCTGCCTCTATAGATTTTTATAGCCCTTATAGAACTTGGTTTCTTTCAAGGGTTTTTTAATGTCTCATCCTTATAAATTTTCTCACAGGTCCACATATGCAACGACTATACGTGATTCAAAATATGCTCGGAAGAGGGAATTTCTTAAAGTTGTATGTAAATGAACCTGCCAATTCTCCATCATGCACAAGTTTCTCGATCTTTTATGTTATTTCCTAAATCATTACACTTTTTATCTCTCCCTTAATTGTGGCTTTTGTTTATTTACTTACAGAGGCAAATACCATCATGTATTAATAACTATGGCATATGTTTTTCTTTCATTTAATTCTTTGAATACCATCAACAGGAAAGGGATTTCTCGGGAATGGGTGTATTCATGAATTAAACTACTTTCCTCAGTTTGGTTGGTACTACATGCTTCATCAATTGGATTGTATAGTCCCTTCAATACAACTAGATTTGATACAAGACAAAACAAATCCACTGAATGATGATTTTATGTTGAAATACATATGTTTATCACTCCAGAGCTGGGGGTGATCTATTTTAGTGTGTCATTTCATTATTAACTGAAATTAACCATTTCTTCTAACACCTATAAGGATGTGATTAGAACTATATATCTATAAAACATATGTAGATATAGATATGCTTTATAGTTGAGGTTACATAGTTTTGCATTGCGGACTATATGATATTTTGGAAATCCATTTAATGTAGGTTCATAAATGTGTTGCTGGTGGTGGAAAGGTGCTTATCCCTACCTTTGCGCTTGGAAGAGCTCAGGTATTTTATCAAGATAGCAAGTTTTTTTTCTTCTTCTTCTCCAATTTTGGCTACAATTTTCACACACTTAGAAGTGCAATTGTCTGTCATCTTAAACCTCTTAGAGGTCACTGCTGAAGGCACATTGGTAATTGGTTGTGTAACTGCAAACCTAGCCAAAACAACTGAATCCAAGAGATATCTCATATCTCCTTGGAGAATTTTGCAATTTGCAGTTATTTGGGGAGCATTCTGATTGTGGCTGAGAATTATACAAACATCATTATCTATGTATGATTGCAGTATTTAAGGGAAAACCTAACTATTTTAAGGTGTAAAACTCTGATGGAGGCAAGTGTCATTTTAGAAAAATAGTGTGTGTTTTTTTTCAATAAGCACCTGAGTTTTGGTTATTTACTCATTCTCCAAACTTGAGTATTTGAATTTCAAAATGTCCTCCACTGGATAAGGGAGGTAATATCCTTCTCCTTTCTGCTTCAACCCTTATGTTGGACAGCAAGAACATAAATTGTGCTACATTTTAATTGTTATAAGCACATGCATACATTATTTTTGTCCTCTTTCATGCATTTTTCTTTGTTGCATTGTTACATATAAATATTTGTTTAACTTGTGTATTCATCATGATGAGCTCTTCACTGATACGGAACATTGCACGCTCATGTGCCTGGATTGCATCTTACTCTATCTTGATTTGACTCTCTTATCAATTTTCATTCAGGAACTTTGTATATTGTTGGATGATTACTGGGAGCGCTTGAATCTAAAGGTTCCTATATACTTCTCTGCAGGTATAATCCGTCTTGGTTAAATATTTTGCATCTAATTTTCAAATGCCTCTCTTATCATTCATTCCATGGTTATTTATTTCTATTTTACAATATTCCTTGTCGTCAACACAGAATTTGTTTCCCCTTGCTTAATAAAGTTAGAATTGTGGGGTTGATATTGAAAATCGTCATTAAATTAGTAGACTTTAGTACATTACTGTATCCTTAAAATTTTGACCTCTTGAAAGAGGATAAACACTTTGAGGTGGAGCTAGTGTGTGTGTGTGTGTGTGTGTGTACAAATGGATCTCATTTTACAGATCGTTAAGATCTGGATGTTTGAGTGCATACATCATCTTATGTTGGGTTTTGTGATCCAAGAGGTTTATTTTTGAGTCTTAGAGAGCAGTATACAGTTCCTGCAGAGACTACCATGCTTGCATGACTGCATTTTTGGCTTTGAGATGAAAGAGTTACAGCACAGCCTTTGTAATGATTTAGAAATATTTTCGTAATTATATTTGTGTTCTTTTCTTGTGTCTGCCCAAGTGAATCCTTTTCCAAGCAAGTTCCTTGAATGTCAAATCTCTCCTTATCTCAATAAACATCTTACATGTGTTGAAAAATTTATTGAGGACTGCTATTGATTATTCAATAGCTTGTCGAAAGTGTTGTTCTGTATTCACATGTGTACATTTCTAGTTATTCTCATCCCATTTTCCTTTGTTGATAGGGATATGGTATCTCATGCTTGTAACTTGGATGTTCTTTTCCAGGTTTGACAATTCAAGCCAATATGTACTACAAAATGCTTATTGGCTGGACCAGTCAGAAGGTCAAAGAGACGTACAGTACACACAATCCGTTTGATTTTAAAAATGGTATTTCATACAGTTATTATTTTAATATCAAAATTTAGCAATGTTTTTTAGGACATGTAGTTATATGTTACTTTGCATAATTTCTGGGCAAAAATTAAGTCACTTCTTATATTTGTTTGGAACAAATTAAGCAAAGGAAATTGGACTTTTGATTCCATATTTTTAAATAATTCCTGTTGCTCTGAAAATAAAAAATAAGAATTCAAAAACGTACTTAGATCTCAATTAGAGAACTAGAATTTTATTCCCTTAAGATGAGGGCGACAAAACTATGAGAGAAATTGAAGATATTAAGCCTTCTTTAGTGTATCAGAAAGAAATATCCTGCCTCATGCTAAATGTCAAGCGACCAATATAAAAATGACTTATTGCATAATTTTTTTTTAAATTATTATTTAATAATTTCTATCTCTCACTCATGGGTTGGATGTTGCAGTTTATAATTTTGACCGCTCTCTGATAGATGCTCCTGGACCTTGCGTTCTCTTTGCCACACCTGGAATGATTAGTGGTGGTTTTTCACTGGAGGTTTTTAAGCATTGGGCTCCTTCTGAGAGGAATCTGGTGACATTGCCCGGGTAACAACCTTACTATCAGTTGGAACCTCATAGTTGACAGTAATAAGAACACAACACTACCGAAATCCCATACATGGGATTTTAAACCTCAATACATGCATAGGACCTAATAAACATCAAATTTTACTATTTAACTTGTAATTGACACCTTTTTTAGAAGAAAGAGAAAAGCAACCCAAGAATTTAGGTCAAATTCCTACGCATAGTATCAAATTATTTGTTCCTTTTTACTTTTTCTTTTTATTGTTCAAATTCTTTATAAGCACAGCATAGGAGTATATGTGTTGAAGATCACCTGTGTATCTATTGAATGCGGCATTGTTTTATCAGCGACAGCTGCTTTTGAGAATCCATTATTTCTGTTATTACGTCTAGGGTATTCCTTTTCTTTCCTGAAAATGCTTTTTAATCGGTTCCGCAGAGACCATCATAAAATAGTACATTTTATAACTGTCTTTCCAAATTCACTGTAGCTTCTCTTTTCTAGATATTGTGTGGCTGGAACCATAGGACACAAGTTGATGTCTGGTAAACCCACTAAAATTAATTTGGACAAGGACACTGAGGTTGATGTGCGATGCCAGGTGCATATTCCTCTTTTAACTCTTGAATTATCAATATTGTTGCTAATTTTAGTGAGCATGGTTGCTATATTTTCATCTGAATTTTCTGTGGCTGCCAATTCTCATATCAAATGGAAGAAGATTATACTTCCTCTACTTATGTGCATGCCCATGTGTCAATACGTACACATGCAATGGAAAGCAAAAATATTCTTCTTTGCTGATAATTGTTCTATTCTATTGTTTAATCTATAACATTGGTGCTCATATCTTTATATTGCCAGATTCATCAATTGTCTTTCAGCCCTCATACGGATGCCAAGGGGATTATGGATCTTGTTAAATTTCTCTCTCCTAAGAGTGTGATACTAGTACATGGTGAGAAGCCTAAGATGGCTTCTCTTAAAGAAAGAATTGAGTCTGAAATGGGAATCCAATGTTATGTTCCTGCTAATTCTGACACTGTGTGCATTCCTTCCAGTGTCTTTGTTAAAGCAGGTGCCTCAGAAATGTTTATCCGCAGTTGCTTGAGCCCTAATTTCAAATTTTTAAACAGAAGTTCTGAAGATACATCAGATTTAATTTTACATAGCACAAATAGCACATCTCAGCTTCAGGTAACTGATGAAAGGGTTACCAATGGAATCTTGGTTATGGAAAAATGCAAGAAGGCAAGAGTTGTGCATCAAGATGAGCTGCTGCTCATGTTGGGAAAAAAACAACATGACATTCGGTTTGCTTATTGTTGTCCTGTATATGTTGAAAACTTGGATGTGGCCAGAAGAGAACTTACCACAGCACATGAAGTACTTGACCTCTCTGAGAAATGCTGTTGGCTTCAGCAATTATTCACAGAATTAACTACTGATTTTCCTGGAAAGTGTTTTCAAATTCTTGGGGAGCATCTTGAAATGGAGTCATTCCATGTGTCTATATGTATGAAGGATGAATGTCCGTACAGGGTAATGATTGATAGTCCTCGGGAAAAATCCACTGCAATGTTTTTTTGCTGCTCTTGGTCTGTGGCTGATGAAAAATTTGCTTGGGAGATCATTACAACCATGGAGAAGTGCCATTTGACCATTCAAAAATGCAACCAAAAAATTGATTGAAAGTTATGCTTCAGGGAAGCACATCCATTTACTCAAGAGCTTGTTTGAAGTTTATGCAGTGAAGAACCAACAACAAGCTTTCCTGCTCCAGTTAGTGCCTTGTTTAGCACCATGGACCCAGCTACTAAACCTTGGTAATCATTCTGACAGCCTGTTTGTCAAGTTAGGCAGTTATGAAAGACTGACACTTCAGTTTGACATATGCTGATACATCCACGTTAGACACTTCTCTGACTTGGCACCTGACAAAATACAATACAGAACATGCTCGTCATGTGTTATTATTGTTATTATTATTATCATTGAGAACAGCCATGTCAATCTGTACAGACAGAAGGTGAGGGTTTTGAGGTTCATATTTTTTATCATTGGAATTGTTAATTTTGTCTATTGATATCCGGCGCTTGTTACAGCATCTACAGCAATGCAGCAACATCTGGTCTATAAGTTCATCTGGGTTAAATTAAAACTCAAACAACATCATCAGCCGGAATGTTTTAGTTAAGTGAAAGACTTGCTCACAAAGAAAGGCTGTGGCCCTTCAAAGACCACATGAATGAGACAGCCCTTGTGCTCTTAGATCTAAATATCAGGTAGGATATTTTTTCTATTGCTATTATTATCTTTTTTTTTTTTTCTCTTCTACTAATTATTGATGTTTCCTCTCTTGCTTTCTATAGGTTGTAACGTTGTGACGGGTATCTCTATTTATTTGATATGGTTTTTTGATAAGTTTGAAGTCCTATCGTTTGGGCTGCTTTCTATAGGTTGTAACGTTGTGATGGGTATTATTGCAATTACCTATAAAAGGTTGTTTTCCCCTCTTCCTTTTTGGGAATTTCAAATTATGGATAAACCGAACTGGATAATTTAGTAGTAAAGAGCACTTGCGGGATTGATCAACATGACTTAGATTATGGATTTAATCAATATGACTTAGATCATGGATTCGATCTTTCATGGAAGTAATAAAAAAAAAAAAAACTTTCATCATATTTAATGATTAACTATCCACTAAGCTTAACAGAAAATGCAGATTGAATCATTTCCACGTATAAACTTTTTTCAATTTATGCTCCTAGCGAAAGGTATGGATGTTGCAATTTTTTTAAAGTCTCTTAGCCAATGAAGCAAGAAAGTACAATGAAGAGGAAGGTGCAATATGCGATTATGCAGATAGTATGAATCAGCTTTGAATTAGTGTTATCACTAGATTTTATTTTTGCTAAATTCGAACTTCTGAAGTTATAAGTTCAAATTTCCATTTCAATTTAACAAAGAAAAAAAAAAAATTGCACAGAAATTGTTGGTGCCTACGGTCTTATAGCGACATAGTCTGAACTTTGGTGTAACTTGACATTGTGTCGGGACAATTTTGGTGACTGTATATATAGAGTTGGACAAACTAGGATCTTTCGTGTATGTTCCCCTTTACCTTAACGTTTTATGAGTTTGGCTGTTGCTATATTTACGTATCAATTGGCCGTTATGTTGTTTTTCCCTTTTAAAAGTTTATCAACTAGATTTTCTGTTTAAGTGTGAATAATTACAGAAGAAGTGATTAGACGTATATTTAAAATCATTTGGCGTACCACGGATATTTTTACATGGTGATGATAAAATAATAACAATGATGGATGATGATATTAGTAATAATGATGGATGATGATGATAACGATAAATATTATATTATTGGCCATGATTTTTTTTTCTTTTTAGTAGCATATGTTTTTTAGTGAATTCAAATTTATTGTATGTTTTCATTGCCATGTGATAAAAAGAATATTTATGCCTTTAACTTTTTTATATGAATTCAATTTTTTAAGTCGTAATAGTTACATAAATATTAGAAATTAACTTTTATATTGATAAAAACTTATGCAAAAATTATGGGTACTGTGTTCTAATTTTTTTTTTTTTTATCATAACTATTTTTATCGATTTGATATTTCACAGACAACAACGCATGTTTACCTATTTGACCTCCTTACAAATAAAGAGTACAACAGATTTTAGCTACCAGCCAAATAAGGTAATTTCAGTTTTCACTTCTTCACGCACTGGCGTGGTGAAAATTGGCGCGGAAGAACCCCAACTACGAGTCAGACAACAGAAGCACAGAAACGTACATACGCACCTAACTAGTTAAATTTAAATAACACAAAAACCATTTCTGGTTTTGTCAGCTACCGTTCAAACCCATTTTCTCACTTTCTAGTTTCTAGACTGTGAAAACTGAAAACCCCAAAAGCTCTTTCTTTCCCTTTCCCAAAACCTAATTTCCACCCAAAATTCTCACTCGGAACTATGTTCTTCTCTCTTTAACCCCAATACCTCTCTCTCTCTGTTTTGTTTTTTATCCATCTTTGCTTTCTCTCCTCCAATGTCAACGCAACCCACCGTCACGTCAGCCGCATCGGCGGAGAGTGGCTCTCGCGCGCCTTTGCTTCTTCCCCGTCAAGAACCCCCTTCCTCCCCTACTGTTCGCCCAACCTCCCTCGCTTTTCTTCTCGGCCGCGCCACTGGTCGACGTGGCCCTTCCATGTTAGTAAGGGAGACGGCTGCACGTGAGCTGGAAGAACGACGCGCCGATTGGGGGTACTCGAAGCCTGTGGTGGCCTTGGACATGCTGTGGAACACGGCGTTTGTAGTGGTTTCGATAACTATGCTGATACTGACTGCGGACGAGAAGCCGAATACTCCGGTAAGGATTTGGATCTGTGGATATGCGCTGCAGTGCCTGGTGCATGTGGTTTTGGTGTGGTTGGAGTATAGGAGAAGGAATAGTCGGACAGGGAGAGATGAAATGAGGCGGCAGCGGCAGCAAGAAACTGAAGAAGGAAATGTTGATAGTGAAGATGAGGATAGTAGTGATAGGGGTTCGGGTTCCTTTTCTAGCCGGTCAAGGTGAGTTTTTTTATGTTGAATTTTACTCTCTTTTTTTTTTTTTTTTTTTTTTTTAAAGGAAATAGGTCGGATAGGGAGAGATGAAATGAGGCGGCAGCGGCAGCCCAAGAAACTGAAGAATGGAAATGTTGATAGTGAAGATGAGGATAGTAGTGGATAGGGGTTCGGGTTGCTTTTCTAGCCGCGTCAAGGTGAGTTTTTTTTATGTTGAATTTTACTCTCTTTTTTTTTTTTTTTTTTTTTTTTTTCCCTGGCTTGATTTTGGATATTTTTTGACTCTGTTGCTTTTCGATTTGCGAAATTATTGTATTCCTAGTAGCTGGTTGGCTGAAATTAATTTTTTTTTTTTTTTTTTTTTTTTCCCTGGCTTGATTTTGGATATTTTGACTCTGTGCTTTTCGATTTGAAATTATTGTATTCTAGTACTGTGGCTGAAATTAACTGTAACACAGGAAAAATATAAGCTTTATTTTAAGGATATGGTTGTTGCCCCCAAAGTTAGGGGGTGGCAACATTGGACACGGCATGACAATACGAACAAGAACCCAACACGAAATTAACTCGTGGGTTATACTTGTGTCAGAGATAATGACGGAAAAAAAAAAATCAGGGACGAAGAAATTCTCTCTTTGAGTTTTAATTTTCCTTTAATTTTGGGGCGAGCTGCTTTCGTGGTGCTTTCTTCATCTTTGATAAGCTCTACATGTCTATCAAGGTTGACGTGACTCACTGTCTAAGGAGTGTCAATTGGAGTATTTATAGTGCAAGTCTTTATTGGAATTCAATAAAGGGAATTGTTTTTGTAAAAACCTTTGGATGCTTGTACTCCCGTAGGTTGCATCCGTGTATGTTTCATTGTTATGACTAATCCACTAAAGAGAATTCTTTATTTCTTCCATGCAAATAATTTTATGTCCACTGATGAGAATTACCCTAAAAGGGCTTCTTAACAACTATTCGCTCTTTATGGTTCTTCAGTAATTTCATTTTTGTCATATTAATAAACATAGCTGTTTATTCAGTGGTAATGTAGTTTACAAAAAATGTAACTGGTATTCATATTCATACATTTTGTTTTGGGTGGCTCAGTGTCACTAAACGATGTGAATCAGTGAACACGATGGCATCATTTCTATGGTGGATAGTTGGCTTTTATTGGGTAGTTTCTGGCGGGGACTTACTTTTGCAAAATGCTCCCCGCTTATACTGGTAAGCTTTCTGCACATTTTTTTCACTCTTTCTTTACTTCTTCTTCATCATCTTCTTATTCTTCTTTTGTTTTTGTGTGTGTCTGTTTGCGTGTGTATGTCTTCTCACCATTAGGAGAAAGGACAAAAAAGAATGGGTCTTCTTCTAGATTTTATGTTAAACTGCAAATTTTACTTGAATGTTTGGTCTGGGTTGATACAAATTTGAATATAAGCACGTTTTGCTATTTTATTTCCAACTAAACTCTTTCTTCTTCTTCTTCTTCTTCTTCTTCTTCTTCTATTATTATTATTATTATTATTATTATAAAATGATTTGACTGAAGTGAGGTGTTATGAGTGGTGGGTCTTAGGTTTGCTTCTTTAATAAAAATAAAATTAGAGATAGAGAGAGGATGGGACCCAAGAAGTATATAAATGTTATCTGTTTTACTCTAATTTCACTAGAAGCAATATAAGTTAACTATTATTTTCCAGAAGCAATGTGCAATTTCTAATTTTGAATTCATGCAGGCTGGCTGTGGTTTTTCTGGCATTTGATGTGTTCTTTGCGATCTTTTGTGTTGTTTTGGCATGTTTGATTGGGATCGCTCTCTGTTGCTGCTTACCATGCATCATAGCTATACTTTATGCTGTTGCAGGACAGGTATGAAAAGGCATTATTTCTTTCTAATGAATTGAAGTCTTGTTATTGTTGTTTCATGTGTGATTAATTTAGCTTATTCTTCTGTTGCTGTCATTTAATGTTTATGAATAGGAAGGTGCATCTGAAGCAGATCTTAGCATCCTCCCAAAATACAGATTTCAGATGATGGTCAATGAGGAAAAGCCCACTGTTGGGGCAGGGAAAATGGTCCCCATTGAAACTAGCAGTGGATACTTGGCAAATGAACGTATTCTCTTACCTGAGGATGCTGTAAGTCAATGTTTTATTTCTAGAACATTCTTTTAATTGGAGCATTATTATAGAATAAGAGATTGTGAGGAGAGTGAAAGGTACAGTTTTTCCTATAGTGGAAGGTATCATATTAGCAATTATGCTGTTGTGCAATCAGGTTACCCTAGCTACTTAACTAGCTTCTGTCTCAATTAATTAATGGTGATTTGAGGCAGAACCCAAATGGATGATAGAATTGAAACAAATTAAATTTTATCTATGTAACTGCAAAATTAATAAATTGCCCACAATTGAAGAACTGGTCAAAGTACAAGATTTTTTTGGACATTAACTCATTATTATGACCCTGCTGAGAGCAAGGAATGAATAGTTTTTTCAGGTGGCTACTTTTCGAAAGGTTCATGATTAGTTTGTTTTCCAGGATGAGATTTCACAGGTTGTTTGGAGTTTGGTTTAGGATTTTCTTTGACCTTTTTCCCCCTTCTATTTGTTAGGAATGCTGTATATGTCTCTGCCCGTATGAGGATGGAGCAGAGCTCCATACACTCCCTTGCAACCATCATTTCCACTCAACATGTATCGTGAAATGGCTGAAGATGAATGCTACATGCCCCCTCTGCAAATACAACATTCTGAAAGGAAATGAGCAAGTCTGATGAAAGGGAATACGAAAGTCTAAAAGCTGGCTCACCTGCCTGCTTTTTGTTCATCTTTATGTACAGAAGAAATCAGGGCAACTTAAAAGAAGCTTCTCCAAATTCTTGTGAAAAATACAGTTTATGGCATTAGTACATAGAGCTGCAATTTGTCCTTTTCCGGCCTTTGGGGTTGTGTTGATTCTTCCTTTTTTTTTAGTTTGAGACTCGCAATAGAAAATGGAGTCAATAGTTTGCAAGCTTTCTGCTTGTGCTTGCTGAATTGTTTTGTATGATTTATTTGTTTTTATATCGCCTGCGAAGTATACAATACATGGTGCATCATCACTTGTTTTTTGGTATATAATGTAATTGTAATAACAATATTTTAAGCTGACTGGCAATGCATTATGCATTTGTATTGTTTCTTTCACTTCTTCAGGTAAAAGGAAAAGGAAGAACCTGGAATTGAATAATCATGTGGATGCTTAGGATTGTTGACAACCCTACTGAGCATTCATTTTATTTTACTTCCCTAATAAAAAGCTTCTTTTCATTATTTATCACTTTATGTTGAAAATTCAAAGTCTGTATGTTCTGTTCCTGGGAGCTCGCTGCTTTTACTCTATATCGAGAATTGTGACGAGAGGGAAAGAGGACCTCTAACATTTCATTCTCTTTCTCTGTCTTGATAATTAGTGTAGCTAACTAAAGTAAGTGATTACCAATTGGCTGGAGTAGCTCAGTTGGTTAGAGCGTGTGGCTGTTAACCACAAGGTCGAAGGTTCAACCCCTTCCTCTAGCGATTATTTATTTACAATCATATTATCCTAATACCTGAACAATAAATAAACTTGGTTTATTTGACTTCATTCTATATAATATAATGTCAATTTTATTATTACATAAAAAATACATAATATGTAAAAAAAAATAAACTCAACAAATTATTCAAATATCTCATTTGCCAAACAATTTTAATTATTCAACAATAAATTCTTAATAACACTCCTTAATTATTGAGTTCAACAAGTTGTTGATTTAGATTTAGCCCAGACAAACCCTTAGAGCTGGTTAGTATTCAATTAATGGTCTTCTCGTGTTTTTTTTTTCCCAATCTTCAGAACAGCACAGCCCATCATCATACATATAGAGGAGGTAGATGGGGTTTGCAAAAATAAAAATACAGAAAAAGTTTCAACTTTTTTGTTCTTTTAACTACTTCACCAACCATAAGCTTCATCTCTCAAACTGCTATTCTGGTCAGAAATCTTGCTCTCTATGTAAATCATAACATGAGAATACCAGCACAAGGAGGCTGCATGTGGTCAAATCCGTGTATCTGATGTCCTCACTTCCTTCAAGTCATAACCGAAGTTAGCTCTTAAATGATTCATCGAGGAGACGCACAAATTCAGTATGCAGTGCATGCCCACCCTGTATTACATTTACATACCTATTTAATGGATTATAACTAACAAAACATGCATGAAAATAAAAGCAAAGATGGGGGCAGAGGGAACCTTGTAAACAATTACGTGAGCCACTGGAAACCCTTGATTACCAAACCGTGCAAACAGGGAAAGATCACCAACAAGATCCAAAATCTTATGGCGACAAGGTTCATTGGAATGCACTGGTGGATTCAACCAGCCTTTACTGGCGCTGCAGAACAAAAATGCCATATCACATAATAAGCAAAACAAAGAACTGGCTAATTGATGAGAACTTGCTAATTGAACTAAGTTCCATGTCAAAGTTGTCGCTCCCGCCATTTATCAATATAAGCAAAGGTTCACAGTAACTTAACAACAGATGCAGCGAACCACTTTTGGGCTTTGATGAGGAGTCATTGCAACTAATACCTAATGAGAGTGTTAGAGCTATTGTAACTCCTAACATT